TTGTTATGAGTTTTTTTATTAAAAGGAAATCTAATTATACGAGTATTATTAATATAAAAAAATATTTATTAATTAATATAAAAAAGAGGTTTTCAAAAAGTTTCTATAAAACTCTAACACAATTTACCTATTTTTTTATTTATTATGAGTTTTTTAATAAAAGGAAATCTAATTAGACAAGAATTATTAAAATAAAAAAATATTATTAATTGATTAAAAAGAGTTTCTATATAAAATTTTAACACAAATTACCTATTTATTTATTTATTATGAGTTTTTAATATAAAAAAAATCTAATTAGACAATAATTGTTAATATAAAAAATATTTATTAATTAAAAATGATTACATGAAAGCATCTTATAAAACTATAGAGTTAAAGAAATAATAATCATACCTTCTCAACCTTTTGGCTAAGATCAAGTGTTGTACTAAATTTTTTTGGGTCGGCTTTTTGGCTAACCTTTTTTGGTCTTTTGGCTAAGATCAAGTGTAGTACTACTTTCTCGACCTTTGTGCAAAGAGTTTCAGTATTTATTTATTAATTGATATAAATTCTATAAAACTCAAAATTACCTAATAAAATTCAAATTAATTCAAATTAACAAAATATAAAAAGAATTTAATTCACAATAACCTAATAAAATTCAAATTAACAAAATATAACAGTAATTACCTAATAAAATTCGATAAAACTCAAAATTACCTAATAAAATTAAAATTAATTCAAATTAACAAAATATAAAAAGAGTAAATTATAAAGCCCCACATTGATTTTAAGTAAAAATGATTAGATGAAAGCCTCTTATGCTAATTCAAATTACAAAGTTCCACATTGATTTTAAGTAAAAAGGATTACATGAAAGCCTCTTATAAAACTATAGAGTTAAAAAAATAATAATCATACCTTCTCGGCCTTTTGGTTAAGATCAAGTATAGTACTAAATTTTTTTGGGTCAGCCTTTTGGCTATCCTTTCTTGGTCTTTTGGCTAAGATCAAGTGTAGTACAACTTTCTCGGCCTTTATGTATAGAGTTTCAATATTTATTTATTAATTGATACAAATTTTATAAAATTCAAAATTACTTAATAAAATTCAAATTAATAAAATATAAAAATAATTTAATTCACAATAACCTAATAAAATTCAAATTAACAAAATATAAAGCAATTACCTAATAAAATTCTATTAAACTCAAAATTACCTAATAAAATTAAAATTAATTCAAATTAACAAAATATAAAAAGAGCTTAATTCAAATTATAAAGTCTCACATTGGTTTTAAGTAAAAAGATTATATAAATGCCTCTTATAAAACTATAGAGCTAATTCAAATTATAAAGTCCACGTTGGTTTTAAGTAAAAAGAATTACATGAAAGTCTCTTATAAAACTATAGAGCTAAAGAAATAATAATCACACCTTCTCGACCTTTAGGCTAAGATCAAGTGTAGTACTAAATTTTTTTGGGTTTGTCTTTTGGCTAACCTTTCTTAGTCTTTGAGTTAAGATTAAGTATAGTATTACTTTCTCGGCATTTGTGCAAAGAGTTTCAGTATTTATTTATTAATTGATATTAATTCTATAAAACTCAAAATTACCTAATAAAATTCAAATTAACAAAATATAAAAAGAGTTTAATTCATAATAACCTAATAAAATTAAAATTAACAAAATATAACAGTAATTACCTAATAAAATTCAAATTAACAAATTATATTATACTACTTTCATTAATTATTATATCCCACAATTGCTTTAGGAAGGGATTCAAAACCTAAACCAAACCCAAATGGACCAAATAATTCTTTCCACACCTGATAACAAACATATTTAAATTAAGTATCATATTTGATCTGAACATTTCGAAATAGCTTTAGAGTTACTGTTGAAAATGCAATCTATAATCAATTTTGCTTGACCAAATGGTCCATATATTAAATTATTTCTCAATTTTCATATTTAATAAAATCCTTGATGTAAATGAGTCATGAGTTTATTGCTATAAGCCACACCAAAAATGATATCTTGGAAAGCAAAATTAATACATCAAACGACAGAGACCAATCAATATGCAATAACCAACCAAGCAGGAAAAGCAAAATACAACACAACCTCTCCTAATTTGAGAACCCCAAAGCTCTAGAACTTACCACATGCTTCCACGATAATAAATTACTAAATTATAATAATAGTAATTACCTAATAAAATTCTAATTAACAAAATAAAAACCTAATAAAATTCAAAACCTAATAATTAAAATTAAAATTATACTATACTACTACTACTAAACCTAACATGATTGCTGCACACAAAATATATTTTCTCTATATATATGTCTTTTTTTGCCTTCATCTAATCACATCAATTTTCTTTTTTTTTCCAAGGTATGTGTCACCCTCACCACCTATTGGTAGAGTAACTCATTAGCTATGTCTTCATCATGCATTGTTTTATTTTTTGCTCATGCATTGTTTTTTTATTAATCTTATGTTTTGATCATGCATTGTTTTATTATATATATTGTTATATTTAATGTATACAAAAATAAAAATAAAAAACCTAATCAATTGTCTTTCTCTTTTTCTTCTTCTTATTAATCTTATGTTTTGATCATACATTATTTTATTATATATATTGCTACATTTAATGTATACAAAAATAAAAAATAAAAAACCTAATCAATTATCTTTTTCTTCTTATTAATTTGTGCATTATTTTCTTTACTCAGAGTATTTTAATTTAACCGGATTGGAGATTGTACAAAGATTATTTAGTTAAAATTTTGTTCCAAACAGATCACACGAATCAATAAAGTTTACACTTTCTCTCTTTTGACCAAATTACACTATTAACTTCCACGGTCTCCTATAATTTCATTAATTTTGTATCTAGCTCCTATAATTTCATTCTATTATCATGACATTACTTTAATATTGATTAAGTGATGATATTATAAGTATTCTAATTTAAAGAAGAACCGGTGATGAGAGAAGACCTCATAGTAACATTTATCTAAAGCAAACTTTTGATCCCGAAAAGTGATACAATAGCTTTTATTTTATTCTATTTTTTCTTGCTAAAAAACAAATTTTGCTAAACCATTGTTCACTAGTACAAATTTTAAAAAAATAAAAACGAATACGGTCTAGCTTAATATAAATTTAATTTAATTTAATAATAATATTAGGAGATTGTTTTGGACAAGTTACAATCCATAAAAATATTAGGAACCCTTTGTTCAGCCACCTAATTTATGTTAATTGATCTTTATTTGCATAGTACTCGTAAGTTACTGATTCAGATTTTCATGGCATTTACATATGTCCCAAGGATTGTCTTGAGGGAGGAAAGTTCCTAGCAACTTCTATGTATGTTTGGATGATGCTTGGCAATTGTTACATAATAAAGGATGGGAGAGACTTTGAAATATCATCATAATTACACACAAGACTTTTAAGTATCATCATAATTACACACAATTTCTCCAATATACTAATTCATGAATAATTCAAGCTTTCATTTTATTCAAATCATGGTCATCTCAGCATTAAACTTGTCGACTTTGTGCATTTGTGGTAGAATTTAATTATGACTTCAATCTACATGTTTTTTTTTATTAGTTTTTAAATTTTATTATTTTGATTGGTCAAATTGGTATAAATGGAGTAACATATAAGCACATTATTTTGCTCACAACATGACTGCTTAATTTAAATGTTTAGTAGTGGTAGATTTTGTGTATATTTTGACATATGTACAGTGTATTATGAAAGTTTTGTATCTATCTATGCAGGGGCGGAGCCAAGATCTTGAGATTAGGGTGACCAAAATTATAAACAGCATTACCTAGTTAGAACTTTTGAAAAAATATATATATATTACCGTAGGTAAAAATAGTTTACTATTTATTATATTCATACAAAAATATATCTATCTAAACTTTTCCCAATTTATTTAAATAAATAATAATTTTTATTTAAAGAAAATTTTTATCAAACTTTATGAATAAACACAAATAAGATTTATAACAACAGGCCAGTGGCCTAACGGTACCAAACCCCTACTTCTTAAAAAGAGGTCAGGGGTTCAAGCCTCCGTGGAGGCATGTATGTGTGAGTGCACAATTAAAAAAAAAAAAAAAAAAAAGATTTATGCCAAAATTATAAAAAAAAATTCAATTAAATAACTCTCTTTATTTACCGAAAAAAAAAAAAAAAAACAAAAAAAAAACAAAAAAACAAAACAAAAATAACTTTAAAAAAAAAATGTAACAATTGAAAATTTAACAAAACAATAAATAAATAAATAAATAAGAATTAAGATTCTTAAATCATCGATTTTTGTTGATATTCAAAACTTCAAATGGAATTTTTGTTTTAAATTTTGTAAAAATTAATTTCTGATAGAATTCTTATAAAAACATTTCAATAAAAAAATAAATAAAAGTGATGTAAAGAATCATGTATGAGATGGAATTTTAAGATAATAAGTTATGAAAAAAATCATGTTTAAGTTGGAATGATTTTAAAATAATCACATTACGGGAAGAACGGTGTTTGAGTTAAAATTTTAAGATAGCCACCGTTTAATTTTCATGTGAATCAATTTTTAACGGGCAATTAAATCACTTTCTTTTAGATTATATGTAAATTATATTTTGTTAAATGTTAATTAAAGAAAGAAAAAATATATATAAAAATCTTAGGAGAGGCTAAATATAGATTTTATACCATATATATTATACTATTTTATTTTTACCTATGCTAAAATAAAAATTCTAAAAAATTAGGGTCCATAGCCCCCGTCAGCCCCCTTCCCTCTGCCCCTGTACCTATGCATGCTTTCTGTCTATTTGCACATTTTGAACTTTGGAAAATTCACCGAAAGCAGACAATAAAGAGAAGATTCGAACCCCTTGCACATTTTGGTCCACACGTTTTCTTTCCATTCAAGTTGACACCTTTTGTGAAGAACCCCAAAAAAGATGATTCCCACCCACACCTTTTTCAGACACTTTGTTTTTTCCCAGCTAAAAAGATACTTTGTTCGATCAATAAAGTTCATAAAAATTTACCATCAACTTCCACATACATGGACCCGAAGATAGATTGAAGTTTCATAGAAAATTCCCAGCAACTTCTTATCACGTGCATTCTCTCTCTAAATAGTATGGAGGGGGAGAGATATTTGTATCATAATCGCACACAGAATTTTGCATTCACAAATTAGCAAGCCTCAATGGATGCATTTCCTTCTTCTTCGTCTCGATTGATAATATTAGGAGCTAGCTTTGGATAAGTTACACTCTATAAAAATATTAGGAAGTCTTTGTTCAGCCACCTAATTTATGTTAATTGTTCTTTATTTGCACATATTGTTATTACTCGTAAGTTGTTGATTCAGATTTCCACCTAATTTAAGGGAGGAAAGTTCCAGCTACTTGTTTGTATGTTCCCAAGTAGAGCATAGAACAAGGAAGGAAATTGCTTGGAAGATGCTTACCAATTGTTACATATATAACAAAGGGGGACAGAGACTTTGAGGTACTCAATTTCTCCAATATATAATTCATGAATAATTCAAGCTTTCACGGTCATCTACATGTTTTAAAATCTTTCTTCAGCAGTCTAATTTGACCCACCTACACCTTTTTCACACACTGTTTTGTTCCACATACATGTCCATGACCCAGAAAAAAGATTGAAGAAATTCCCTGCAACTTCTTATCATGTGCATTCTCTCTCTAAATATTATAGAGGGGGAGAGATATTTGTAGGTATCATAATCAAACCGATAAATTTTGCATTCACAAATTAGCAAGCCTCAATGGATGCGATTGCTGCTGCTGCTTCTTCTTCGCCTCGATGGAATTATGATGTCTTCTTGAGTTTTAGAGGTGAAGATACCCGCAAGAACTTTGTGGACCATCTCTATATGGCTCTGCAACACAAAGAAATAAGTGCCTTCAAAAATGATGAGAAACTGAAGAGGGGAAAATCGATTTCTTCACAACTCCTCAAGGCAATTAAGGAATCAAAATTTGCAATCATCGTTTTTTCGAAAGACTACGCATTCTCGTCATGGTGTTTGGATGAACTCGTACATATCATTGAATGCAGAAATACCGTGGGACAAACGATTTTGCCAATTTTCTACAACGTCGATCCCTCACAAGTACGGAAACAAAAGGGAAGTTTTGGAGAAGCATTTGCCAAACATGAGGAAAATTTTGGAGAGGACAAAGAAAAGGTGCAAAAGTGGAGGGCAGCTTTGGTAGAGGCAGCAAATTTAAGCGGGTGGAATTTGAAGGATGTAGCAAAGGGGTAATTACTAACTCAACAAATTTTATTCTTCTTCTATATTTCCTATATGAAATATGTGCACTAGTTTAACCACACCACGTTGCAATACTTAAAAGCAAATATGAAGCACAATTTACATTTTCAATTGGCATTCTTTTTTTATTGAGAAAAATTGCACAATATTTTATACTAAATTTTATTTGTTATCATTATTGAATATCTTGGTAAATAACACACACATTTTTGCTCCATGGAGTTAAAGCCTCAACCTCTCACTCTGGGAGGAGAGAAGATATCATTATCCTATTAATTCAATAGTCTGTTTGCTATATTTTAATTTTAACCGATTGTTTTAACTTTTAATGAATATATAGGTTAGTTGTCGATTTCAATTGCGTATCTCCTTATTTTTTTTATTTTTTCTTTTTATGCCAAATTAGAATCAAACTAATCCGATTAAAGTTGAATATTTATTATTTAAAGTTATTATTAAGTTTTAGATGTTTCTTACCAAAACTATAAGTAGGAAAAAAATTATGATTTCAAGTTTAAATGATAGGTGGGTTAATCTTAAGATTGCCATACTAAATAAATTTTACTTTATTTCTTCTTCTTCTTCTTTGGGACTAATTTGATCCATAGAACAACTAAAGACTTTATTAAAATTGTATGTGCTATTGTTTTCAAATGTAAGTCCATAAATAATAGACATGTTTGAACATGACATTTTTTTTTTCTTAGTTGTGTTTGAACATGACTTGTCTAACAAAAACAAAAAGAAAAAATAAATATTAATGATCCATAATTAAAATAATTTTTATTTATTTGTGTATTTCGAATACGATTCTTATATCAATTGTAATGTAGTTTGAAGTGGATTTTAGAGGGTTGGATTGAAAATTAATACTTCCCAAACTGCCAGAACTCAATTTCTTTTATCTTTTTGTCCTCTATCTCATTAAAGTAGAAATGATTACATTTGCGAATTTGGATAATGAAAGTTCATTTTGATTTTAGATTGAACAGTTTATATATATATATATATATAGATGTATTGTTGAACCATCACAAGAAATAAACACAAGCAGCCTTGCTGCCTTGCTACTAGAACCACTTGTGCATCCCCAAGACTTTATCAAGTCATGAGTTATCAACATTTTTAAGATGCATTAGTCTATTTCAATCAATTTAGTTTACGAATTGAGTAATTTATGATTATTATTATTATTTACCCATAAATAAAATATAAAAAAAAAAATTATGACTCACTAGTTCTTCTTAATGTGCTTTGTACTTCATAGGCATGAGGCGAAATTTATCCAAAAAATTGTTCAAGAGATTATAAAAGAATTGGGGCCTATACCATTAAATGTGGCCAGGTACAAAGTAGGGATAGATTCCCGTGTAAACAAAGTGTTCACTTTGCTAGACAATGGGTTAAATGATGTGTGCATTGTGGGGATTTGTGGAGCTGGTGGAATTGGAAAGACAACCATATCCAAAGTTGTCTTCAATCGAATATATAATCAATTCGAAAGTTGTTGTTTCCTTAGCAATGTGAAAGAAGTTTCAGAACAACATGGCCTAACTTATCTCCAACAACTACTCTTGAATGACATTCTTACAGAAGAAGATCTAAAGATACGTAATGTTGATTATGGAATCAACGTGATGAAGAAAAGATTCCGTTATAAGAAAGTTCTTGTAGTTCTTGATGACGTGGATAGTTTAAAGCAATTAGAGAGTTTAGTGGGAGGAAATGACTGGTTTGGCTCTGGAAGTAGGATCATTGTAACAACCAGAAATGAACGTTTGTTGGTGGAACATAAAGTAGATCATGAAGTGTTCAGGGTTGAGTTGTTGAATGACGATGAAGCTCTTGAACTTTTTAGTTGGTATGCTTTCACTAACAACCATCCTTTGGAGGATTATGTGGAACTCTCACGGCATGTAATAAAGTATGCCCAAGGCCTTCCATTAGCTCTTCAAGTTTTGGGTTCATTTTTATTTAAAAGAAGTTTACATGAGTGGGAACATGAACTAGATAACTGGAAAAAAATTCCAAATAGAGAAATTTATGATGTTCTCAAGATAAGTTTTGATGGCCTTAATGATACAGAGAAAGATTTATTCCTCGATATCGCTTGTTTCTTCAAAGGGTATGATGAAGATTATGTAATAGATATATTGGGCAGTAATGGGTTTCACCCACGAATTCCAATTCTTATTGAACGGTCATTGATAACTATCTCATCATACAAGAAGCTGTGCATGCATGATTTGTTACAAGAAATGGGTAAGGAAATTGTTCGTCAAGAATCACCTGATGATCCTGGCAAACGAAGTAGGTTGTGGTTTCATGAAGATATCTATAAAGTGTTTAGAGAGAATACGGTACGTTCTAACTCAATATAAGTTTATTTGCAATTTTGATATTCAAGTTGTGAAAAAAAAAATAATAATAAATAAAATAAAATAAAATTAGGATTGCTTCATCTTTTTTCCATCTAAAGAGTTGTAAACTTGGATAATTTTAAGGTTTTAACACTGCATGGTAACTTGCGCAATGTTCTTGGTGATTAGGTGACCGAAACAATTAAAGGCATTATGCTACACATGCCTCATCATCGTCATCTACGAGAGAAATTATATGTAAATGTTGATGTCTTTGAGAAGATGAAGAAACTTAAACTGCTCAAACTCAGTGGCATACAACCTTGTGGACAACTTACATATCTTTCAAATGAATTATGTTATCTCAATTGGGATGATTATGAGGCAAAGTTTTTGCCATCCAATTTCCATCCAAAAAATCTTGTTGAACTTCGCCTTTGTCACAATCAAATCAAAGAAATATCATCAAGTATCAAGGTATGATCGAAGTTTATTTATACAATTATTTACATATGAATGGTATTGTCGGATTTTATTGAAACTGATTAATTTCTTTCTTTGCTTGTTTCCTTTCCAGTTTCTAGAGAAGTTAAAATACCTTGATCTCAGTCACTCCTTATATTTGTATAAAACTCCTGACTTGTCTAGTCTCCCATATCTCGAGGAATTAAATCTTAAAGGATGTAAAAATCTAATTAAGGTCCACGAGTCGATTGGAGTTCACGAGAGGCTTGTTCATTTGGATATGGGGGACTGTAAAAATTTGAGGAGTCTCGCAAAAAGCATCAAGTTGGAAAAGTTGAAATATTTGAATCTAAGTGGATGCTTAAAACTTGAGAAGTTTCCGGAGATTCAGGGGCGTATGGATCGTTTGCAGAAACTTCATTTGACAAAAACTGCAATAAAAGATTTGCCTTCATCAATTGAGCTTCTTGAAGGGCTTCAGGATTTATTGGTACGTGATTGCCGAAAGCTTAAAAGGGTTCCAAGTAACATTTTTACTAGAATGAAGGATTTAAAATCCCTTGGCATGGGAGGAACCACTATAGAACAGTTACCATCGTCCATTGTACAGTTGTGTAACCTTGGTAAGCTTCATCTAAATGATTTACAAAAAGTGTCTCCCAAAACGCCTAATTCATTGGTGCCATTTTCATTGGTGCGAAAGAGAACTCCTCCTGCTTCAACTGATTATTTTCAACTGGAACTGCTCTCCGCTTTGAGCACTTTATCTTTTTTAAATTTAAGTGGAAGCAATTTATCTAGCATACCAACTAGCCTCATTCAACTCAAATGTCTGAAACGTTTTGATTTGAACGATTGCGCGAGCCTCCGAACGTTGACTTCACTTCCCTCATCTATTGAAGAAGTGAATGCACATGGCTGCATATCATTGGAACGGTATTGGATTAATCCAGCATGTGGAATTGGTCCAAACAATCGCGAATTCATATTCACTGATTGCCACAAATTGGTTATGGGTGAGATGGAGAACATGCCAAATATATCATCACAAAGTCAGCTTCAGGTTAATTACTTTACCTCTCTCTTTTTCTATCTATCTATATATGTATGTATTCAAAACTTAGGGATCTTTATTGGGTGCGTGCATGGAACAGGGGTTTCAATTAATGAGTTTTCCTGGAAGTGAGATTCCGCAATGGTTTAGGCATAAGAGTGAAGTTGAGGGGTCTTCTTTGTCTTTGGTGGTAGATCATCTATCTTCTTACAATAACGTCAAAGGAATTGCACTCTGTGCTGTTTTGGAAATTCATGAAATTGAACAGAAATGGATTGGATTTGATCTGAAAATCAACGGTTATGGCATGGAACTAAGCGCTTGTTGGTATGAGAGGTGTAAAGGCAATCAAGTTATTTTGAGGAACATAACTGAATATTATTCTGAGTTGTCTGAAGAAGGTCAACCAATTAAAAATTTGATGGAGAAGAGACCAAAGCTCAGCCCAGGCCCTCCCAATATTTGTGATGATGACAGCTGTTACATTCAGGCTTCAGTTATATTAACTGACTACATAGGTGACACTAGACAAGAAAAGAAGAAGGTGAAGAAAATGGGTATCCATCTAATTATGGAGGAGCAAGGTGAAGGTGAAGGTGAAGGTGAAGGTGAGTAGACCCACCCAATAACTCAATTTCTCAATTCTTAAGATCATACCAACACTTTCAAATATCATATTTTTCATATATACAGCAATTACTGTATTTCACTGTTGCAATTTTGTAGGAAAACACACAGAAATCCTAGAAGACTGGAGCAGCATTAAGAGGCAATAGAAAGGATCATTTGGATACTTTTGATTGTCAATTTTGTGTACGTTTGTTTTGATTCTCAATTTTTTATACAAGAAGCTCTGTCTGTTGTAATAACAATTTCAATTGTGATGGAAAATGTTTTGTTAATACGTACCATAATCTTTTTGGTCTTATATGGATTATAATTTCACATCGAGTCCTAAAAATTTTGGATTCATTACTAGTCAAACAAAGATCTACCAGTATATGTGCAACATGTCAAGAACTTACCACAACGCGTGCATGTGTGTGTGTGTGTGTGTGTGTGTGTGAGAGAGAGAGAGAGAGAGAGAGAGGCTTTTACAAATGTAGATGGAAAAAATTGCTTTCTCAACGTTGCTAACAGAAACAGATTGTAATAACAAAAAGAACTATAATATGATCGAAACTTTTCAGACTGGGGGAGCTTGAATATTATTGATGATGAATTCCCGCGCATGAACTAATTACTTAATTTAAATCATTGGAATCCTCACTGTGCTTTTTTTCTGTCAAAGAGTAAACTCAATGAATAAGTGTTGCCCTTCTGTGCAGCAACTTCAATTCGTTTTTCACCAATTTGCTTATCCCCGTTGGTCTTATCATAAACACTCTAGGTTTAAATTACTGCAAACATTGGACAGTGAATATGATACGTTTTCCATAAGCCAATAGCCAACGGTTGGCATGTACTGCACCAAGTACATAACAGCTAGTACAGGCTGCAAAGCATGGTAAAAATTGGAATTATAGCTCATAACAAAGATATACAAAAGATATAGTTCAAATGTTAGGTTAAAAACAAGAATAAAAGTTCTCAATTTACAATTGGCACATAAAATTCAGTTCTTTTCACTGGGACCGAAAAGAACTTCAAATTAATATCTCAGTAAGCTTAAAAATTTCTATATCAGGCCTTATTGTTTCTAGTAAGGCCTCGAGTTAATGGATGCACTGTTAATCTTATCTAAGATCAGACTAAGATTGAGATATTGGCCATATTCTTCAGCAGGAAACATTAGAATAGACTGGTTGATTGATTTGATTTGATTAAATTAATTTATTGACTTTGCTCAAAGCTGAAATTTGAAATACTTTTTAAGTTTGAAATGAGATTTTACTACTTCAAAATTCATCAAAGCCTTATACGATGATTTAATTAAGTTTATGACTGAACCAGAAAATTTTGATTTCTCAATGTTGCTAATAGAAACATATTGTAATCACAAAAAGAATGATCAAAACTTTTCAGACTGGGGGACCTTGAATATTATTGATGATGAATTCTTGGGCATGAACTAATGACTTGATTTTAATCATTAGAATATTTATTGTGCTCTTTTTTTTTCTTTTTTCTTTTTTCTGCCAAAAAGTAAACTCAATGAATAAGTTAGAATTATAGGTCATAACGAAAATCAAGGGTGAATCCAGGAATTATTGATGGGGGGGGCTAATATTAAACAAGGGGGAATTGGGGATCGAAATATTAAAGAGTTGGAAAATTTTAGAGGAAACAGGGTTAAACTTTAGAGAGAGAGAAGGAGTGAGCTCTCTGATTTGTGCAAAATTTTGACTTAGTGATTGTTTAGGGTTTGTTTGGCTTGGGCCTATTTGGTTGGGCCTTTATTTTAAAATTGTGGCTTAGATATTGGGCTTGTTTGGATGTGTTAAAATTAGGGGGTTAATATTACTACTAATTTTTTCTTTTTTAAAACATTGGGCTAAATATACCAATAGGAGGGGGTCAAGCCCACCCAAGCCTCCCTGGATCCGCCACTGACGAAAATACACGAAAGATATGGACAGAAAAGTAAAAACCCTAAGATGTTTGTGCGTATACAGGCAGATGCATGTGTTTATACACATACTCATTACAAATGATGGATCCATTTTGCAATTCATTAGTAGCAAGACTTGATCCCAGAGTTCAGATATTCCCTTCCTATTTCACTTCTGTAAAGAGCACAGAGTGTTCATCTTTTACAATATTCTGATCCTGTGTGTCTAGATGGACCCAGGGGCATAGCTAGGGCCTAGGGGACACAGTGTTAAGAAGAAAAAAAAATATTTAAAGAAAAAAAAAAAGAGTAAGAAAAACGACAACTTAAAAAGGAAAAAATTAAAATTTAATTTAACAAGGAAAATTTAACATTTTTTTTAAGGAATTTGAAGAGTAAATTATGAAAAAAAAACTAGAAAATAATAGATAATTTTAAAAACAAATAATTTTAAAGGAGGCATTATATAAAAAATTTCATATTTGTCGGCTGGGTTACATATTCATTGCAACAGGAAGATTGGGAGTTTGGCGAAAGAGGGATTTGATCTATTCTAATTCAGAGTTCACGAATTTAAAATAAAAAAATAATTTATGATAAAATTACATTCATCTAACCCTGCTTAAATTTTGCAATAGACACGAAATTGAACATTTGTCTAGGGGCCCCTGCCCAAAATTCATATTTGCCCTTGCCACAAGGCCCCTACCAAAGAGATCAGATTGGCACACAACAACAAACAAGTCTTCGTGTAACCATTACTGATGATGGTGTAATAATTAACGGAAAGCTTTTGCAGGTTAGTTCAGCACGTGTGGGCCCATGAAAACCTATGGGTCCCTTTCCAGAAGCTAACAAGAGGGACCACTTTAAGCGTTCATGGTGGTCATGCCCTTGGTGGCCTATTACTAGGGATGGCAACGGGGCGGGTTTGGAGCGGGTTTCCCTAAATCCCGCCCCGCCCCTTTTAATTTTTGTCAAGTTCATGCCCGCCCCGAGACCCGCGACGAGTTGGATTTTCATATCCAACCCCGCCCCGTTAGAAAATACTGTGCCCCCGTACCCGCCCCACTAACAAATTTTTTTCTCCCACTTTTTGTAACTTAAACTCCTGCTATTTAAATGTGCAAAGCCTAGGAATGACACAACATAAATAAAATTATGTATCCTAACAAAAATAAAAAAAATAACATGCACATAACATAATTCAGAGAACATAATAAACAAAAATAAAAGTTTAATACAACCAAATCACAAGAAGTTCTAAGCTCCAACTTCCACCATAACAAAAACAAAAGCAAATTTAATACCAAGTTTACATCCCAAATTTGGATGGTAAGAGATGGGTAATTGGGTAAGTCGCTAAAATAACTTATTAATATATATATATATTAAATACAGTTATATGCGGGGCGGGGCGGGGCCCCTAGGATATGTATATTGAACCCTTACCCGCCCCGTGACCCTCGACGGGTACAAAATTTGTATCCATGTCCGCCCCAACGGTATAACAAGTGTTCCCATATCCGTTATTAACGGGGCGGGGCTCCGGCGAGGTGGTAAAAATTGACATCCCTACCTATTACTAAGTGGGCCTCAATTTCAAATAGATGAGTGAGAGTGGACCCTCAGATCATCCATCACATGCCTAAAAAATGGTTGGGCCCACCAACACCGCCACTAGGGGCTCCACCACCAACCATCATCCAAAGTCCAACACAAAGTTCTGGTGCATGCACTCTCCAGTAATCGGTCCCACTTAACTGTTAGCGTGGGACCCACTTTCACGAATACTGACACAACGCATGTTGTGGTTCAGGTGGGCCCAGAAGAGGTTAAATGAATGAATTGGGCTAATCCGTAGTGTGTGTGTATATATGCTAGGAAAAAGCATGTGCAATGCACGTTGTGAACGTTTTGTAATTTATAGAATTTTTGTTTTCATATTTTTTTTTCTTCTAATTGTTGATTTAAAGCTTGTAACAATAAATGTTACAAATAAATTGCAATTTTTTGTAACTCTTTTTATATTGATTAATAAATATTTATTTTATATTAATAAATAAATACTGAAATATTTTGAAATTGGTTATAGAGTTTAAGTTTCATAAATTAATAAATTCTTTTACGTTTTTATATTAATACTGAAATATTTATATTTTATTTTTATTAATAAATAATTTTTTTATTTTAAAGTGAAATATTTGAGTTTTGCAAAGTAACAAATTCTTTTAGGTAATTTGTAATTTGAATTTTATTAGGTCATTTGAAATTTAGTATAATTTTTAATTTACAATAGAAATTCAATTATATTAATTTTTAATTAAATTTTAAAATAGAAATTCAATTATACTAATCATACATTAGATTGAAATTGATATAAAAATTTATTATATAGAGTTTGTGGTTTTTGGAAGACCCTAGGTTATATTTTATTTTCTTTAAATATATCCTTATCTAATGTGATAGAATTTTATAAAAAATAAAATAGGTAATTTGTAAAGAGTTTTATAGAAATTATTTTATTTTATTTAGATATATCTTTGTAAAATTAGATTTTTTTATTAAAAAAACTCATAATAAATAGATAAATACAAGGGCTATATATTTATATGTGATACAGTTCTCTTTTTATATTAATTAATAAATATTTTTTATATTAAAAAATAAATACTGAAATGTTCAAATTTCGTTAACATTTATATTTTATTTACATGTATTATTATATTATTATATATATTCTTTAAATATATCATTGTCTAATGTGATAAAGTTATAAAAATTGTTTTATTTTCTTTAAATATATCCTTATTAAATTAGATTTCCTTTTATTAGAAAAATCATAATAAATAGATAAATAGAGGTTATATGTGATAGAGTTTTTAAAAAAATAAAATAGTTGATTTTTGGTAATTTGTGTTAGAGTCTTATAAAAACTCTTTAAATATATCCTCATTTAATGTGATAGAGTTTCATTACAAATAAAATAGGTAATTTGTGGTAGAATTTTATATAAATTATTTGTGGTAGAATTTTATATAAATTATTTGTGGTAGAATTTTTTACTTTTATTAAAAAAAAAACTCATAATAAATAGATAAATAGGTAATTTATGTTAGAGTTTTTTAAAAACTCTTTTAAAACCTCTTTTTGTATCAGTTAATAAATATTTTTTTATATTAGTAATACTTGTCTAATTAGGTTTCCTTTTATTAAAAAAAAACTAATAATAAATAGATAAATAGGTAATTTGTTTTAGAGTTTTATAAAAACTCTTTAAATATATTTTGTTGATAGAGTTTTACTGAAAATAAAATAGGTAATTTGTAATAGAGTTTTATAGAAATTATTTTATTTTCATTAAATATATACTTGTCTAATTAGATTTAATTTTATTAAATAAAAGCTAATTTGTGGTAGAGTTTTATAAAAATTATTTAATTTTATATATCAATTAATAAATATTTTTATATTAATAATTCTTGTCTAATTAGATTTTCTTTTATTAAAAATTTGATAACAATAAATAGATAAATAGGTTAATTTAAATTTTATTATGTAGATTTTAGTGTTTTATAGAGGCTATTTTTTTTTTTTTTTTTTTTTGTAAAAACTCTTTTTATATCATTTAATAAATATTTTTTTATATAAATAAATAAATACTGAAACTCTTTACAGATTTAATAATAATATAGATAAAAACTCTTTTTATATCAATTAATAAATATTTTTTAATAATAGTATAGATAAAAACTCTTTTTATATCAATTAATAAATAAATACTGAAACACTTTGACAGAGCTTCGGTATTTTACTATGGAATTCAACTCTTTTTTATATCAATTAATAAATATTTTTTATATATAAATAAATAAATACTGAAACTTTTTAAGAGAGCGTTCTATATTTTATTCTGGAATTCAACTCTTTTTTATATCAATTAATGAATATTTTTTTATATAAATAAATAAATACTAAAACTCTTTGGTAGAGTTTTGTATTTTATTCTAGATTTCTAAAACAAATAATTTTAAAGGAAGCATTATATAAAAAATTCCATATTTGTCAGCTGGGTTACATATTCATTGCAACAGGAAGATTGGGAGCTTTGGTGAAAGAGGGATTTGATCTATTCTAATTCGGAGTTCACGAGTTTAAAATAAAAAAATAATTTATGATAAAATTACATTCATCTGATTTGCTTAAATTTCGCAATAGACACGAAATTTACCTTTTGTCTAAAGGCCCCTACCCAAATTTTAGATTTGCCCTTGCCATAAGGCCCCTACCAAAGAGATCAGATTGGCACACAACAGCAAACAAGTCTTCGTGTAACCATTACTGGTGATGGTGTAATAATTAATGGTAAGCTTTTGCAGGTTTGTTGGGCACGTGTGGGCCCACGAAAACCTATGGGTCCCTTTCCAGAAGCTGACAAGAGGGACCACTTTAAGCAAGTGGGTTCATGGTGGTCATGCCCTTGGTGGCCAATCGGATTTTCTTTTATTAAAAAACTAATAATAAATAAATGAATAGGTAATTTGTGTTCGAGTTTGATATAAACTCTTTTTATATCAATTAATAAATATTTTTATTTTAATAATTTTTGTCTAATTAGATTTACTTTTATTAAAAACTCATAATAAATAGATAATTTGTGTTAAGAGTTTTTTAAAAACTCTTTTAAAACTTTTTTTTGAATCAGTTAATAAATAATTTTTTATATTAATAATACTTGTCTAATTAGGTTTCCTTTTATTAAAAAAAACTCATAATAAAAATATAAATAAGTAATTTGTGTTAGAGTTTATAGAAACTCTTTAAATATATCTTTGTTTATAGAGTTTTATTGAAAATCAAATAGGTAATTTGTAATAGAGTTTTATAGAAATTATTTTATTTTTTTTAAATATATACTTGTCTAATTAGATTTAATTTTATTAAGAAACTCATAATAAAAGCTAATTTGTGGTAGAGTTTTATAAAAATTATTTTATTTTATATATCAATTAATAAATATTTTTTATATTAATAATTCTTATCTAATTAGATTTTCTTATATTAAAAAATTGATAATAATAAATAGATAAATAGGTTAATTTAAATTTTATTATGTAGATTTTAGTGTTTTATAGAGTTTTTTTTTAAATTAAAAAAAAAAAAAAAAAAAAAAAAAAAAAAAAATCTCTTTTCATATCATTTAATAAATATTTTTTTATATAACTAAATAAATACTGAAACTCTTTACACTCTTTTCATATCATTTAATAAATATTTTTTATATAAATAAATAATGAAACTCTTTACACATCTAATAATAGTATAGATAAAAACTCTTTTTATATCAATTAATAAATATTTTTTTTTTTTTGTCTTTTACTCTATAATTCAACTCTTTTTATATCAATTAATAAATATTTTTTTATATAAATAAATAAATACTGAAACTCTTTGGGAGAGCTTCTGTAAATTCTGAATTTCTAGAATTCTGAATTTCTGTACCCCTTCTCCTTCCTCCATGCCCCTATTTATAGGCTTCTTGGATGAATAAGATGATGACATGTGTCCTTTTCTGATGATGACATAATCGCTATTGTAATATAAAAAATAACTAAAAATAAGAGTTTTATATAGAATGTGATTGATTTTATTAGGTAATTTTAGAGTTTTATAAAAACTATAATTATCCATAAAAAATAATAAAAATAAGAGTTTTATATAGAATGTGATTGATTTTATTAGGTAATTTTTAGAGTTTTACAAAAACTATTTTTATATCAATTAATGAATATTTTTTTATATAAATAAATAAATACTGAAACACTTTGCACATTTAATAATAGTATAGATATAGATATAGATATAGATATGTATGTAAATAATTACCTTCTTATACGTTCAAATTTTTATTCTTATTTTTTTCTCTCCCTACTTAATGAATGTATATGTGTGTGTGTGTATATATATATATAACTTATTATTAATCTATTGCACCTATTACTTTGACCGTCACATATAATTTCATCAACTTTGATAATCTCCAATAATTTTATTTTATAATATTTTTAAGTCTTAATCTTTTATTATCATCATCATGTATAAATATTGAGGCACGAATCTAATGACTTCAAAAAAGATTGTACAAAAATTATATAATTAAAATTTCGTACCAAAATTAATTTATTACTGATCACAGTCAAAGTTTTACACTCTTTCTTTTAACCAAATAATAATAGTATTAACTTTGACAGTCTCCTATAATTTCATTTTATGATTTTTGAATTGATTCTTTTATGGTGACATCACGGTAATATTGAAAATGCAATAATATAATTTGTTCATTATTTTCTTTACTCAGAGTATTCTAATTTAATCGGATTGAAGATTGTACAAAGATTATATAGTTAAAATTTTGTTCCAAAATTATTTTACAACAGAACACACGAATCAATAAAGTTTACACTTTCTCTCTTTTGACCAAATTACACTATTAACTTCTACCGTCTCCTATAATTTCATTAATTTTGTATCTAGCTCCTATAATTTCATTCTATTATCATGACGTCACTTTAATATTGACTAAGTAATGAATTATATTTGTTACTCAAAGTATTCTAATTTAAAGAAGAACTGGTGATGAGAGAAGACCTCATAGTAACATTTATCTAAAACAAACTTTTGATCCGGAAAAGTGATACAGTAGCTTTTATTTTATTTTATTCTATTTTTTCTTGCTAAAAAACAAATTTTGCTAAACCATCGTTCACTAGTACAAATGTTAAAAAAATAATAATAAATAAATTAATTAATTAAATAAACAAATACGCTTAATATAAATTTAATTTAATTTAATAATAATATTAGGAGATCGTTTTGGACAAGTTACACTCCATAAAAGTATTAGGAAGCCTTGTTCAGCCGCCTAATTTATGTTAATTAATTGATTTTTATTTCGGTAATACTCGTAAGTTGTTGATTCAGATTTTGATGCCCCGAATTTACATATGTCCCAAGGATTGTCTCAAGGGAGGAAATTTCCCAGCAACTTCTTTGTATGTTTGGATGATGCTTAGCAATTGTTACATAATAAAGGGTGGGAGAGACTTTGAAGTATCATCATCATTACACACAAGACTTTGAAGTATCATCATAATTACACACAATTTCTCCAATATACTAATTCATGAATAATTCAAGCTTTCATTTTATTCAAATCATGGTCATCTCAGCATTAAACTTGTCGGCATTGGGCATTTGTGGTAGAATTTAATTCCGACTTCGATCCACATGTTTTTTTATTAGTTTTTTAAATTTATTATTTTGATTGGTCAAATTGGTATAACTCTTGGATAGTCTTGGATATAAGCACATTATTTTGCTCACAACATGACCGCTTGATTTAAATATTTAGTAGTGGTAGATTTTGTGTATATTTTGACATATGTACTGTGTATTATGAAAGTTATGTATCTATCTATGCATGCTTTCTGCGTATTTGCACATTTTGAACTTTGGATTCACCGAAAGAAGATTCGAACCACTTGCACATTTTGGTCCACACGTTTTCTTTCCATTCAACTTGACACCTTTTGTGAAGAACCCCACAAAAGATACTGGAAATTTTTCTTCAGCAGCCTAATGTTCTTAAGATAAGTTTTGATGGCCTTGATGACACAGAGAAGGATTTATTCCTTGACATTGCTTGTTTCTTCAAAGGGTATGATGAAGATCATGTAATAAATATATTGGGCAGCAATGGGTTTCACCCACGAATTCCAATTCTTATTGAACGGTCATTGATAACTATCTCATCATACAACAAGCTGTGCATGCATGATTTGTTACAAGAAATGGGTAAGGAAATTGTTCGTCAAGAATCACCTGATGATCCTGGCAAACGAAGTAGGTTGTGGTTTTATGAAGATATCTATAAAGTGTTCAGAGATAATACGGTACGTTTTAACTCCATATAAGTTTAATTGCAATTTTGATATTCAAGTTGTGCAAGAAAAAAAAAAAAAAAAAAAAAAAGGGATTGCTGCATCTTTTTTTCCATCTAAAACAATTGTAAACTAGGATAATTTTAAGGTTTTTACAGTAACTTACATAAAGTTTTTGATAATTAGGTGACAGAAACAATTAAAGGCATTATGTTAAACGTGCCTAATGAACATGTACCAGAGGAGTTACACGTAGATGTCGATGTCTTTGGGAAGATGAAAAAACTTAAACTACTCAAACTTAGTGGCATACGACCTTGTGGACAATTTACATATCTTTCAAATGAATTATGTTATCTCGATTGGGATAATTATCCTACAAAGTTTTTGCCATCCAATTTCCATCCAAAAATATTGGATTTTCATGGAGTTTATGAAAATATTGGATTTGATCTCAAAATCAATGGTTATGGACTGGAGGGACGTACGTATGATGTGGAGTATAAAGGCAGTCACGTTATTTTGATGAAGGAAACTAAATATTTCGATGAGTTGTCTGAAGAGTATCAACCAATTAAAAATTGGATGAAGAAGAGACCAAAGCTCAGCCCAGGCCCTCCCAATATTTGTGATGATGACATCTGTTACATTCAGGCTTCAGCTGTAACAATTGACTACATACGTGGCACTAGACAAGAAAGGAAGGTGAAGAAAATGGGTATCCATCTAATTATGGAGGAGCAAGGTGAAGGTGAAGGTGAGTAGACCCACCCAATAATCATCATATCATACTTTCATCACTCTCTTCAAACTCAATTTATCATTTCTTAAAATCATACCAACACTTTCAAATATCATATTTTTCGTATATACAGCAATTACTGTATTTGACTGTTGCAATTTTGTAGGTTAACACACAGAAATCCTAGAAGTCAGTTGCATGTTTGTGGAGCAGCTTTAAGAGGCAATAGAAAGGATCATTTGGATACTTTTGATGGTCAATTTTGTTTCGATTCTCAATTTTGTATACAAGAAGCTCTGACTGTTGTAACAAAATTTTCAATTGTGATGGAAAATGTTTTGTTAGTACGTACCATAATCTTTTTGGTCATATATGGATTATAATTTCACATCGAGTCCTAAAAATTTTTATTTATAATAATCACATCGTGTAATGATAATTATTGGGTTACAAGAGGGCACTAATTAAAGTCTACCACTCACAAATAAAAAAGGGGTCAAAATTTTGATGGTCATGGACCCACATGTCGTAAACGGGTGATAATGCACGCTCTAAATTCGGGCCACAACATCTCAATATTATTGACAAGTGAGATAGGAGAATGATGCCACAGAAAATGTCAGCTAGCATTATGACCCGTCTACGACACGATGACTATGCATCAAAAAAAATAAAAAATAAAAAATAATTTAAGGCAATATTAGATTCTAAGACATGCTCCAACACCAACTCACTTAACCAACTAAACCAAGACGGGATTCTTGATGCATTACTAGTCAACCAAAAATCTTCAAGTATATGTGCAACATGTGCAGAAATTACCACAACGCGCACATGAGTGCGTGCATGTGCATGTGCGTGTGCGTGTGTGTGAGAGAGAGAGAGAGAGAAGCTTTTACAAATGTAGATGGAAAAAACTGCTTTCTCAATGTTGCTAACAGAAATAGAATGTAATCATAAAAAGAACTATAATATGATCGAAACTTTTCAGCTTGAATATTCTTGATGATGAATTCCCGCGCACGAACTATTGACTTGATTTGAATCATTGGAATATTCACTGTGCTTTTAATCATTGGAATATTCACTGTGCTTTTTTTCTGCCAAAGAGCAAACTCAATGAGTAAGTGTTGCCCTTCTGTGCAGCAACTTCAATTCGTTTTTCACCAACCTACAGCCATTTACATTAAAAGGGAGAAAAAAAAAGAGAGTAGAATATTAGACATAATAGCACTTGTAGTATATATATAATAAATAAATAAAAGATAACAAATAAATAAAAAAACAAGACTAAAAAGCACAACATTTCTAGAAAACAAAATGCATTCATAAAATAGAATGCTTGCTGCAGCACAAGAAGAAAACCGAATATCCAAATGACCAGATTGCAATCAATTTCTTTTTGTTTTTGCTTATCCCCGTGGGTCTTATCATAAACGCTCTAGGTACATGTCGTGCTCACTGACATTCAAGGCATGGGTGCGTGCTAGGCTAATCTCAACCATACACCAGGCAGAGTCTTTTTCATTGGGTGTAAATCAGAAAGATTCATCAAAAGGTTTTTGCATGATGACCATGCATGTAAACATGAAAAATGTTTAAATTACTGCAAACATTGGACAGTGAATATGATACCTTGTCCATAAGCCAATAGCCAGCGGTTGGCATGTACTGCACCAAGTACATAACAGCTAGTACAGGCTGCAAGGCATGGGAAAAATTGGAATTATAGCTCATAACAAAGATATAAAAAAGATATGGACAGAAAAGTAAAAACCCTCAGCTGTTAGTTAACGTGGCAGAAAAGTGGGGGATGGTTATGCGTATAACAGGCAGATGTGTGTTTTTCTGTATGCATACTTATTACAAAGTGTGGATCCAATTTGCAATACATTACAAAAGTGGCAACACTCATATCCCAAAGTTCAGAAATTCCATTTTTCTTTAACTCCTATAAACGCCCAGAGTAAACCTAAAAGTTCATCTTTTACAACATTAATACACTCCCTCTGATCCATTTTAAGTGCCTTTTTACCCATTCAGGATAACCAAATGCCAAAGTACGTTGAATTTCCAGAAATTTTGCAAATAAAACTGTATTCCAAGAAATTACATTATCCTAGCATAGACCCCAACTTGGTTTGTTAGCTCACTAACCATATAAATGTTCTAAAATGAAAATTCACAATTTCTAAGGCCTGGTCGCTCACAAGAGTAGACACCGATACTAGGATTATCGCTCCTGAAATAATGAGATAACTGATAATATGAAGAGGCAGATTTGTAAATGGTGAGTACACATATTATAGGACAAACTTATCATTCAATATTGGTTAGTCTACGAGTAGATCCAATTGGTGTTCGATACAATTAGGATGCATTTGGTGAATATAGCTAAAAGATGTATTTCCTATTTCCAATTTTACTCATACTTAATTTAAGCTAATTTCAATACAATTAAGATTTCCAATCTTTATCAATGAAAAAATATGTGAAGGACGTGATGAGAAGTTAAAATGCGGTTACTCAACTTATTGTGCATAAAATGTGTGCATGCAGAAGAAACCTTCGCAAATATTTCCAAGCTTAAATTCAAGTTTAATTGAAAGGATTTGAGCTGACAGTTCATGAGGTTCAAATGTTAGGTGCTGTTTGACAACTCAATCCAATACTTAGTTTTGCAAAAATTAAGTGATTGTCTAATTGTGTGTTTGATTACTAAATTTGGATATCACATAAAATAGTAAGTTCCCCTTAAAATGAAGTAAAACATTAAGTAAGGAGACCACTTAAACACTGAACACTTCAAATTAAAACAAGTATAAAAGTTCTCAATTTACAATTGGCACATAAAATTCAGCTCTTAGAAATTTTAGTACTTAACTAATTCTCAAATTTCAAATTTATCAAACACCACCTAGTCATGTCTGGAACTTCAAATTAATATCATTTTTTTTACCTAAATGGTGGAAATTGTATTGATCAACAAAATATTACAATGAGATACAGAGAAAAAAGTGAAGACATGCCTTCACTGGGACCAAAAAGAACTTCAAATTAATATCTCTTTAAGCTTAAAAATTTCTATATCAGGCCTTTTTGTTTCTAGTAAGAAGGCCTCGAGTTAATGGATGCACGGTTAATCTTATCTAAGATCACTAAGATTGAGATATTGGCCATATTCTTCAGCAGGAAACAATGTCGTCAACTCAATTGAGTAGGAGTAGAAGTACTACGAAGTTATTGGCGCACACAATATTCACATGCAAAACTGTAAAAATGAGAGAGACTATTCATAATTTCAATGAGAATACCTGATACGATATCCAAACTTCCTTTAGACCATGGGTTGCAGCAATAATGGTTAGCTCCGCGCACCTCTCTGATGACACGCGCTTCTGGAGAAAAAATAAAATAAGGGCAAACGGTACAAAGTCCCACAATATATTGTTCATTTGGCCTTTGGTTTAATAATATTAGGTTTACTGTAGAAATCAAGATCCCCTAATAGCATATTAAACATTGTTTTATATTTTCTTTGGAATGAGTTACTTGTTTGCTTTTCTGACCAACGGTTATTCAAGACAAGGATATCAGATCAATTTAAACAAGCGATAAGTCACATATGTATTATAAAAAATGCAATATGTTATCCATAGTTAGCAGAAAATGGAACAGAAAAGGTACAGTACTTTATATGATTTTATTTTTGGAAACTGTGAGAAAATATTGGATAAGAAACTAAGAATACAAAAATTGCAGGAATCCAAATTAAGATGTGAAAGTTTTCCATCAACCAATCTTCTGCAAGTCTAATAACCTATCACTTTCTGAATTCAAGTAATTTCCAACCTCTTCATCTCCAAACCCTCATTCTTCTTCCACCTCTCAAACCCTAATCCCATATGCTTTCCAAGACCTTAATCCACCATACAACCATTTGCAGGAAACAAGCAGCAGTAATTTCCCAGTGATTTCTTATTGTGTCATCTCCACAGCAAAGAATGACATCCCTGTGGAGTTTCTCATTGCTATATTTTGCTTGATAATGTGATCTTTTAATTTTTCATATTTGGTGGTTGTGCAAACAAGTATTAAACGATGAAGAAGTTTCAATGGAAATTTTCACTCTTTTTCTCAATGCATTGGGATTCCTTTTCTCTCTTCTTTTCCTAAACATAATGCACATATACACAAATAAATTCAATGAAAAGTCCATATCATTTACACCATAACTCTTTATAGGGTTTATCTTTTGTTTTGTATATTGCTATATGCATCTTGGTTTTGTATGTATCACATACACCCTTTGAATATGGTTAGCATCCTATCTAAACTTGTTTATAAAATTTAAAAAAAAAGGTACACTGTTGTACTAAAGTAACCCTCCTTATGGATACCAAAAATAATTCTACCACTTTCTTAGTAAAAGAACAACACATAACTAAATCCAGACAATTGAAATTTTGCCAATTAAAAAGCCACTTCCAATGAATCACACAACTCATTAATTCACACGGCAGAAGTAAATGAAAGCAGCAGGAAGACACAGAGAGAACAATAGAAAATGAGGAGCACATATATAGCAAATTCCTTGATACGGACACTTGAAAAGCCTGTGTGTTTATGTGGAAATGTTTTCAATACTACAAGCTTTGATATATGTTTCAACAAATATTTAATTACTTCAGGTGTCTAACATGACATAAATACCTGTGATAATTTCCAGATGCTGGCAGTAATACTGATATGTTTTACTGCTTGCTTAATTACGAAGTCCTCGTATTCTCTAATTTAGTATACTATATTTATATATTCTAAGTTTCTAACTATTCTGAATTTTAAGGAGATACTGTTTACTGATGTAACAATAGTTTCATAACTATTTTCTAATGTCATTTAGCCTTTCATGTTTGTACTATCTAATTATTCCAGCTTCAACATTACTGTTTCTCATATACTTGAAATATGTTTCTTGTATCAATGTTTTATTTCTTTTATGTATTGATAGTTGCTAATATTATGTAAAAGTTAACAGTTATAGACCTCTGCACTTCCAGGTAATTTACACCCTAAACTGTAATGTGAGCTTCACTTGTTTCACTCATATAAAAGGTATAGTTTATAGAAATTCATTTAGAGTAAAACCAATAGAACCAAATTATGACCCTACAAAAACAGGTCCAAGTAAGCTCCACTCTATCATCACCAATGGTGGAGTGTAAATATGTCAAAGCGCAATATTTGTCTCCTTCAAAGCACTCCTTTGCTGATTACAGGAGTTTAAAACTCACATAAAAGGAAGTTTTAGTCACAAAGAGAAGCTTCAAGAGGAAAACTACAAAAAATTAAAAGCAAGAAAGATGTATCCTTAGCTTTTCCATATCGCACCAACTAATTTATTGACAAAGAAGCTGTTTTGGTTGTTGGAAGGAAGCAGCAGTTACAATGTAACATGTAACTTTTCAGCTTTAATTCATAGGAAGAATGAGATAAATTTGTCAAGAAAAATTTAAAGAAAAGGATCATCGATTTGGCCCTGAACTGTTGGAAACAATGCCTTCAAGCGGGCTGTCTACACACACAGAGAGACTAGCACAGACTTCACTGGATCAGAGTCGGTTGATGGAGCTGATAAAAAAATCTAAAGGGAGAGGGAGAGACAGTCGGTATCACAGACTTCACCAAATCAAATTCGGTGGATGGGAGAGAGAGAGGGGGGGGGAGCTATTGGAATTTGAAAAGAGACAGCACTCAATCTGATGGTTACGAGATTTGAATGCGGGAATTAATTGTTCTCTTGTAAAGACAATTCATGATCATTCTCTTACATGCAAATGTAGATTTCAGTTATGAAAAATTATCTGAGAGAGAGAGAGGGAGCTATTGGAATTTGAAAAGAGACAGCACTCAATCTGATGGCTGTAACGGTTGTTGCCAATTGGAACCTATAGTGCTGCAACGAGATTTGAATGCGGGAATTAATTGTTCTCTTGTAAAGACAATTCATGATCATTCACTTACATGCAAATGTAGATTTCAGTTATGAAAAAACTATCTGCAAGACATAGTCTTCTGTCTACACTAGATGGATTGCATCATAACTGATTCAATCAGGCAATCAGCACCTTAATGAAGGTAAGGAAAGAGGGGGCTTCCATGAATTTCTATCAAATACCTTTAAATTGAAACAACTACAAACCTTGAAACATTGCAAAAAACCAGTCACACACAAGTGTTTTCATATTCTTACAAGTTTGTGCAATTTGTATGGTATAGAGAGTGAGTTTTGTGCAAGGTGGAAATAACTTCCATAAGTCCAGCCTGACAATTTATTATGGATAAATGTGAAATTAAGCACCCCTTTACCTCATGGCCTGAATTGATAGCTACACTTGCTATAGAATTAAGAGGAAAGCGTTTTCGGAAGAAATTTTGAAAGCTTTGTCTCACTGGTACTGTATACTTTATATGGAAGGAACAAAATGCTAGAATATTCGATCATAAGTCCAGGTTAGTTACAGCAGTCCAGAAAGATATTGTGTTCAGTGTTTACAGCAAAATTGCTTCTTTGAATCTGAAACCCAAGAAAAGCGAAACTAATAGATGGCTTGCTAGACAACGGGAGCTACCTGATATGATATTCAGTTAATCCGTTGGGATATTATTTTGATCTGATTTAGGTGGTAAATCCTTTGATGGACAAAGGCTCATTCTGCTGACAGCTTTCTAATTTTCTATACTGACTCGGGCTTTTTAAAAGGAAATTTGGCTTTTTTAGTTTGTTGATTTCAGTATTAATTGATAGCGGTTCAAACTTTTGTTTCTGTTTTAGTTGCCTTTGGGCTGTTTAGTATGGTGGTGAGTTGTTTAAATAGGTTGCTATGTTGAGTTTAGTTGGTTGTTAGTTGTGTAAACTGGAGGATGCCCCTTTTGTATTGTAGTTTTGTATCTTTGTCAATAAATCTCACTTACCAGGAAAAGAAAAAAAAAAGGGGCGGGGGGGAAATTTTACAGGTATGTTAAAAAAATTCAGTATCTTCAGGTAAACACACACATTAATTTCTCATTTCTTGTAATTCCATGTTTGTAAAACCAATCTCATAAAAAGCATTAATCTGTCTTAAAACCTCATCAATCAGCATCATCCAACCGTTTATCTACTGCCAACCTAAGATCACACAATCAATCAATTTGTCTTAGCTTATTATGTCAGAAAATTTTTATGCACCATAAGTAACAAGAATAAAAATCAATTACCCAAGAGAACAATTATAAGAAAATTACCTCAGAAATACCCTTTTGTCCAGAGGTGTTTTCTCCCACACCATCTGTAGTTTTTATTGGCCCAGGACAGACAACAGTCACTTTAATTCCTTTTCGACAGAGCTGCAATCACAAATTAATCACAGAGTGATTTCATATAATCTTTGTCATTCCTGAACATCCAGGGTAGGAGGAAAGCTTCCCTTATAAGACTTCAGCCTCAGGTGAATATCACAGGGCTTAATATATTATAAGATATATAAATAATGAGATAAAAATGTAACGATTATGATTTTTTGTTGTCTAAGGAAGCGAGAGTGTGTTGCATTATATTTGGGAAATATGTGAAACTGGCTAGTAGCAAGTCTCCAGAATCAATTAATCTCAAGAGGAATATGCCTATTGATTTGTTTTACATTTGCAGTGGAGTTTATGATCAGATATGGCTGCAATCATTTACAGGAAGATTCTGCCCTCAGTCCACTTGGAATACTATTTCAACGGCATAGTTGTATGGGTACAGGTTGGTCAAGTCAATGACCTTGTAGTAGTTGTATATTTAGGTCCTTGTGTTCCTTGTGGATGGTTCTAAAATTTGTCATATAAGTAGGAGGATATATCCATCGTGATATCTTGTAATCATTGCTCATCTTTGTTAGTAATTTATCTTCACCTACCCAAAGAAGAACAGAAAACAGAACTGTGCTCTGTTCAAAATCACTTATACCTACCAACAGGAAGGGGCTTCTTCCCGATTCCCTTCACGATAAACCCAACCTGGAGACGAAGGTCTGCTTCTTCCTCATCATAGCCAAGAAAACCTTCCAACTCATCCAGGCAGTCCAAGCTAGAGGGTAGGCTTGATGAGATGCAACTACCCTCACTGACTTCAAGCAGTGTATCACCAAGCATCTCAATAAATGAAGTACATGCCAAGACGACTATACGACTTTTGTGTGGATGAAATTTTCGCCAAAACTCTTTTATATGGCCTAAATCTAATAGGTATTAGTTTAGCCACTGATTCTTTTTTCCATTTTGATATCCCTGAGAAATATTAGTTAGTTTATATACATTTGTGTGGATTTTGTTCCTCATGAATAGTCTCTCTACGTTTCTTACAGTTACTCATATCAAAACACCTCTAAATTTCAAGAAAATCCAATAGTATTTTTTTTTTTTTTTTTTTTTTTTTTAATAGGAATCTTGAGTTAAAAGTTCCATATTGATTCATTGTCATGTCAAAAAACATTTCAAGTCCACGATGGTTGATCACATAACCCCTGCTGCACCCCACAACCGCACTTTAAAAACTTGGGCTGGATATACTCTAAACATGCCCTTTAAGTAACTCTGCTGCAGAAGATTATGTGTGCTGCTGGCAGAATGAATTGAAATATCTCCAATCCAATAACTGTCTATGGTGTTTTGATTCCATATTGAATCCAGTTACATAGGCAGATGATTACTCAATATGTTCAAGCTTCTTTTTTTCCCCTAGTTGATACTCAACCCCACACCCCCAAACACCCAACACCCCCCCCCCCCCCCTAAACATGCCCTTTAAGTAACTCTGCTGCAGAAGGTTATGTGAGCTGCTGGCAGAATGAATTGAAATATCTCCAATCCAATAACTGTCTATGGTGTTTTGATTCCATATTGAATCCAGTTACATAGGTAGATGATTACTCAATATGTTCCTCTCCCCCCCCCCCCCAACATCTCTCAAGGAAATGTTTGCACCCAAGAGGAGTCGAACCTTAGACATAACGCTTCTTGAGGCACCAGGGCCAAGTTCTTACCCACTTGAGCCAAATATGTTCAATCCTTCAAGGTGCTTTGGCAAAGGTCATCTAAAACTGGTCAAGCAAGTTGAGTTTTCTGAAGTTCAACGTCAACCATTTTTACTCTCAGTTGATTTCTACAATTAATCTGAATAAAAATAAATGTGTATAATTTAGCACAGCATAATATAGAAAGGCCGATGTGCATGTCCCCTTTGTTTCCTTGATACGGAAAATATACTTACCTCGGAACGCAAGGTATGGAAGTACCCATTTAGGGCATATTTAGAAGCAGAGTATACGGCCTGACCTGGTGCAGGTGACTTTCCTGCGGCACTACTCATCTGCATATCAGATAAAATCAAATTTAAAAACAGAAATTAACATATTATAGGATTCAACTATCTGCAAACCAGGGAAGAGTACCGTCAAATAGCATTATTCAATAATCAAGTGTCTAATGAATGTGATTAAGTACTGAGTTCATAATTAGCAGGCATGCTGGCAACCCAATCATGTTTAAAATCATCAAAGTAATGAATTTCAAGTCAAGGTCCAACAATGAGTTCTGAGTTGCTTAGCATGTCCAGCTGCATGAAGATGTGACGCAGCCCCGGCCATATAGAGTGAACTGCCCACCCCCAAACTGAACCCTCTGCCCCTGCTCCAAATTTTACTTCTACATGGAATGAATGCTCTAAGAACAATTTTATGTCCTCCTTGAAAATAATGAAACATCATTTGTTTCCACGTACCACAACAAAGTGACCCCTCCCCCGCCTTATCATGAAAGGTGCCAGTAGCCTTGTGAGAGAGATCGTCCCAAAAACATTTACATCAAATGTAGCCTATTTGCAAAACAGAGAAGTATCAAGATTAGAAGAAAATCAAACAGAACAAGATCCATAATTATATTACAACACTCTTGTATGTCCTGGTGGTAGACCAGATTAGTGACTCCACAGCCACAAGGCATAGCCAATTGAATTGTGGCAGCCAATGATTCTTTCAGCAGTCAGACTCAGTCTGACCATCGGGATTGTAAGCCCGTCAGATTTAAACCAAGATTGAAGTGATCGGAATCCAATCGCTTAAGGAATCATTCCGATCTAATAGATTAACATAAAACCAAATCGAATTTGATTCTGTTAATAATTGGAAATCCAATTTAATCTGTAAAGATTAATAAACAAAAAATTAGAATAACTTCAACTACTGATGCATAAAAACATAAATAATTACTTTACAAAAATAAAAGGTATTCCAATAGTTGTCCTCTTTTTTTTCTAAAATCTATTATGTTTTAAGTGTAATATTATTTTTATTAAGAAAGGAGCTTTAGTTAAAAAGACGAGGAAAACTAGAAAGGACAAGGTGTCTTTGCCAAGGAACCAACAAAGAATTACAGTTGAAGTCAAAATATAACAAGATAAAATATATATATATCAAGTGTATCGCCTAATATATTATATCTTGTTTTTTATCGAATAGATTCATATCTGGACCATATCACCCAGACAACCCAAGGTTCATCTTTGTTAAAATATCAACCCAATCACAATTGAATCGTTCGTCGGAAGTCCCTCTTTCCAAATATACTTAAAAGGTTGAGATCATAATCCAATCAATTCACAGGCCTAATCAATACTACCCATATGTTTCACGTATGTCTACCTTGAGACTTTCCTCAGTCACATCCAATGCTGTTGCTTTCTGCAGAACAGGGGGGAAAAAAGATCACTATCTGCTCAAATGCATCACCACTGTCACAACAACACTATTTATCAAGACAGAATACAATCCACGGGAAAAAACAGTAAATTATAAAGAAGATTCATAAAGTTGATCATAATTTTACCAATCAAAGGAATCGAACAAGACAGATAATTACAAACACAAGGATTCCTAGAGGAAAAATCACTTATGAACGTGAAGAGATGCTACCACCACAAGAGACTTCTACATCATATTGGTTGCAAATGCCTATCCCAAATATACATGATAAACAATAATCGTGAGTTTTGACAAGGCTTTTCTCACCAAATCATGACAGAGCGGAAGCTATGAACATTCACAATGAACAACTTCGAATCCACAGTTAAAGAGAAAATTGCAGAAAAATATGATATTATTATTAATGAACTTATTAATTCAGCTCTCTGCATATGTATTTATAATAAAAGGACCAAAACACCATAAGAAAACCTATCTGCGTATGGAAACTAGAAAGCTCTACATTATAAGTCAAAATTTCAACTCTCTCTAAAAAAGTATTAAGAAACATAATTACTAAAAACTACTAAACACGGGGAAAAAGTCGACTGTCGTACATCAGTCCCTTACACTTAAAAAAAAAAACTCGTCCTCGAGGTTCGCTGCGGCTCATTGTATGTCACAACCCGCCCCAAACCCGAATAGATATTGTCCACTTTGCATACTCTCCTCTCGGTGCTCACAATTTTCCTCAAAACGCGTCTACATTGTTAAAGGGTGTCTTCACATATAAATGCCAAGAACTATGTCGGACGTCACAATCACCCCCCTCTTGGGACCTAGCATCCTCGTTAGCCTGACCCGCATGGGCTTGTGCATTCCCTCCCATTTCCGACTCAGGAACCTGGCTCTGATACCATTTGCCACGACCCTCCCCAAACCTGTGTAGATATTGTCCACTTTGCACATTCTCCTCTCAATGTTCGAGGTTTTCCTCAAAACGCGTCTACATGGTTAAGGGGTGCCCTTACATATAAATGTTAGTAACTCCACCCCCACCCCACCCCCCCCCCCCCCCCCCCCCAACTCACATTGTATATTAATATAAACAAGATTTCATACTATTAAAGACTTAATCTTAATGCTTTACAAACTTGCTTAAGATTTTTCGTCCATTTATTTTCTCTTTCTTTCAACTTTTTATGATAATCGTCACTGATGGATACAGCTTCGGGGAAGAGCATATGGATAAGATCATTACCTAGAATCAAATAATCTACAACCTTTCTATCAGTTTTATATCCAGAATGCTCATTGTGATTTTCAATAAATGCCACCAACAATCCATGGTGAGTGTACATCAATAAAGTCACATCATCTCTAAAGTTGTCGTGTTTATTTATCATGGGCTCTATACTACTCCTTCCAACACACGCATCACAAATCCCAAGTGACTTTGGTCTCTTTGGGTGGGGGGATACTGGAATACTTTTTTTCTCCTCTTTAAGTTTCCCACATGATGAACTGTTTCCAAGGCTTTTCAGGTGCATAAGCGATGCTTGTATGGACTTAATTCTCAAAGGAATCAAAGATAAAGGGAATTTCTTCAAAACTCAATTTGATGTCGTCATCTTCTTCCTGCGATGATCCTTCACCAGCTTGACAAACCATCTTGGACATGCAACTTGGAAAAATCGTTGACTCACTGATCAACAATTAATCCATATTGCTCACTTTCAGCATCGAGCTTCTTGTCACCATCATCTTCTTTTGCCATGTTAAAGTCCCTTTCTATGTTTGGCTTTCTTGATTTTTCTTTGGTTTTTGTTTATTCTTGGGATGCGTTCCCCTCTTGAACACTTTCTAATACATTTTATTTACAAAAAAAAAAAAAAACAAACTTCATCTTCAACTACAATATGTGAAGCAACATAGATTTGCTCAAAATCACTGGTTGCTTCTATAAATTTATTATTATCTTCCTTGATGTCACTATCTTTATTGTAAAATTCCTCCTTAGACTCGTTGACAAACCAATCTCTTTTCCGCAATCCTGTTTCCTGCAATCCTCATATTGGTGATACAGCGTCTGTTCATAATCTGGTGGGAGGAATTTAGCAATCAACAACCGTTTCATCTTGTATCACGTTTGCACAAGTTGTTTCCCTTGCCTCTTTCAGTTAGTTCGTGTCTGTTCCCACCTAGCTTAAGCCTATCTTTTAAGCTTGAACGGTACAAGCGGAACTTGCTTGTTTTCGGGTATGTCAAAATACTCGAGAGAGTGCTCAACTTCATTAAGCATATCTCTTATTTCTTTAAGTCGGGGTTGCAATAGATCTCATACCAGCCAGTCCAAGACATCATTAGCATAAATACTTCAATCGAAAGTGAGTAGATCAAGTTTTCTCTTAAACTCACGATTGTCTGGATATCTACGGTTTTTGTAATGTCTACATCTATCCATCGCAACTCCTTTTACTTTGAACTCCTCATTATTGGAATAATAGACTGGAGGCCTATGTGGATATACAGGAACATAACCTGTGTTTGGTTGGCTATGAGGAACATTGTCGGTACGATCCCAAACTAGACCACGAACTTGGTTGCCATGAATCCCAAGACCAGCAATTGGGCTATACCATTGATCAAATTGCAGTTCTTGAGTATGCATACCTGCCCAAGGGGCCTACACTCTACAATCATCGTCGTCAAAGTGGTTGCTACCAAAACGATAACAAGGGTAAAACAAGACTCTATACTATCTGATAGAGCGGAAGCTACAAGCGTTCACAAATGAACGATAAAAAACTTTGAACTCACCAAATTAAAAAGAAATTGCAGAGAAATCTAAGGAAAGAATGGAGCCATTGCTGACATAAGGCAGGTGGAAAAAAGGGTCTCACTGTAGGTGCATATATTATTAATCAACTTATGAATTCTGCTCTCTACAGTACATGTATTTATAATAAAAGAACTCTAACACTATAAGGAAACTAACAACACAAGGAAATCACACAATAAGTCAAAAATTCAACACTCTCTAAAAAATTATATAAAAAAATAAGAAGAAACCTAATTACTAAAAACTACTAAACACGAGGAAAAAGTCGATAAAACTGTCCTCTGTCCTACATCAAATCATTAGTTGAACACTTGGTCCAATGGAAAAATCTCGGGCTGACAAACATGATAAGACTCAAAGCAGCCCCTTTGTTCAATATATTATCAAAATTAGGAATTTTCCTCACCCAGCCCCTGCCCACATAGGCAAAATGTACACTGGGGTAATGAACTAACCCTTTGCCATTCTGGAGATGTCAATTTCCATCAACTCAGTTCTCTAAAATCTTTTATTGTTTACTTATCAAAATAAAAAATAAAATTTCTTTTATTGGTTACTGTCTAACAGGCCCACCCTTCCTTCTCAATTCTCTTCTCCCCTCACCCCAACATCTGTCCTAAAAAGGATATAAAAGCATATTGAGTGCATTCTACCAAAACAATAGCTAGAATTTTCTATGTTTTGCATTCATCATCATACATTTAGATAGTGAGCGTGTTGTTAGTGTTAACATCAACAATCCTACTGCAACGAGAATTTTCAACACCAAAAGCAACTTCCACACAACCAATAACGATCAGATGTTACGAGTCATGGAGATCAATGTGCTAATGGAAGAGCGGATCATCGCATAAGAAGTGGATTTGCTCATTTGCAGCAAGAGTTCAAGGAGAACGTCTGGCGTGAGTCTGAGTCAGACGTAACTAGGGGATGCTTGGGTTAAAGTATGGTTAACCTAGTGTATAATTCATTCACTTCATAGTGAAATGATCTGCGTGGACTAAGTCCCGTGCTCTTTCCTCAATGGCATTTCCATGTAAATTTCCACATGATTTCTTTATTTTGCTTATTACTGCTTTGATTAATGCTTCCATGTTTGAATAATCAATTACATTCAATGAACAAACGCATAAATATAAGGGACTCTAGTTAATAATTAGAATAATTAAATTAAATTGCGAAAAACAGCTCATTGACAGTAAGGGCTTCATAAAAAACCTATGCACCTCCCCTCTAGGTCTAATTGGGCATTGCGTACTCAAAGCCTTGGGTTATGACCCTAGTTCTTCAGTCTACATATGCCCTCTCAATGTCGTAATCACAGGATCATTATACCTATGAAAAAGAAAAGGAAGTGGCTGATAATCATGACCTTGGTGAAGAGTTGTAGTTCTGTGTGTGTGATTCCAAAATTGTTATCGAATGTGCCAAGGATCTAGAATATACTTCAGCTAAAGAGTCCGATTGTTTACATATATATCGAGGGTATAAATACTGCTCTACGTGAGTGTGCTATCTGTATTGCAGTAATTATTCACTTACAGGGCGCTCAAAGGCTGCATTATGGATCATATAATCCACCCCGGAACCTGCAAAAAAGGATTCAGCTTTCTGTACAGCCTCACTGAGAGAATCTTCTCCCGACGTCAAATCCAAAGGCAAAACCATCACCTCGTCCGGTGCATGTTTACCTATGCCAGCCACATATCAGATAAAGAACTGGAAATAACATTGGGAAGTAAATATATGTTAAATCAAAAGGCTACTTCTAAAGTTTCTGGTGGAGGGACATACCAGTTAGCTGTGTCCTGACTCGCTCCAATTCAGCTTCATTTCGAGCAGAAATAATGAGCTTGGCCCCTAAAGTGGCAAGTTGTTTGGCAAGGACCTCCCCTTCAATTCCAAGATTAAAGAACAAACAAAATTAAATAATTTTACATGGTATGTGAAACAGCAACTGAAATTTCTCTGCAGGAAACCTAAAAAATATTTATGGTAATTAGAAGAAGGAAAAAAAAAAAAAAAAAAAAAACAAAAACAAACAAATCTGCCTCAACAGGAAGGGCCTGGGCAGATTTTAAGCTACTGGTGTCAAATCTGGACAGGAGATAAATGCGGAATCAAGAATTGATTCTTATACTAAACTTTTCTTCTATATATTAGCACAAGAAATGAAAGATCGTAATCTTCACGGCCAAATCCAATGAAATAAGTTTCAATGCTGGTTTCAACAATCTATCCAGCATTGGCGGAGTAAATAACAGCACATCCACCACATATTTAAGGATCAAACTTGTGCCAATCAATATGTGAAAATCAAATCCACCACCATCAAAGTTATAGATAATAGAGATCCACAACCCCACCAATTCTAAGTTGCTTCAACAACTTCCAACCAAGAGCCATAGGTCTGTTATTTTATTAATCCCATTTGAAACTTGATTATTGAATTGTTTTCATGATCCTTATTTTTTTTCCTATAAGAAACAGAAACCAATTGATAGAGGTGACAGAAAATAGAATACAGGAAGAAGGAAAACAAGGCAGCAAGGAGTCCTGCAGAATTAAAAACGCAAATAAAAACGTACATATGGAAAACAACATCGATACCAAAGAGCATAGGAAGGTCCCTTAAACTCAAGAGTGATCGCCGCCCAGTTAGCTAAATAAATCCACGTCCTTATTAGCTGACATGTGAATCCAAGAACTGGAGGCAGTAGTTTTCTAAGTGATATCCAGGATGTGATGGCACGTACATGGGTATTTACATGGACCCTGAGATCTATCTTTAACCCAAACAACAAGAATCTAGGCATACCCTTCCACATAAATATTACCTCAACCTCTATATTTACCTTCTCTAATACCCATAAGCAAAGCCATAATTTCCACTTGACGCCAATGATGGCATACCCCTTGCCAGAAGGGAAAGAGAAATTATACATAAATTCAAGTCCACCATGCCAAAAAATGCAACCAGTGCCCACTTAAATATATTTCTCCAGGGAGCAACTCTCAAAATAAAACTAAATAGTGCCTATAGGAGGGGGGTTTCCACTGTTAAGTCAGTGCTAATTATAAAGGTTTGCCCCAAGCTCACGGCTCTCCAATCTCAGACGATGAAATACTAAAACAAGTCTTAAAAGCTTATCCATGACTTTCTGTTCTCTAACGATGAAACTCAAAAAAAGAAGCATTTAAATTTTCATGTCCACGCCTCCTTCATGGAATTGCCAATACCTTGAAACCCCAAACTGTTTCTTCCAAGCCTATGACATAAGAAAAGCCATAAGTGAAGATCTCCAATTGATCTTGCCCTGAGACCTACAAAGCCATAAAAAACAAAAATCCAACAAAAACAACTTATAGGAACAGGCCACCCAGTCTATAGTTTCATAAGAAAGCAATCTTTGCCACAGTTGATAAGCAGAGTTATGGGCAATAAATTGGTGTCAATGCTTTGACATCCCTCCTACACGGCACAAATGCTAAGCAAAAGGTTTGCATAGGGTCCCCTCCTTGAATCATATCATTCTTGTGTTCGCCTTGTTGAGGGCCACAATCCAAGCAAAAACTTCAGTAGGAAGCTCCTTCAAGTCTAATATGACTTCAGCTGTTTGGAAAGGGATAGGATAGGTTCCCCAAGACATGCTTCCAAATTCTATTTGAAAGGTGGTTATCAAAAATCTATATAGTAGAACTGAAGCCTAACAATTTTCAATAGATTCTTCTAAGAAATTAAGTGTCCCATTTGGAAAAATATCATATTCTGCCAACATATGGAATTTTGTATTCCTCAAAAGGAATTACTTAAATGCACCCATTGGATATCATCGAAGTCTAACACACACAAGAATCATGTTTCCTTCCACAAATTAAACAGAATCTCCTTGAATTAGCATATGTTTTATAGCCCTCATTGCTTACTTCGATTCTTAAAGCATCAGCTTCAACATTAGTATGTGTCTCAATGGATAAAAGAACCAAGTATATTGGTTTCTTAGTAAATGAACTGATCAATCTCTTAAAAAAGATTGCAATTGTACCAGGTTGCCAAAAAATTGATTCAGATTCTACCATCCTATAGTCGTTCAGTCCAAAAAACCAAATCGCTCTCGATCCCACACAAAAAACACCAAGAGGATAGAAAATCTTGTGAAATCCCTATAAAATTGAAAGAATCTTGAGATCCAATTGACTCTTGAGTCTATCAAACCTACAATCTATCTTACTAGGACTCGTGTATGTGTGTCGAGTACGCGCATGAATCCACGTGTCAGAAGTGTCAAATCTCCAAATAGAGGGCAGGTGGACACTGCTAAATATTCATATTATTTAATATTTTACTTTATTTTCTAAAGTAAAATAATTTATTTATGTAACAAAGTGTCTAATATGATTATAATAAAATTAAATTATTAAGTGTCAGACGCATATCCTATACCCATGTCCAAATAATGTGTCTCGACACGGGTACTTCGCCTACTTTCGAAGAGTCCATGTAACATAGCCTACAATATAACCTTATGATGTTATTCTTCTTTTGTCACAAGTTAAGGTTCGTCACCGAAATAATATTATAAAACGAACACCACAAAAAGGGCTAACCTACTGCACGAGGCTCCAGCCATTGTAGGTCAACGCAGCCTTACCTCTGTATGCAGAGAGACTATTTCCCATTTCAAACACATGACCTCCAAGCTCCAGGTAAATCTGACCCTCCCCAGGTTTATAATGTGAGATGTCAAGGACTTGTGGGGAGACATTATATATTATACACTCGTCTAAACGTAAAGTATGCAGTACGAGTTCCTAGTTATTCTGCGCATGATCTTCACACCTCATATCTAGAGGTTGTCTACCCTATTTTGAGAGATCTGAAGTTTGTTCCAGACCAATGAATGCTGTTTTCTAAACATCGTCATCTACAACTAGAAGATTCACATACGCATATTAGGGAGTAATTTAGTCAACTTAGAAAGCAAGAAACAACCAATGGGTGGGTAAATACAGGGCTAAGGCGCAACCGCGTAAGAGTGGCAGATGGGATCAAGCAGCACAGATAACTTGAGTGAATACTATTTTGTCTTGCCCTGTGAAGCAGCCTAAGAATTGCCTTCAAGAGAACAACTCCAAATTATACAAATAAATCCATCGTTGATATCAATTAAACAACTCCAAATTATACAAATGAATCCATCGTTGATATCAATTAAACACTATATAGGACAAACCACATCTCCAGCCAATAATCAATAACAACCAAATAAATTACGATCCCAACCACTATAGTATTCCTTTCAGAAATAAAAATAGCAAAAGAAGAAGGAGAAGAAGGAAATTAAGTCTCAATATAGTATCAGCTAAAGATTGAATAGTCAAGCCCAAATCTGAACTACTTCCTGAGATACTTCCAGACCAAGGATAAATATGTAACCAACAGTCTCACAGATTGATAAATTGTCAATATATATGAATGAAACCACTTCATAAAATAATAAAAGAGAGTATAAATTGGATGAGTTTGCACAGTATTTTTTGCAGGAATATTCAAAATTATTAAAGAAACAAAGAACAAAGCTCATTACTAAGCCCCAAACATCAGTAAAGCAACCAAGTTAACCACAACACCATGAACACAAGAAATAACAGAAAAAATTAAACATTTGCAGGGGCAAAAAGAAATTACAAACATACCGATTCCACGACTGGCCCCGGTAATCCAAACAACCTAACAACAAAATCAGTAAACGAATTTATATGAAATGTAGAAATTAAATTGCATATATTTATATATATATATATATATATATATATATATACACACATGTTGTACGTGTGTGTATATATTACATGTGTATGAGATAAAAGAAATCCGGGTCATTTTTATTACATGTGTATCAGAATTTGCATACCTTATCTTCCACTTGTTCGCGCTTTACATGCCCTTTTGATAACAATGTGAAATCCCCTGTTGAAAACACATACAGAGAGAGAAAATCGAATCAAACCCAGGGACTTGAGAACTCTGAAACCATATATGCCTGTATATTATATACACATATATACATATAATCCGGCTAGGTTTCGTATAAATACCATCAGCAGTGACGAATTTGAAGAGTACTGCGATGATTAACGCTAGAAATAACAAAGTGAATACAAGAGTCAACATTTTCAGTTTTGGTTATAGGCAGTCGTCTCGCGCAATGTATAATTTGGCTTGATTCATGTACTAATTTCTGATAGACATGTATGTGGGTTTGTGCAACAGTGTGAATGCGTGTGCATATTTATGTGTGTGTGCAACTGTGTGTCGATACATTCTATATTTAATTGCTGCGTGTTTGGTGATATAGGAAATACCATTTTTCCCCCTAAATTTGCAGAATTGTAACTATTAGTGTTGGTCTGAAATGATAAATAGCATTAGATTTTTTTCATAATATTTATTGCAAAATAATAATAATAATGACTTATTAGCTCATTTCGCTCACTTCGAACAAACAAGAATTTCGTGCCCTAAGTTACTCTTTACTTTTAAATATTATTTTTTAATTTCAAATTTATAGATCACATGATAAAAAAAAGTAAGATGAAATAAATAAAAAAATTATAGTTGAACTCTCATACATTTTAGTTTCTACTAGTTCAGAATGTTGGAACTTATTTTTATGTGGATCATCTTATTTTGGAGTTATAGCAATAAATAATTTCTAGATGAGATATACAGAGATAGGTAATATTATTGTTTTGAAATTAAGTGAGATACCGCTAGGAGAATTTTTCTTTCCCTCTCCTCATCTATCTCCTCTTCTTTTAAAAGAAAAAGGAAAAATGTAAGATTAGATATGCCAAATTTTTATTTTTATTGGATGAATTGCAAAAAATTCACGTCCACTAGTAATCAATTGCGAAAAACCCCCTCTAAATATTTTTGGTAAAAAACTCTCCTCAATTATCCTAAGGGGTGTTTTTAACTTATGTCCATTTAAGTTATTGTTTGAGAAAAAATTTTGGACAAAAATACCTTTTAACAGATTATTCTTGAGACAAATTTTTTTTTTATTTCTCTCTCTCCCCATCAAGCAATGTAAAAAAATTTCCAAAAAAATAAAAATGGAAAGCCAATAAAATCATATTTAAACTATGTATAATTAATAAAATAAAATTGAGTATAAATGCACAGGGCAGAGAAAATCCACCATGGTGTTAGAATAGAAGATGGAAAATTTAAATAGCTCAAGAACTCCTTCCGTGCACTTGATCTTTAGTAAGCATTAATAATTTGCCATGTTTTCTTAGTCCAAATTCTTTCTTTTTCCTGAATTGAATTATACTACCGTAAGATAAGTGGACTAAAATTGGCCATTAAAAAGCAACATAATTTTTCTTTTTTTCAAATTTGATTTTTGTTATTAAAAAAAAAAAAAAAATCTTACCTCGTGAACACGAAATAGCCCAAAATAACTTTTTGAGATGAAATTGTTGTAATTGATGTACTCAAGTTAGACTTACAAATATGAACGCTTTTAATGTAGAAGGAAATTGTTGTAGTTGATGTACTCAAGTTAGACCTACAAATATAAAAATATGAACTCTTTTAATGTAAAAAGAAATTGTTGTGGTTGATGTACTCAGGTTAGACCTAAAAATATGAATGCTTTTAATGTAAAAGGACATCATTGCCCTCTATTCAATTTACAAGAATCTAATTACAAAGGACATTTAAGTCATTTAGTTTGAGAGAAATGAATTTATTATCTCTATCATATATTGTTTTGATTCCACCACTTAACTACTTGAAAATTGTTTTGATTCCACCACTTACTACTCGAAAATTACATACCATGTGAATGAAGTATAGGGGTAATTTCTAAGAGGTTTACTCACTCTTATTACTGAGATTTTTTTTTTTTTTATTTTTATTTTTTATTCTTATTATTAAGATGATAAGAAACCAAATGAAATATAACAATTTTTACATGCAAATGATTTGTTCAATTAAATAGATGAAATCATGAATAATAATAATAATAATAATAATAGTAAATAAATAAAAATAAGTCATAGATTAAGTGAATATAACCGAGTATTCTTAGGGCTTCAATTATTATTTACATGTGCTATTTTTTGTTGTCTAAGTAATGTTGAAAGATAAATTTTCAACAATTGGGTTTCTCGATCTGCTGTTAGCTTTGTGTTTGAAGGAATGAGAAGGATTGCTAAATTGTCTGAAGAATAATCTGTTAAAGGGTAATTGGTTCAAAAAAATTTCTCAGATAACCACTTAAACAAATATCAGTTAAAAACATTTTCTTGGGATAATTGAGGGTGATTTTTTGTCAAAAATATTCATATGGGGTTTTTCGCAACTGGGTAATAATAAAGGAGTTTTTTTTGCAATTCTTCATTTTTAATTTTAACACAAAATGTCGTGATTATTTTTTGAGATTATTAGTCACGCTGCCTTGAAGTTATTTTATGTTTTCAAACCAGTCACCTTTAAGTTATTTTATGTTTTTAAACTGGCCTCCTTAAGTCTCAATAGAATAACTTTGTCATTACATCAAAGTCCACATTTTTATACTCACGAGAATAGTAAAAATTGACAAGTAATTAGTTTTAAATTGAAGGAGTTGGGAATTAGTTTATTTTATGAAAAATGGCTAGATTTAAATTGAATGAGTTGGAAGAGTAAGAAAAATATTAATACTGTGTACAGTTCAAAAATATAGAGCAAAATGTAAAAAATTAGAGGATAACTGAATTCGTGAAAGTATTTTAAATCACTTCGGGTTTGTTTGGTTAGCATGAAGCAGATAGAAAGGAAAAGAAAAAGATAATATTTAAATTTGTTGGGAGTTTGGTTAGTATGAAAGATAAAATTTTTAAGAAAGTAATTTTCTTGCAACTCCTAAATTTTTTTCAAAAAAATTCTGACATAAAACATGAGAAAATTTTTACTTTTCCATGAAAGTGGTGTCTTCATATCTTAGTTTCCTATTATGCCCATGTCACCCTCCTCACTTTCTCCACAAACTTCTATAACAAGTGAGTTTCTTTTTGTAAATTACTTATAAGATAATGCAATATTAATTTAATTGTATATAGTTTTATATGTGCAAACAAAATTAAAATTTTATTTTATTTTTTTCTTCCATAATTAATAATGACTGAGAGTCAAATATATATATATAAGTAAATCTGAGTATTTAGTAACAAAGTGTTGGATAAAAAATTAAGTTAGTGTATCTGCGTATACAAGTTTTGAAATTATAATTTAATTCATACATGTATTTTTTTATACATAGACTTCTCTTAACTTTAGGACTCAACTATTGAAATGTATCAAACTCATTTAATTTTAACTCTACGTATATTAAATATACCAAACTAATTTAGTTTTAACTTATATTAGATGTACCAAACTAATTGAGTTCCAAATATTTTATTTCGATTAGAGTGAAGTTTTTTTTTTTTTTTTTTTTTTTTTTTTGACTAAAAGTATATATATTAACTTCAATCTTTTATCCTCGAGATTTTTCGGATCAATTTTTTTATATTAATTAAACTTGTAGCTATAATCACATATATATAATTATTAAACATCAAAAAATAAATACTATAATATTTATTATTTTATCTTTGAACTTAAAATTATCAAAAGAGTACAAAATAATTTTATAACTAAAATGGTAATTTTGAAAACTACAATCACTTTCTTTTCACTTTCATTATTTCCAAACTCACAAAATAATATTTTCTAATAACTTTCTTGAAAAATTTTCTTACTAACCAAATACATAATAGAAACTTGATTTTCTTTTCTTTTCCTTTATTTTTTCACTTTCGCTTTCCATAAAAAAATTCAATATAACCAAACGGACCTTTTAGGAATTGAAGAAATTTATAATAGAAGGTACCCATTTTATTTCAATTATTTGTAGAACAATGTTTTATTTGCTTTTATATTTACTACATTTTCCAAAGTCATCCTATTACTTTATTTTGTTTTATTTTATTTAAAATAAAAATGAATGGAAGAAGAGATGGATAAGATATTTATAGGGAAGAGATTGTATATTTATTTCTTGGATAAAGTATAAGAAAGACATCTCTTATATGAAACTCTATCCAAACAAGGCCTTAACTCTTGTGAAAAGACAAAATTACCCCTTAATAATTAAAATCAGATCATATTTTATACTTATTCTCTCTCTACTCACCGGCGGTCGAAGAACCGGCCGTCCAAGCCGCCGACCACTCTTCTCTTCCCTCTTTCGATCTCTGTGCCATGACTTGATGCCCACTGTTCTATTACGGTTACGGCGACTGAAGCTTCGTTGCTCGTCTGTATAGCGACGGTTTATTGATACCCATGTCGTCGCTGGCGTTGGTTGTCCGAAACTTCACCTTCTGCTGCGCTCACTCCGCCCTCGCCGAGCCCATCGGCATCGCGGGGTTCGGCCGTGGACTCCTGTCCTTGCCGGCTCAGCTCCACCTTCTCTCATCAATTTGGTAATAGATTTTCTTACTATTTAGTTTTTCACTCATTCGACGGCGATTGGGCCATACGAAGATCAATTTCAATATATACTCATGGACAGAGGATTTGAAGGCTTGCTAATTGGGGGTTATTGTCTTAGGGGTAGTTCATAGTGACGGAAGAGATAGAGGGAGTGTTCCAGGCTAAAGACCTGGGAACAGAAATAATCCCTGTTCAAGCCATCTAAATATAGGGACTGAGTGATACGGTTCATTAAACTGTCCTTATTTTTATGTGCCGCTTACAAAAGCAATTCATGTTGTTGTGAGTGACAGAAGATGAAGATTTCGCTTTCTATTTAGATCTTCTATTGCACTTGGCAGCTCAAGTTATCTGGTCCGTACCTCATACTGTAACATTGATTTCTAGTTCTATCTGAACCGGGTGATCCAAAGCCATTTTTGTCTCCTGATATCGAATGCAATAATAAGGGTTTAATAGACGAAGGTGGGAGGAAGGGGGTTTGTGAACCGAGGTTAAAAAGGTTATTTTCACATTTAAATTGGTCAATATTAAAGTTAAAGGGTAAAAATGTTAATTCATTACTATTGAGGTGTCTTTGGCTACTGTATCAAACTCGAGGGAGTGTCTTTGTTTTAAAGGGGTGTCTTTGTTTCAAAATTGGCTAAGTTTCATCTGTACATCCTTTCAACAAAACAAATCTCAGGGGTTGTTGATGTACTTTACCCTTATTTCTTTTTGTTCTTTTGATAGAAGAGAATATAATAAACTGAAAGAGAGAAAGAAATAAAATATTTTAATTATTTTTATCATTATAGTTATTTATGGGGATAATACTGTAATTTAAAATTTATGTAATTTAATATAATATTTAATTTAAAACTTCTATAATAGTTAACTTGTCCTTCCTCCTTTCTTCCTGCCCATTTTTGAAAATGATGTCATTATTTTTATTTTCCTTTCTTATTTTCTCTCACGCATCATCCTTCATTGCTACAGAACACGGTATAAAAGAACAAAAATCACTTTAAATAAAATAAAAAAAATGTAAAACATTTCAACTTATTAGCACTTAAAATTGAGTTATTTAAATATTTAGTTTTATCGAATATAAACTTAAATGAAAAAAAAAAAAAAAAAAAAAAGAAAAAAAAAAAAGAAAGAAAACGGACTAGGTGACACATGGAAATGAGGTTTATAAATTAGACTCTCGTTCGCAGCAACCGCACGGCATTTTTCACACGGTGTAAGCTGCTGGAAGAAAACAACAATGGCTTCAATGGCGGCGAGAAACGCACTTCTCAAGTACCTAAGAGTGCAAGCAAGACCAGTGCTTCAAAACCCTAGCCCACTTTCTGTCTCATTCAGCAGTATTCTGCAGCGACGCCACTTCTCAGAAGAGGTCAGGGGTACATTCCTCGATAAATCGGAGGTCACCGATCGAGTCGTCTCCGTCGTCAAGAACTTCCAGAAAGTCGATCCTTCCAAGGTATACCAACCCATTTATTTTTTCCTTTCTATGGATTGTAAATTGAGGAATTAGGGTTTTTGAGTTGAACAATATTGGGGGATGTGGAATGCCAGAATTTGTGAATATTGTAGACCGAGGGTTTTAAAGCATAGCATCAAAATCTGTTAATGATAATGGTTATGCTCGGGTTGCCCGGGAAGGATTGCAAATGAGAAGTAAATTGATACTTATTGTTGGAAAATATCATGAGAATTAATGAAAACACACACTAAAAGAATGAATTCAACTTCTGACATGAGTGATCCAAAGGTTTGTGTTGAACTCCTGATGGCGTCAAGGCTCTGTCCTGGGTTGATACGGTGATACCCGTGGTCTATTTAACCTTGATTTCCGGTACCTGTGTCCAGTGGAGTATGTATCCAAGTTTCAGATTCTCAAATAGAAGGACACAGGGACACTACTAAAAATTCACATTATATATTATTTCTATTTTATTTTGTAGAGTAAAATATGCCTTTTATTTGTGTAAGTGTTTGATATAGACATTTCACTCGTTTTGAAGCAATAATAAATGTAAATCATTGGTTATGCGTTTTAAGCTCTTGTCCAACCAGAGCGTTGGACACATATTCCATACCCATGTCCGAGTATTGTATGTTTGACACATGTAGTTTACCTACTCTTAAGGAGTTAACGTAACATAGCATGTGGTATGGAGGTGATTGATTCAATGTGTGTGTGTATCTAGTATTTTCATTTCTTTCATTTAGTAATTCATTTTTGATGATTTCATGTCTAGGAATGCAAAACTATGATGGTTGTATGATAACTGATTGCTTGTTAATATAATTAGAGAAGTCTACCTTGATGATGCTCTGACTGAGCTCTCCCTCGTAGCCATTGGATGGAGAGTTTATGAAATCAGTCTGTCTACAAGTACACGAGCTCAGTGAAGTACCCTCATAGTAGCTTTTTCCATTTAATAACCTTTGATTCATTTGAACAATGGGGCAATTCATATGTCTTGGGATTTATATATCCCGTAATATTAATATATGTAGTCATGAAATTATTTCTATGTGATCACTTAAGTTTTTCCTTTTTCTTCCTTGATAATTTACCTACCTTTAGTCTCTTCCAGAGTCTGCTTTGCCACCTTCCTAGATGTTCTGCAATATATTACCATAGTTATTTATGTTTTCATCCGGATTTCATTGCTTTTCTTGTACTAGTTGCTTTTTAAGTGTCATTTTTTTTTAATCTCCTGTCAACTCTTTTCACTATATGGTTTGTTGGCCTCCTCTTATTGCTTTTCAACTTCTAAGTTCTTTGATTGACAAGTCTAATATTAATAGCCTATGTTGGTTTGTTAAACATTCACCAGAGATCACCTTACAATCTCTGCGCGTGTTCAATTCTCCTCTTTTATACAGGCAATGATCAATTTGTGTTTTTCATACCACTTTGAAATCCAAGGAACCAGAAGATAATGATGGTAATTTTTGCGGTGGTGTTGTCTGACACTCTATTTATAGTTGTTGTCAAGGTATGTTTCTTGGTCATGCATAATGGCCTTGCCATGTATAGTCATGTGTCCTTAGGTGTCATGTCACTTTCTCACTACTGGTAACTTTCCTAGTAGTGCATTGTGGAGGAATAACTACCCTCACAGTCGCTGATGGTTTCTTTGGTCTTCTCTATGTTCCTTGCATGTGATTTTACATTTAAGTATTTAACTCCCTGAGAGCAGAAGTCTGTCTAGTTCATCAGATTGGATGTTCTTCCATCACCCAGACTGATATATATGGTCTTAAGACTTATTATAAATTAGTCTATTACAAATTTATTTGCCTACATGGTATATTTTTGGGTACAAACAGGATGTTCTTGTCAGAACATTGTTGGTGCTTGTGATGTGAAGGAGATAATATATGGTGTTGCATATCAAATTCTTAGGTTTTGGCCTTTTCTTATTCTTATTTTCCTTTCTCTTTTTCTTTATTAGTGCACACGCATTTCGTTAATTGCTGACTATGGGCTGTATAGCAAGAAAGAGGGGATGATGCTAAGCGGTGCGTGTAATTACACACAGTTGTTTTTTTTTTTCCTCTCTTCTCTCTTCCTTTGGAGGATAGAATATTTTCCCCTGTTTCACTGCTATTGCATATTTTCCCCACCTAAAACAATTTCCCCTTAGGAATATTGATATAGTAAATCCTGGTTTGGAAGACAAATGGTAATTATTGATTTTAGCTGGTGCATTGAATGATATTCTTCACTGGGTCATTACAGCTTCATCTTATTGTTCTACTGGCAACATGATTGCTTGAATTTTAGTTGGTCATTTATCAATCATGATATGCAATATGTGTTCTTTTATCCTCCTTGATGTTGTTGAACTGGTAGTTTCATTAGATACCTTATACGACATGTTGATATTATTGACATTGCTTTTATGGAAATGCTTTTGGCAACACGGTTCTTTTGTGATTGTCTATTTGGAACATATGGAAAAATAGGCTAGTAAATTTTTCAAAGGAGAGTGACTGTATTATATCTGTAGTGTAAACTTTTGTACTCCTTGGGTAGTCTTGAAATACATGCCTCGTTTTCTCCTAGTAGTATTCATTATCTGAGAACTAGTTTTTTTTTTTTTTGGAACACTTGGATAATTGAACATGACAAATGTTTAAAAAACTTTTTTAAAGAAGGAGAAGTGAGATATAGTGATGGTAATTTGCACTGAAATTGGTCTGGAATCCATGTCCATGCATGCCCATTAGTTTGTTAAGGAAATTTTTCTTTTTTTCTTCCCTTCGAATATTCAAATATGCCAGAAATATGGGTCCTTATTGCTTGGAAGGTCCTGATTTCTTTCTTGATTCTTCACCTTTTTTCCCTAACTAGCTTGTTAAGGAAGTTTCCAAATGTATTAATGATTGCTGGTGAAACGCTTATCTTCTTGTTAAACACTTTTGGTTCAATTTTCCTCCATCAAGATCATGTGGGGCTCTTATTCCTTTCGTGACCCAGCTAATTTCGACTGTGATTTTCGGGTGATTGGATTGGAAGCTCTTTAAAATGGAGGAATCTTTGGATAGAGCATTGAGGAAGATGGATGATATTTAGTGTGGAAGAGAGATAAATGAGTATGGAAAATTGATACTTCCCCTGTGCCCTTTCTCTTTATTGCTTTTGGAATTTAGTTTGAAATTGCGTTCATTAGAATGCACTCCTAGAGCCTTGTCTAACTTGTTGTACGGGATGATTCTACAGCAAATATGTTCTTAACATATCTTAATTTTTGGATATTTTGCAGGTTACACCAAATGCCCATTTCCAGAATGATCTCGGGTTAGATAGTTTAGACACCGTGGAGCTTGTGATGGCATTTGAAGAAGAGTTTGGGTTTGAGATTCCTGATAATGAAGCAGACAAGATTAGTTCCATCAGTCTTGCTGTTGACTTCATTTCATCTCATCCCCAGGCAAAATAGGGGAACAAAGAAGCTTCCCTGCTATTTTCTACCTTTTTTCTGTGAGGAACTAGCTCATCAAGAGAGACCGGGTTCTTGGTACTTAGAATTTATATTTCTTTTTTCGTTTCCGGATATTAAATACATCATTGCTCACAATCTGTGTTGAATTATGTTTGGAATGTATTTTGAGCATTTGCTGACACTGATTGCTGCTCTTTTGCATAATTCCTGATGATGGAAATTACTATGGTTACTGTGTTAATTTGTTGCTAAGTGAATTGTCTTGAATGGATATGTATGTATTTTTTTTTATTTTTCGATAGTAATAACAAAATTATATAGGGAAATTTCACAGTGTGCCTTGAAATAACGAGCTTGTTTAATCACCGGGTAACAGAAACTGATCTTCACCAGAGGCTTACCGGAAAGTGGCTGTTAGAAGGCGGTTCATACCCATCTGCGGAAACCGGATTAGGTTGAATGTACTGCATGGCTTTGTCTGTCCAGTGCTGGTAATCTTATGTAATTGTAGATGGCATCTCTGATTAACTTGGAGTTAATTTGGGAAGCATATAATTTACTGGTTAGTAATCTTTTCAGGACAGTTTAAGGGTTAACGATTAGGTCCAAATATAGGAAGGAATCTGAAACCCACCCAGATTTGAAGTGCAGTTGGGGGTTAGAGTGATCTTGCTCCATATAATAGTTAAATGCAGAAATGTTGCTTCTCACCTGTTGTTTGTTTCCTAAAGTAAATTACAAATCTATCCCTAATGCTTATTCTCTTAGTATTTATAAAGTTAATGATAATAATGCCATTTCGGGGTGTTTTCATTAGACTGGAGTGCAAATATAACGGGCGCGAAGCCTCTCCATGGCACCTCACTGGAGGGTGTCCATGGCAGATTCAATGGCTCTGATGGAGCCACGTCGCCCAAAGTTGCCTTGTTATTGCCTAATAAGCGCCGACTCAGCATGTGAATTAAAAAAGTTTCTAAACTCAATTTTGTTTTACCATGTAAAAATATCATATACAAAAGTTATATACAGGAATATTTTATTCAGTTATACATGGGACCCAATTCAGTAAAAATCCAATTAACTTTTACTTCTTCTCTTCTTTTCGTCTTCTTCATGCTTCTGATCTCTTCTTCTTCCTTCATCCTCCTCTGATTTTTCACCAACACCAAATACCTTCATCCTCATGAGGGTAATGGAATTGACTAGGTAAAATAATGGAATTGATTTCAATTGATTTTATGTTTCCTCCTATTCCTATAAATATATATATACACGCTTTAAAGTAGAATTGATTTGTCTGATAAAGGATGATGATTACAAAAAACCCATGGTTTCTTATTCGTGTAGTTGGAGAGAGAGACAAACGAGAAAACCAAATTTGGGAAAGAAAGACAGGGGAGAGAGAACTGGGTTTGGATCGTTAAGGCAATGTTTGCCTTGGCATTATTTTCCTATATATATATTTTTTTTATTTAACTGAAAAATGATTTCCTTTTTTAAATTGGCGTGGCCCAATTTTGGCCGCTAGATCAATCAGCGTTAATGATGTCAATCAGCGGTAATGAAGTATACTCACAACGAGAGATGGTTCTGGTTTAGTAATTAATGGATAATGATCTTGAATTTAAAGATGGTGATCAAAATTTGGGAGGAAATATGAGATGAAAACTTGTTTCTTGAAAAAATAGGTTTAAATAACATGTTAATATTTTTTCACTTTTTGCTACTTATTTAAAAGCTGTCATTACCAAAGGAAATTTTGTGTATATGCATTATATATCTAAATCTTTTGACAAATTAAAATTTTGTGTAATTACATTCCAAAAAAAACAAATAAATTTTGTGTAATCTATCTATCTACAAAACAACAGATTTAGAATCACAACAAATTTACCTATCCATTATACATCTCAAAACATATTTGAGATGCATAATCGATAAGTAAATTTAGAATTTTAGATTACAATAAATAAGAATCACAAGTTCTTACAACATATATCATGTATGAATTGAGTATTGTATTAGAATATTTTCATAACACGTATCAAAAATAAATTTAGAATTTTAGATTACAATAAATAAGAATCATGAGTTTTTACAACATGTATCATGTATGAATTGAATATTGTATCAAAATATTTTCATAACACATATAAAAAAATATACTTCACAAAGTATCGTAATGTCCTACTGGGGAGATAGCCAAACAGGGGTCGGTCAAATTCACCTTGCAGCCATATGGCACCGGGGGCATCAATCTCGACTCAGCTATAAACTCCTAAAGTGATGAGCAGAGTGAAATTTCCTACATTTGCCAACAATGAAGTAAAATAACAATTTTAAATCAAGATATATATAGGTAAGTATTCATTATGTTTTTATATAATAAGTGATACGTGTTACAAGTAATTTATGATGCTAGATATAATTTAGGTTTGAAACATGTTAAGCTTAAGTTGTGTAAGACATTTTCACTTTTGACAATGGGACAATCTTCCACTCGTAAAAGAAAGTTGATAGATTTATTTTATCCCATTCCTTTTTATATTATTGTTGTATTAAAAAATTCGTAAATAATATATGTTACAATTAAGTTGAGATGTATCATATAATTGATTTTTAAAACATTATACTTTAAAGTTGAGATGTTTTCAAGATATGTTTGTTTAATATTACGTAATTCAATGTTTGTTCAAGATATGTTTGTTTAGCATGCTGATAAGCACCGAATATTGCATATTCAAGCGCCCTAAATTGCATTAGTTAAGTTCATTATTTGATTTTATTATGCAGATTATCTTCATTTGTGCATTTTTGTTTATTTTCAGGTTCATTGGCTTAAAAGAAGCAAGAATGATGTTTTTGTTGAAATTTTGAATGCAAAGTGCTCAATGCTGAAGCTTGGCAGCAGTGGAACCTGACTTTTGTCGCCATTTTTGACCTAGCAAACTCAAGAACTGGACTTCCATCATAACATGAAAGATTTAGAGCTCTGAATCAGCTTTCCAAATCTTCAAGCGGTTCATCATTCGGAGTTCGGAGCAGAGAGTTATGATCTTCTTATTAGAGGTGCTCAGAACTGCCTGGCAGCAATGAGTTTCTGCCTTGATCTTCAATTTCGACCAACCAGACTTAAGAATTGGATCTCTACCAGAGCATAAAGTTTTTATAACTCTAAATCAGCTTTCTAAATCTTCAAACGGTTTGTCATTCGGAGTTCGGAGAACAAAGTTATAGCCGTTTTACCAAAGTAGGTCCGAGCAAAACAAAGCAAGCGTGGAGCAATCTGCTCCATTTTCGAGTGCTCGAGGCCCTATTTCGAGCACTCGAAATTCAGGCAGAATGCAGCTCGGGACTCCTCATTTTCAGCCACTTGCTTCATTGGTTTCCTCAATTTGAATCTCCCTCTTTTATGAAGTGGTTGGGAATGTTTTTGGAGGAGAGAGAGGGCTTTGTTGGAGGAGATAAGGCAACCAAAGGCCACATATATCCTATCCTTCATTTTTTACAAGATTAGAGGAGAGAGAAGAAAGCAAAGAGGGTGGTGTTCTTGAGTGCTACAGTAGGAGCTCGAAAATGGAGATGGAGGCTTCTTCTTCTTCTTCATTCCTTGTAGTCATGGGTAACTAAACCACACCTAGGGAGGTGATGAAGCCTCCCCTTGTTGTTCATGTTTTAGATTAGGCTATGTTGGGGATTATGATGTATGCTTTTGGCATTTTCATAGTTAGAGCATTTCATCCCATGTAATGAACTCTAACACTTTTAAATGATTAATGTGAGTTTCTTTTGCTTGTCTTAATGATCTTTGTGTTAATCTTATTGCTTGCATTCTCATAGTGATAATGGGAATCAAACTATGATTTGTTTTCAAGGCATGTTGTTAGAAAAATGGATAGTCCATTGCTTAGGAATTTCCTTTGATGGGTTATGCTAGTTTCCTACCTCATGTGATTTATCATTTGGTTATAAACTTGATAGTTCTTGCTTGAGTGAATATGTTGAGGGCTACACTTTAGTTTAGGTAGCTCAAATGTATGAATTTTTGAGGGATTATTCTTGTTTAATGATTTAATGAACTTTTCCAAGAGTGTATGGTAACATAGTGTTGCTATATATTCCATGACCATTTTATACATTGTACCTCCCCAATTTAACCTTAGTCTAGCATGTACTTAGGGTGTAGTGTGGATTCATCTTCCTAGTATTTTCTACTTGTATCTCACTTCCTTTAATTTAATTGCAATTTATTGTTTTATGCATTTCAATTTCTTAGTTTAGTGACAAACACACAAACCTTTTATAAACCTCCCTCATCATTCTAGAATGATTCTAGACATTTAGGTTGTATTAAACTAGCGCAGTCCCAGTGGTTCGACTTACCCGACCAATAGCCCTATTTTACAATGATTCGTGCTATTGCGAAGGTTGATGTTAATTGACCAACCGATCACATGCTATTATTTTTTCACTTTTTTCTACTTATTTAAAAGCTGTCATTACCAAAGAAAATTTTGTGTATATGTATTATGTATCTCAATCTTTGACAAATTAAAATTTTGTGTAATTACATTCCCAAAAAAACAAATTTTCGCTACTTATTGAAAAGCTGTCATTATCAAAGGAAATTTTTGTGTATATGCATTATATTATATCTTAATCTTTTGACAAATTAAAATTTTGTGTAATTACATTACCAAAAAAAAAAAAAAATTTGTGCAATCGTTCTATAAACAAAACAACAGAGCCTCAAAACATTCACTCTCCCAAATCTTGCCTCAATTAGTTAGTATTAACAATTCAACCAAAAAAAAAAAAAATGAAAATGAAAATCCTCAAGCCACCCTCCCCCGTATCTCCCTACAATATCAACATCAAACTACCAACCCAAAACAAATCAAATAATAGCATTCACAATCAATGCCTCAAGTTTCATTGACCAAATCAAAAGCTCTTTGCTGCAGTTTCAGTTCGTCAACGAGCCTCCCAACATCGGCGAGCAGAACCAACCAAACTAGACCCAGCAACCTCCATTGTTTTCGCCCAGGCTTCATTCATATCATTAATGTCCGGCGAAGTTAATGATGGTGCTCCATTGTTTCCGGCCAAGCTTCATTGTTTTTCAGAATGTATGGTGCTTACTTAAATTTCAGAGGGAGAGAGACCTAGAGTGAAATAATGAAATATCAAGAGGATATAGAATAAAATTTTGGGGGGAAATCAATTTTATGTTTTGGAGGGAATTTGAATTTCATTTGGTATAAATTCTTGTATAGATATATATGTATGTATGTATATACACCTGCAAAGTAAATACCCTTTTTACTAAAAGGCCATGTCACCAAATTAACCCTCCAAGGACAACCGCTAGTGAGAGATGATTTGGAGACCATTTTTTCCCAAATATCACCACCCCAATGAATTTAGGATTTTCATTTCTACAATTATATAATGTGTATGTGACACTGTCTGGGATCAGTCCCTTTGACATCCTTTTGCATACAATAGTATGATATATATATTTTTCATTTTCAATGGATCTGTATATATATATATATATATATATATATCTCAATGAATCTGTATATGATCTGAGTTTAAAAGGACATTCTTAATAAAGCTAAATTAGGATCAAATATGTGATATTATTGCCTAAAGTGCCCCTGCGGGGGAAGGGGTTGGGTTTGCTTTTGAATGGAGAGGAATATGAATAGGGAACTTAAGCTACTCGCGGAAAAAATTGGATTAAAAAATATTAAGTTGTAAATAATTATGGTTTTATATATACTTCCTCCGTTCCATATTAGTTGTCAACTCTAAAAATTTTGACCCACAAAAATTGTGAGTCAAAGTTATCAAAATAGACCTCTAGTATGAGATATAGGTAGTATATAAGTATATTAAAGGAATATGACTACAAATAACATCAAATGATTCAAAAATAAAATGTGATAGTAAGTCAAAAAATTTCAAATTGATAATTATTATGGGACGGAGGTAGTATATATATATATATAACTAAATTAGCCTCCCTCGTCTTTTTCTTTATTTGTGCAAACTAATTTGAACTTATTACAATTTGAGTCACCTTTGAATGTCTTTCATGGTGTGCAAGAAATTAGCTCCTTTTTTTTCATGAATAATGTTTGTCTCAGGTGGAATAAGATGGTGACATGGACCAATAAAAATATGCAATTTGTCAAAAAAAATTAAAATAATTAATAAAAATTGTTTAAATCTTTTTGCGGATCATCCAAAAGGAAAGATTTTTTTTCCCTCATGCGTCTGAGATTTTCTATTGCAAACCCTTCATATTGCAATCCGAAGAAGTTAAACAATTAGCCAAAACCTGGTAAATTAACCACAATTGTAAGATTCCAATTATCAATGAAGTTTAAGGAAATCAATTTGGTTTCAGATTGCAACAAATGGCGATAAATCTCAAAATTTTGGATGCCACTAGAGTTATGCGTATTTATTAATTAGTCGGCCTCTTGAGTCATTCTAAAGATGGGATTGCAAAGATGACAGGCAACGAATGTAATAGTTTTAATCATCTCTAAAGATTGGATGTAAAAGATTAGGGTTTGGGAATGGAAGTGGTGGCCAACAGTAGAAACTGACAAGTAGTGGAGGTGGTGGAGGTCGGTTGCCGAAAAAGAAGATTAATATTAGAATTTCAGAATTGGGGAGATGGTGGACATCAATTACGATTTAGTGGGAAGAGAGAAGGAATTATGAGTTAAAGAGAGGGAAAGTCCATTACCAAATCTCATAGGCGTGAGAAAATCCTCTTTCTTTTTTAATGACCCCCGTGAAAAAATGTGATAAAATCCTCTCCCTTTTTTAATAACCCTTGAAAAAAATTCTCTTCCTTTTTTAATAACCCATGAAAAAATTCAAATGATTCAGGTAAAACACCTCACAAATCATACATACATACATATCTCTTTTTTTACTTAAAAGTTACATCTCTCTTCTTTTTCATTATTTATGCAAATTCATTGTGGAAAAAAGAGAAAAGTAACATGTTATGTTGGAATGAGTCGAATAGGTATGTTGATTTTAAAATTAAGAATTGAGGATGCGGCAAGTGGCATGGGCCGGATATAGTCCGCGGGAACGAGATCGGGTCGAATGATTGAAGTAGGATCCATGCCAAAGCGCATTGGAATGGGCCGAACCTGGGGGATCCATCGAGGAAGGTCAAGCCCATTGGAAGATCAAGCCCAGAAGGAAGAGAGCTTTTGAATATAGGCCCAATGTAATCGGTTAACAGCAATAAGGGTGATGGCCTATAAATAGACCATGACAGGTGGAAAGTAAAGGGAGAATTCTAGAGAGAGAGAGAGAGATAGGAAAAGATTGAAGAAACAAAATCTTGTATCTTCAATTGGCGCCGTCTGTGGGAATCGAGGACGAAGATCAATTCGAGCCCGATCAGTACCATATTAGTTCAATCGAGTTTGTGAGTACGCAGTGTGATTTCTGGAAGTTAAATCCAGATCAGTGAGATTGTAGTTTGTTCAGAGAGAATTCTTGCTTATTATGGATTCTGAGGCATTTGCTTCGGAATGACGCAATTGTGATTTGCTCAGTTGCAGTCAGATCCGATGAGTTTGAAGCTAGAAAAGTTCAGATCTAGCAAACAGTGATCACGATTCAGTGAAGTTAAGCCTAGATCTAACGGAGTTTGCATCGGTAACGCTTAGATCTGTTTTGGAGTTCGTAATTCATGCCTTTGCTTCGATCCGGAATCATGATAGGGGGTGACAACTCTAATACGGTTGAGAACGTCCAGCAAGTGAAACTTGATGAGTTGATGAACATGATCGAAGCTCTCCAGAGAGAAAATGCGGATCTAAGGACTGAAATGCAGCGTCAAGAAGCTCCAGTAATTCCACGACCACTCCCGGTAGGAGAAGAAGGTGCACATACCGATGCAGCACATCACGGTGAGGAGGTTGGAAACAATCTAGTAGATCCTCACCGCGAGGAAATTCGGCGAGACGGTTTGCCGCCAAATTTTCGTCGTATAGATGATCGTGAATGATCAACTCACATAGATCCACGGCGTGAGCAGATCAGGCGAAACGAAGCAATGACTTTTGATCCACATCAAGAAATGCTCAGCCGAGGTGAAGCAACAGAGTTGATTCATCAGAAAGCTATGCCTCCATGGCGCAAAGACTTTGTTGAAGAAAGATCATTCGATCCGACCTATCGGCCTTCCATGACGACGTTCGACTATCACAGCTCAGAGAGGAGATCAGTAGACCAGAGAGCAGCCGCGGGGTTCCAGAGGGAAAATGAAGCACTCTGTTCAGCAGCTTGAACGGTTGATTCACCGTTCACCGATGAGATTCTGAATGCTCCGAGTCCGAGGAAATTTTCCATGCCCGTTTTCATTCTGTTTGACGAAACGACTGATTCGATCGATCATGTGTATCACATCCAGCTGAAAATGGCTCTAAACACTGAGAATGACCTTTTGATGTGCAAGTGCTTTCTTACGAGTCTGGCCGGACCAGCTCTGAATTGGTTCAAGAACCTGCCGAGGGGTTCAGTGGATAGTTTCCGAAGCCTGTGTGATCGGTTCATAAGCCAATACTATGGAAACAAGTGTCCAGCGAAAGATATTTCGAGCCTATTCATAATGAAGCAACACGCTGAAGAGCGTCTCCAGGCTTTCCTAACCAGGTTTAACCTTACCAAGAGCATGGTTATTGAATGTCACCCTTCAACGGCAGTTCAAGCATTCATACTGGCCATGAACCGTGGCACCCCGTTCCACACAAGCTTGGTGGTCAACACACCGAAGACTATGGATGAACTTAACGAAAGAGCCGATGGATTTATACGCTTGGAAGAAGAAGAGGCGGCAAACGCTCGGAAGACATCCGTTATATCCACGGAAGAAAAGACCAAAGCAAATATCAGGCAAAAATAGGTTCAGCCGCAACGCTCCTCGTGGAAATCTGAGAAGAGGCCCAGAGAGGAAGAGCTGGTTACTCCATTGAAAGTTACCCTAGCGAGACTGTACCAAGAAAATAAAGATAAGTTTCGACCTCCTTTACCAATCAGACAACCTCTCGAACAGAGGGATCAGTCTAAGCACTGTGCATTTCATTCTGATTTTGGCCACCAGACTAACGAATGCAGGAACCTAAGGAGACAGGTAGAGATGCTGATAGCCAGAGGGGAGTTCACAAGTTATATTTAAGGACCAACGGTGGAGCAGAACCGACCAATGGAGCACGTGAAGAAGAATCAGAAGTCGAATTCTCACAACACGCAACCAGTTCGAGTAATTAATGCAATTCACGGTCGGCCAGAACCTGCCGAGGAATCAGATGAACTGCTTCGAACACGCCTTCGCCAAGCACGGATGAAGAGAAGGATAGGCAGTGTAAACACTCTGCACCAACAGAGCGCATCAACGCAGATAAAGTTTGACGCAACAGACTTGTTGCGTGTTCAGATCCCTCATGAGGACCCGCTGGTCGTAAGTTTGACAGTGGCCAAATGCTTGGTGCGCAGAGTTCTAATTGACCCTGGAAGTAGTGCGAACATCATGCCAAGAGACACATTCGATCGGCTCGAGATCAAACAGGATTGGCTGAAATCCACCGGGAATCCACTATTAGGGTTTGATGGAAAGCGAGTGGAGCCCGTCGGCACGGTGGAGGTAGCGGTACATGCTGCCGAGAGGGTTTTAATGGAAACCTTTGTAGTTGTTGAAATTCATCCCTCTTACAATCTTCTGATGGGCAGAGGGTGGATCCACAGAGTTCAAGGTGTTCCTTCCACTCTGCATCAGGTAATGAGATGCCTGGGACCGGACGAAACCAAAGTGATTGACATTCATGGAGACCAAGTTGCAGCTAAAGAATGTTACTCTGTAACGCTGAAACATACCGGAAGGGGGAAAGCTCCCATTCGTTCAGTAAGTCCGAGATAGCAATTACAGGAGCCTCCCTCCAAGCAGAATGGAGAGGAAGAACCAGTAGGCTTGACTGAAGAACCCTTGTTTGATGTGCAGATCGATCAGTTCCGACCGGAGCGGACAACCAGAGTAGGGGAACGACTCGTTGAGGAGGAAAAACAGGAATTAGTTGATTTTTTGTCTCAAAACGCAGATGTGTTCGCATGGAGTCACCTAGACATGCCAGGGATCGATCTTTCGGTATCCTGTCACTCATTGAACGTTAACCCTAATGCAAAACCTGTAAATCAGAAGCAGCGACAGTTTGCCCCCGAGCGCAACCGAATTATTGCCGAGGAGGTTGACAAGCTGCTTGGTGCGGGGTTTGTAAGAGAAATGTACTACCCCGACTGGCTATCGAATGTGGTCGTTGTGCAAAAGAAAAATGGGAAATGGCGCGTATGCATTGATTTTACCAATTTAAACAAAGCTTGTCCGAAGGATAGCTTCCCGCTGCCAAAGATTGACCAGATGGTGGATGCAACTACTGGATATGAACGCTTGACCTTTTTAGATGCTTATTCGGGTTATAATCAGATCCCCATGGACCCCGCTGATGAAGAAAAAACTTCTTTCGTTACTGAACGCAGGACGTATTGTTACAAAGTTATGCCGTTCGAACTGAAGAACGCCGGGGCAACTTACCAAAGACTTATTAGCAAGATTTTTAAGGAACAAATAGGGAAGACAGTTGAGGCTTACATTGATGATATGGTGGTTAAAAGTAAGAAGAAAACTAATCATGTACAGCATCTTCGAGACGTGTTTGATGTGTTGCGGCGATATGGAATGAAGCTCAATCCGACCAAGTGCTCGTTCGGTGTAAGTTCAGGCCAATTCCTAGGGCACGTGGTTAATCTCAGAGGCATCGAGGCAAGCCCTGCCCAAGCAGATGCTCTGACTAAGAATGCCGAGCCGACGACAATCAAAGAAGTGCAAACACTTACGGGACGGATTGCTGCACTGAGCCGTTTCATTTCCAAATTGTCAGATCGATGCAAACCATTTTTTGACACAATACGGAACCATGGCAGGCAGGTTTGTGGAGATGAACAACGCCTAGCGTTAACTGCTCTGAAAAAATATATGCAGAACCTTTCGGTACTGTCAGCTCCAGAATCAGGCGAAAAACTGTTTTTGCATCTCGGAGTATCCAGTATCGCGACAAGTGGCGTTCTGATCCGCTACGCAGAAGGGAAGCAATATCCAGTGTTCTATGTTAGCAAGACAATGACTGAGGCTGAAAGACGTTATTCAAAGGCATAGCGGGTGATACTCTCGCTAGTGCATGCGAAAAGAAAGCTCAGGCATTATTTTGAATCCCATCATATTATCATTCTAACCACTTTCCCTATCAGAATAATCCTGCACAAACTAGATCTCTCCGGAAGAATGACAAAGTGGGCCATTGAGTTAAGCTCATTTGATATCACATACGAACCTAGAACAGCAGTCAAAGGGCAAGCGGTGGCAGATTTTTTACTGGAATGTGATTCAGAGGACGTAGAGGAGGATCTTTGTAGTTGCTTGTGGAAACTCTTCGTCGATGGGTCCTCAAATCAGATGGGTGCAGGTATTGGGATCAAACTGCAGACGCCAGAAGGTACAGCCTTAAGCCAAGCGCTTCGGCTTGAATTCGCTGCCACTAACAATGAGGCAGAGTATGAAGCGTTGCTGGCAGGAATAAAGCTTGCCAAGGAACTTAAGGTCAGGAATTTGAATGTTTTTAGTGACTCACAGTTAATCGTTCGGCAGGTAAGGGGTGAGTATGAAACCAAGGATGAAACGATGGAAGCATATCGTTCTGCTGTTATGCGGGAAGCGAAGAACTTTGAAAAAATTGAATTCATTCAAATTCCGAGGGAGTATAACGAAGATGCCGACAGGCTAGTATGTAGTGCCTCGGGTTCTGGAGAAACATTGGCAAGGGTGATTCCAGTGGGAATATTAAACCAGCCATCCATTTTCGAAGAACCTTCAGGCTCGAATCCTTGGCAAGTGAATGTTATTCCATATGAGCCAAGTTGGATTGATCCGATCATAACTTACATCCGAGATGGTGCTCTGCCTGAACAAAGAGATGAGGCTAGGAAAATCAAAGCGAATGCTGCGAAGTACGCCGTAGTGCATAACCAGTTATACAGAAGATCTTTTTCCAAACTGTACTTAAAGTGTGTTACCCCCACAGAGGCTCGGCATATTTTACGAGCTATTCATGAAGGCGTATGTGGAAACCACTCAGGGGGGAGATCTTTAGCACACAAAGCAATGGCTCAAGGGTACTTCTGGCCGAACATGTCGCGAGATTCGGAAGAATTGTCTAGAAGGTACGATAAGTGCCAAAGGTTCGGACCACTGATTCACCAACCACCTGAAGACTTGCATGTAATGGCCACACTATAGCCTTTCGCACAATGGGGGATGGATGTAGTTGGTCCTCTACCAACTGCCAGAGCTCAGAACAAGTATGTGTTACTGGCTACAGACTACTTTACTAAGTGGGTGGAAGCAGAGCCATATCCGAGCGTTACTCAAACTCATGTGAGACGATTTATTTGGAGTAATATTATTTGCCGGTTTGGTATTCCGAGGTCAATCGTCATGGATAATGGTACCAACCTTGACAGTAAGCAAGTAAGAGAGCTGTTGGAGGAGTATGGAATTAATCAAAAGCTGGCAGCAGTAAGTCACCCACAAGCCAATGGACAAGCGAAAATTACAAACAGAGCAATCTTTACTTGTATCAAGAAGAAACTAGAGGAAAGGAAAGGAAGGTGGTTAGATGAACTGTCGAACGTCCTATGGGCCTACAGAACGACCCCAAGACGACCGACCGGAGAAAGCCCATTCACCATGGCGTATGGAACCGAGGCAGTTATACCAGTCGAGCACTTAGTTTTGACTGTTCGAAGCTTGGCATAGAACCGTGAGCATAATGACAGTATGCTAAGGTTTAACCTCGATTTGCTGGAAGAAAAAAGAGACGCAGCAGCAGTAAGGCTCGCATCTTACCAGCAGACGCTTGCGAACAGCCATAACAGGAAAGTAAAGCACAGAGACTTTAGGCCAGGTGACCTGGTTCTAAAAAAAAAGGTGGGGATAGTCAAAAAGATGATGCCACCATGGGAAGGCCCATACAGAATTGCAGAAGCCATAGGAAAAGGGGCATATACCTTAGAAACCATGGCCGGAAGGCTGGTTAACAAGCCTTGGAATGCTACTTCTCTGAAGAGGTATTATCAATAAAAAGTTGAGATTCAATACTGAATTTTGTTTATTTTAAATTGAAAACAGTTGAATGTATAAGTTTCTGAGATTTATAAAGATTGCACTCCTCTTTAAAAGGCCAAGTGGCAAGTGGCATTCCAGCCGAGCGCCAGGCACCTAAGCAAAGTAAGTGGCAGCTGGCATTATGAGCCGAACGCCAAACACTTGCCAAGAAAAATAAAAGGCCAAGTGGCAAGTGGTATTCCAGTCGAGCGCTAGGCACCAAAGCAAAGTAAGTGGCAGCTGGCATTATGAGTTGAACGCCAAACACTTGCTAAAAAAAATAAAAGGCCAAGTGGCAAGTGGCATTCCAGCCGAGCGCTAGGCACATAAGTAAAGTAAGTGGCAGCTGGCATTATGAGCCGAACGCCAAACACTTGCCAAGAAAAATAAAAGGCCAAGTGGCAAGTGGCATTCCAGCCGAGCGCCAGGCACCAAAGCAAAGTAAGTGGCAGCTGGCATTATGAGCCGAACGCCAAACACTTGCTAAGAAAAATAAAAGGCCAAGTGGCAAGTGGCATTCCAGCCGAACGCCAGGCACCTAAGCAAAGTAAGTGGCAGCTGACATTATGAGCCAAACGCCAAACACTTGCTAAGAAAAATTAAAGGCCAAGTGGCAAGTGGCATTCCAGCCGAACGCCAGGCGCCTGGGCAAAGTAAGTGGCAGCTGGCACTATGAACCGAATGCCAAACACTTGCTAAGAAAAATTAAGGACCAAGTGGCATTCTAGCCGAACGCCAGACGCCTGAGCAAAGTAAGTGGCAGCTGGCACTATGAGCCGAACGCCAAACACTTGCTAAGAAAAATTGAGGGCCAAGTGGCAAGTGGCATTCTAGCCGAACGCCAGGCGCCTGAGCAAAGTAAGTGGCAGTTGGCACTATGAGCCGAACGCCAAACACTTGCCAAAAAAAAAAAGAAAAAAAAAAGAAGAAAAGTTTACATAAAAAGTTTGATCAAAAGTCGGCCATCTCATTAATAAAGTTCAGAGGGTTACAAAAAATGAGGTGTAAAGATGGCGAATATACCAAAGTCAGTACATTTTAAAAAAAAAAAGTTCTAACTAAGAGGCATTTGCCTCGTCGGCCTCTTGATGATGTTGGGCTGCCTCCTCATTATTGGTGGCGTCGCCGTCCTCACGAGGTGGAGAGTCGAGGTGAATGACAGAATCGTTCTGTTGAGTACTACCCTCAACAGCGTTGGAAGAATCATTCTGCTGAGGGTTATCTTCAGCAGTAACAGCAGATGGAGTCAAGGTGGACAGAGGAAGAATGTCCAAAGTCAAAGCAGCAGGAGGAGTAGGAGTGATCCGAGAAGACGCAATCTCCTGACATTCATCAAATATGTCCTCGGCAGCGGTGGATTCTGGATCGGTATAAACACCAAGAGGGTCAATATCCAGTTCCTTATCAACATTATCAGGGGTAGAACCAGTCTGACCCTCATCCGGAACGCAATCGGCGTAACCCTCTCGGAACCCCTGAGCATATCTGAGGGCTCCAACTCTAGAAAACCGAGCATGTAGAGCTAGCATACCACCATTTACCCTGTTGATGGTATCAAGTAAAGCGTTGCGCTCGTCCAAGGCCCTTTTCTCAAAGGCCATCCGAGCGGATTGCTCATCACTCAGAAGGCGTAGCAGTTCTTCCTTCTCGACCTTAAGGGATTCCCGCCCGGTCTGCCAAACGCTCTTTTCAAGCTGCAGAGCATTCCTCTCATCCTGAAGAGAGTCAGTCTCCTTCCCCAGCGAATCCCTCTCTTTTTCAATTTTACCGAGCTGAACCATCAACCCGGTCTTCTGAGCAGCCAAATCATTGTTCTCCTTGTTCGCTGCATTAAGGCTGTCAGAAAGCACGCGGACCTTGGCATTCACATGCTCAACTTGTTTCTGCATAGCCATCATCCCGTACAAGGTCTGTAGAGATATACAGGACAATTGGTTAAGCCGAGCAGATGGTTAGAAGAAAATAAGTGTCAAGAGTGTGTAAAGATTTATTGACTAAGGGGCAGAAGTTACCTCTATGGCGGACAAGGGAAATCGGCTGAACACCTCCCTCTGAGACAGACCTTTGGCTACCTCGATGTCCTTGGGAGTCCACATACTCCTGTAGTAAGCCATTGCGGTCTGACCATCTTTAAACATGGTCTCGGTCGGTTTTACAGACGATCCGTTTGTTCAAATGAAGCGAGGGCTCCATGGTGCCGTTCCTGAAGCGGAAGTGCCCAGAAGGGGTGGGGGACCTAGCTTGAGGAGGTCTCGCCAGGGATATCATATTCGGCCCAGAGGGCCTAACCCTCTGAGACAAGGGAACGTCATCTAAGCTGAGGGTACTGTCAGGTTGATGCCTTTTTCCTCTGGCCTTTTCCCGTGCAGAAGCAGTAGTAGAACCAGGAGGATTGTTGACAGAAGGGGTAACGTTCGGACTGGCAGTCGCCGTGTTAGCGACCGGGTCAGCAGTCGTCACGGATAGATCGGTGGAAGGAGTGCTATTAGAAAGGGTAGCGGAGGAAGATGCTGAAGCCGGTGAGGAATTTGATGCAGGGGTGATAGCAGGCCTGGGGGCAGTTTTCTTCCTGCCGAAGGAAGGGATCTGGAGTTGGCTCATTGTCTTGCCGAGGACTGAGATATTGAGGAGATTGTCTGAGGTGAGAAGGTCCGAGCAGGAGGGAACGTTGGTCAGAACGTACCGCTTCAGGTAGTTATCCCTATCCCTGCACACACTGTAGCTCAAATCATCACAAGGAATGCCTAAGGAATAGCACAAGAAAGTACAAAAACGAGGAATGCAAATCTCGCGAGGACAGTCACTCTTATGATTTTTATATTTCTTGTAAAAAGAGACAGAGCACTCTCCAAAAGCGCTCGGGATAGGGAAGTCCTCCGCAGCTGGAGAGAACCAGGCTTCCCTAACCCCAATAATGTTTTTCCTCCAACCCTTCTCGAATTTAATTTTATCCGTGCAGATGGACCTCTTCTCAATGGGGGAAAAGTGGTAAAACGGTTCGTCAGTTCTGATCTTGCTGACCTTGTAACAGAGGAGAAGATCTATGAGGTTCAGATCCAGACCTCTGTCACGAATCAGGAGTAGCATAACAGATAAAATCCTAAGGAAATTGGGGTTTACTTGTAAAGGGGAAAGATCTAGCTTGTTGAAAACATAGCAAAAGAAAGGATGTAAAGGAAACCTAAGGAGATTGAGATGGAGGAGTGAAAACAGGACCTCGCCGGGAAGAAGGCCAGCACCGGTTCTAATATTCACTTCTTGGGGGCAGTTTCTAATTTCTACATCGTCAGGAAGGTGAAGTTTCATGCGAAGAACGTCTAGATCTACTGTCATGGTGAGAGTGAATGAAGATTCTGGGGAGGAGAAAGAAGTCTTCTAAAAGAAAAATGCAAATGAAACTAACCTTAGAGAGTGAAAACGGCAGAAAGTATTGCAAAGCCACTGGAAGGAGGATCTTTCGCAAGAGATCGCCGGAGAGGATTCAAACAACAAAAGGTGAGATGGAGACGGTAAAGAGGATCGATGACAAATCAATGAAGCTTATAAAGACAAGATGAGCCCAAGGGCCAAGGAGTCAGGAAAGCGATGGGTTGTCTTTTTGAATCTCGAAACGCCGACCCCTAGATCTAACCGTCCATTCTCCCACACGATCTCCTCGAGCCGTCAGGTCATCATTGGCAGCCTCTAATAATTACCCCCTAATCAATAAGGGGTAATTATGGGGGCAATTGAGGATGCGGCAAGTGGCATGGGCCGGATATAGTCCGTGGGAACGAGATCGGGTCGAATGATTGAAGTAGGATCCATGCCAAAGCGCCCTGGAATGGGCCGAACCTGGGGGATCCACCGAGGAAGGTCAAGCCCATTGGAAGATCATGCCCAGAAGGAAGAGAGCTTTTGAATATAGGCCCAATGTAATCGGTTAACAGCATGGCCTATAAATAGACCATGACAGGTGGAAAGTAAAGGGAGAATTCTAGAGAGAGAGAGAGAGAGAGAGAGAGAGAGGGGAAAAGATTGAAGAAACGAAATCTTGTATCTTCAAGAATAATTTAACTTAAAAATTTTATTAAAATTTTTTTTAATCCCAAATTTAAACCGCAACTCATGGGGCCAAACCTGAGTCACTTTTGACAGGATTTCATGGTATGCAAGAAAGTGTTAAGAAATTGTTGTTGTTCTCCATTCTTGTCTTCTTTGTGGAGAAGCGAAGACTGAAGGAAGGAAGGAAGAAGACTTTGAAAGTAGATGTGATAGTGATCGTCAACACCGCGACCACCAAGTCGTCTCGTTATCGTATTCACCAAATGCCCTTGCCATTCTCCGGAACTACAATAATGCACCTTTTCCCCCCTGCCGTGGGGTTTGGTCTGTTTAAATTGCTGCCATTCAACACACATGACACCTGGTAGCCAAAGAACCTCAACTGATGACAAGTACTAAAATATTATAGTTTTTTATTTTTTTTTATGTAGTGGAATAAATTTTAATTACCAAAAAGTAATACTCCAGAGACTATAGTCAAGACATATTCAAAATCTCTTAAAAAAACAAAAGAACCAAATACACTACCATTTTTTTTTGGTAAATTAGTAAATTAAACTGATATCTCCTTAGTATTTTGTAATTTACACCACTACCATCCTCACTTAATATCAAGTGAGTTTTTGATTAAAAAATTAGGATTTAGCACCCATGATTTCATCCTAAAATTGTAAAAAAAGAAAAAAATAATCAACTCTTAAATACGGCATTTTTTTTTTTTGTCTAAAAGTTCAAGTAAACACATACAAAGAGCATGATATTCAAAATTGTACTCATTTTTTATTTTTATATAAAAAAGGAATTAAGTCAGAGGCTCACCTACAAAATTACGAAACTAAATTTGAGAGTATAACCCATAATCTGTTAGTGATGGCAGGTAAAATTTGAAACAGAAAAATATAACTTTAAAATACAATAAAAAGTTGGGTATAAAAAAATGAAAAAGAGGATGACAAAAATATATATGCACACATGTGAACAACTAAAAAAATAGAAAATTATTTAAAGATTTGGTATTAAAAAAGAGATGTGATATTGTCAGTCTAACTTTTCACTTGTATTTAACTTATATTTTAATAAAATGACAAAAAAAAAACCTCGTATAAATAAACTATAAGAATAGTTTTGAGATAGTTGTGAAGTGTGAATGTACTTTTAAAAGACAATTATATTATACCATTTTTATAAAATGAAGCCCAAGTGTGTGAAAACGAAAATGAATATAATTGTCTACCTTAAACAATCAATATTATTTTGTCTCTTTTTTTATTTTTAAAATATATTGTCAACTATCGACCAAGTCCAAAAAATGAAATTCTTTTTTGGGTTGAGAGGGTGGGCCCAAGCCCACAAAACGTAATGGCCCAACCCCATTGGATGATGCAACGTTCAAATCATCTCTCATTGGACAAGCACTTCAGAAGTCAATATAAGAATAAAAGAAGGGCAGGAATGTAATACGAAGCCAAGAACTGGGCATTTTGAAACTAGACTTTCTATAACTAGACTAAACACTCCCACAACCTCTACCTCAATTCCGCGCTAATGGCGGACCTTGTTCTAAGAAAAGCCTTCTATTCCAAATCCAAGCTCACACAAACATTACTACTCTTGCTCACTCTGCAACTTTCTTTTCTAGTCCATTCTTCAGTATCTGAAATCATTTTCGAAGAGCGTTTTGAAGGTAAATATATATATATATATATATATATATATACTATGCTTTAGGAGCAGTACTGATTTGTGGGGGTTTTTAAAAAAAAAAAATTATAAATTGATGAATACCCTTTTCAACTCTGTAAATTTTTTAAAAAAATAATCTGAAATTTTTATATGTATATATATATATATGCAAGTGCCATGCTTTAGGAGCAGTATGGATTTAATTATTTAGATTAAAAATTCGTTTACTTTTTTTTGGATTTTTTCGGCAGCTAAAGGGTAATTATTTTTATGCTTATATAGTGATTTTCTTACCTAATATATCCAATTGGCTTGTTAAATGAAAAGTTTGCCTTTTTTTTTAGTTTATGATCAGTTTGGCTAATTATGTAAGCAGGTAGTGATATTAATGCTCATTCAGTGATTTTTTTACCCAATATATCTAGTTCTTTTGTTATGCTAAAAGCTTGTCTTTTTTTTTAGGATCAATTTATTAAAGTGTAAATAGATTATTTATTATAGAAAGCACTGGGAGAGACTTGAGAAATGGTTCTCGAGCTTCTCCTTAAGCTATCAATTGATAGAAATGAAATGATTTCTTTTTTGTTTTTGTTTTTTTGTAGCATTAAATTAAATTAAATGATTTCCCAACCCAGAAGATGATTTATTTTATTTTATTTTTTGGGGGAAAAAAAAAAAAAAAAAAACCTGAAATAGATGATTCATTCATAGGGGCTTCTTTGGTTGTAATTTCTATTTTTTCTCTATCCTTTTTACATGTCCTGTATTGGATTTTTTGATTGAAATTTGGGTTATTAATTCTGAATGCATCTGTGATTTTTGCTGGGAAAGATGGGTGGCACAAGCGCTGGGTCAGATCTGATTGGAAAAAAAATGAAGGGAAAGCTGGTTCCTTTAAGCACACAGCTGGAAAGTGGGCTGGTGACCCTGACGATAAAGGTGTGACCTCACTTGTGAATTTTGATTGTTTACTGTCTTCAATCATTTTTATTATTTTATTATTAATATTATTATTTTTTGAACTGAGATGCTGTTTACTAGTACTTTCAAGGTTGCACTTGGCTGCCCAAGATTAATTTGGGTTGGAATTACTGTAGTGTGGAATTTGAAGTTCTTGCTTCTGTTCTGAAATTGTTTTTGAAGAGTTGGCAATATGGAATGATAAATTCAAACCCCAAGGTCACTTGTATATGATTTGACCTAGCTAACTGTAGAATTGGATCAAGTAGCTTTCTTACGCCTATTTTGCTAGTGAGGCATTGGTCATATCTGAAATTCTGCGAAGGGATAAAAAATAAAGAAGAGAAAGAAAGGGGAACAAAGAAACCATTAAAAAATGGAAGTTAGATAAAGAAGTTCCAGTAAGAACTAAGACAATAATACCTCTGCAATAGTTTGGAAATTGCATCGTCACAGTATTTTATGCAACAGTTTCGATATCCCAACACCAACAACAAATCCTTTTCACCAAATTTCGATATCCCAAACAAATTTTTAATAAATTAAATTAATCTTTGATTCTTTATCTGTCATTTAAATTATTGTTGTTTTTTTACATGAACTTTAATGAGTCTTTTTGTCTTTTTTGCATCTAATGTTGTTAGCAAAAGTTTATAGATAATAATAAGGCGGCACCATTTTTTCGTTTAGGTTCTTAATACTAATTATCTTCTGTAATCTTTTGTATTACAGTAGAATTTTTGAAAACTTTGGTGTAAAGTACTTCAATTTGGATTTGCTTAATAATTGATGAAATTTCTTCTAAAATACAGCTTGAAAATGTCAATTGTCCAACTAAAATAGAAATGTGTCTGAAAGAATTGGCATAGAAGTTTACATGTACAGACCTTGTTATTTACCAAAAAGGACTTGTCCATTAGACAACTGTATGAAGCTGAAGTCTCTAAATGAGTGGAGTTACAATAGATTACATGCAACTTCTTCTTCTTCTTCTTTGTTTAAATTAGAAGTTTACTAATGCTAAAATAGAAGCTTAGAGAAATTTAAGTAGTGGGTTGTCTATTATTCTGAAATTTTGCAGGGATCCAGACAACTCCTGATGCCAAGCATTATGCTATATCTGCTAAGATACCTGAATTCAGTAACAAGAACAGAACATTGGTCCTACAGTATTCTATAAAATTTGAACAGGAAATTGAATGTGGTGGTGGTTATATAAAGCTTCTCTCCGGATTTGTTAATCAAAAAAAATTTGGTGGGGACACTCCTTACAGGTTTGTTACATATTGCATGTTTTTCATACGATTTGTACCATGTATTCGGTTCCTCTTTTTTCTTTAAAATTTTGTCTCAAGTCTGTGGTTCAAACATCTGATAACCAATGCTCTTTTATGTAATGGAAAAAATGGTTTTTTTTGCCTTGGCACCTCAAACCCTAGCTTAGCCAAGTTGCTACATAGTGTGGTCATTCTAAATCCTCCAGTAAGAAGAATATTCCTTCAAATAGCCTTATATATAATATAACATACAAAGTTTGTGCATAAATCATGATATTGGTATAAGATGGAAAACTAACCTCTCATGGCTCAACCTGAATAACGGCATTTATTTTAGCTGGCTGAAATAGCACAACAGGCTCCTTGTCTTCTCTCAAATAGTTAGGGTTTTGTCTGTAAATTCTCGTGAAATCTAATAAATTCATGTAGTTTTCTATATATCACATCAGTAATTACTATTTTTGCTGCTCAAAATTGGGAGCTAGAGGCTGGTCTCTTTGATTTATTGTATATATATAACTGAATCATCTGAGTAATTTTTGGGAAAAAAAACTTTTTGCCAACTTTATTAATAAAAACTTGCTATTTTTATTTAATGGTCATAAATTTTACTTTATGGCCATATAGATTTCAATAATTTCAAGTATCTAAAGCAAGCAACAAAAAGAGAGAGATAGAGAGATTTCAATATCTTCAAATCTATTTGCACTTGTGATAACTAGAAGCTATTGTGTGAATTTCGCTATATTGTATACAAATCTATAACGGTATTATGCTGTAGGTTTGTTTAGAGTGATTATTCGTATGTCTTCATGACACATGCCTGCTTCTAGTTCCATCTTACTAGAAATGGTTTGGGCTAACGGTATAGGTAAAAAACAATAAAATTTTGAGGAAATTTACCATGTATACATGCTAACTGCCTTGATCAGCACAATGTCTTAGAATGCTAGGAAAGTAATTTATGTTTAGGGCTGCATAAGTTTCATATATTAAACTAAGTAGAGAAAATGGCTCCTTACCACCAGATTTGGCCTAACGGCCCTAACATCAAAACAATCAGATCCAGAGTATGCGGTTATTTGAAATGTCTGAAATTTTTACTTCTCTTTTAGCTGGATTAGTGTCCAGCCTATTTTCCCCTACTCTAGATCGATTGGGTTGATTAAAAGGTTTCCAACTGTCTTAAAGGAAAGAAAATTTCATAAATGGACAAACTAATCCATTACTTTTTATTTTCCTTCTTTATTCTCTCTCCCTCCCTCCCTTGCTCCTCTTTCCCCTTTCTTGTCCTCCATATCATCATCATCCTTGCCTTAATCCCATATTTCCTTGTCCTCCACATATTTTGGCAAATTTTCAGTCAAAACATATAATTGGTATTCACTATTCTCATATTGCCTTAACATATTTTATGGGCTCATTTTTTTTTTTTTCTTAATTGCTCATTCTTTATTTTAAATATATGCTTTCTTTTTAATTGTTGTAAAGAACTGTTTTTGACTAACAATTTTTGTCTTGAATAGTTTGATGTTTGGACCAGATTTATGTGGCACTCAGACAAAGAAGCTTCACGTTATACTCTCATACCAGGGCCAGAATTACCCCATCAAGAAGGAACTGGAATGCGAAACAGACAAGTTAACCCATTTTTACACATTCATTCTTAGACCTGATGCAACTTATAGCATCCTGATTGACAATCGTGAAAGAGATTCTGGAAGCATGTATACAGATTGGGATATCCTTCCTCCCCGAAAAATTAAAGATGTGGATGCAAAAAAGGTTCATCTTGAACTCAGAAACTCAGTAACATTCTAGCTAAAGATTAAATAATGACAAAAAGTCCTTATCTTAATATTGCTGGGAGGGGTCATTTCTTTGTACAATGGTAAAACCTTGTGCCAATAGAAGTGGACATTTTAAAGTCCTAGAACAGCCACTTTGTGCAAAATAATGCCCAAGTTTAGTTAGGTTACATTCTCTAGTAGCCTTAGATTGGATATTATGTGTTCATGTTCCTTTTATTACTCATGAACATTCGAGTCCTTGTGATGTGTGTTCTCACTTTCTTATTCTGCTTTAAATTTGCCATCTTTCACAGCCTGCAGACTGGGAAGATAGAGAATATATTGATGATCCTAATGATGGCAAACCTGAGGTATTTACTCTGCGTTCCCTTCCTTTAATTGGGTTTCTACACTTTCTTGTAACTGTTGCACATGATTTACATTTTACACTGTCTCCTTTATCTTGGCATTGCAGGGATATGATTCAATGCCACGAGAAATTCCTGACCCAAAAGCTAAAGAGGTTAGTTAACTTATAAAGAGGTCAATGCTCCAATCTCCATAAGCAAAACCATGCAATTCTTATGCTGCTTCGCATGGTTCCAACTGTTGCGAGTTTCTTTCGTGTTGCATTTCGAAGAGTCTGCTTTGGTTTCCTGTTTATTTTCAAATTGTGTGTGATTGTTTTCATTTGCTTGATTTAATCGATGTTTTCCAACTAATCTTCCGTACTCTTCTTTTCTCTCTCCCCCTCCAAAAAAAAAAGTGCTAACCCTCTCTCTACCCCCCTTTCCCCATCTTTCTCCCAAATTTCGGTACTTACACATGTAAGAGACAAATGAAACATCTGTCGTACATTTCTTTCAATTGTCATATGTGAAGAAAAAAGGAAAAAGCTTACATCGCACTTATTTACTTTCTCTTGATTAGCCTGATAACTGGGATGAAGAAGTGGATGGCATCTGGAAACCGCCAAAGATACCTAATCCGGCATACAAAGGACCATGGAAGCGCAAGGCACGCCAAAAAGTTTTTAACAGCTAACATTAAAAAGGTTGAAGCTTGACTAACGATGGAATTTCTCATATGGGTGATTTTTTTTTTGTTTTTTCTGACCAGAGGATCAAAAATCCTAACTATAAGGGAAAGTGGAAGATTCCTTGGATTGACAACCCAGGTAACTGCATCATGTCATATACACACGTGTTTGTGTGCGCACACATTGGTATTTCATAGCATCTATATAGAATACATTTGCAGGAACAATTTATATCAAATTTTCCTTTTCTTTTCCTACAGAGTTTGAAGATGACCCTGACCTTTATGTGTTGAAGCCAATTCAATATGTGGGTATCGAAGTTTGGCAGGTACGGTATTAGTACAACGCCTTGATTTTTATGTCACTAGCAAAAACTTGTTTGTTTGTGAATAAAATGATTGTAACAAGTAAGGCAATGCAGGTAAAGGCAGGTTCAGTTTTCGACAACTTTCTGATTTGTGACGAACCAGAGTATGCAAAAGGAGTTGTCGAGGAAGTTTTTGCAAATAGGGAGGTCTGCTCTCACTCTTCTATTATTACAAACAAATCCTGCTTAATAGTAGCCTAATTTTCCTTAATTGTTTCAATAAAATTTCAGGCGGAAAAAGAGGCCTTTGAGGAAGCAGAGAAAGTGAGAAAAGCGAAAGAGGAAGAGGTTATTTGGCTGGAGTAGTTGTTTCATTTCATTTTCTTTATTGAGTTCAACCATAAACTTTGGTGATGGATGAATATCTTCTAAGTGGTTCGGGCTTTATGTATGCAGGAAGCCCAAAGAGCAAGAGAGGAAGGTGAAAGGAGGAGAAAAGAGAGGGGCTATGATCGACGATACCGTGATAGGGGGCGCTATAGAGACAGATACAAAAGGGTTGGTGACCTATATCTTGTTTTTTATTTATTTAATGTTTAAAAGATGATTATGAAACTTGAACATGGAAATTTTGTTTGCAGCACGGTCGCCGTGATTACTTGGACGATGATTATCATGTAAGCATGAACTCTTGCTTTACTTATTCTTTTGATGGCTAGTTAGTTGGCATCCATTGTCACAAAGCTCCAACTTATTTGCAACATCTTAAATACCCTTATTTTTGGATTAGTCCGAAGTTTCTTTTAGTAAATTCTAGAATGAATATATACATATTTCATTTTGTTTTACTTGTTTCTCCACTTGGAGCATACAGTGCTTTTCAAAATTAGTTGCTTCTTGAATTTTATTTTATTTTATTTTCCTGATGGACAGAATCAAAGTAATAAGTGTTTGGAGCATTAAATGATTTGTATCCATAGAACTCTGATTTTGACATAGTTAATAAACAAAATAGGAGTTAAGATCATCCAAATCACCATTATGAAAGTAATTAGTATTTTTGGAAATGCTGACACGTTCATGATAGGTCATCATACTGGACCTGCATCATCAACCAATGTTTAGTAAAGTTTTGAAATTATTTTTTGGAAGTAAGTAAGAACAACCAACATGCCAGTAACCTAGCTTTACCAGGCCCCTACTTCTCAAAGAGAGGTCGGGTCTAGGCCCTTACTTCTCAAAGAAAGGTCAGGGTTCAAGCCTCAGTGGAGGCATGTGTGTGTGAGTACCAACTAAGAAGAAAAAAAAAAGGTAAGTAAGAACATATTAGCTTGTTTGGCTAGATAGAATAGATATCTTAGTAGTAAGAAAAGGTGTTGGCATGAAATTGGCAGTGCTGGTGGCAGCGATGGTGATAGTGGCAGATTACCAGCGGAGTGATGATGACTTTATGTGGTGGTGGTATTAGATCCGGAAGATGACAATGAAGGAATTGTTTGTGGAGGTTATCGGGTTGATGGGCCTCGGAAGTAGCAGCAGTGATGATGTTGGTGGTGGTACCAACAATGTCGGCCATGAGGTGGCAGTGGTGATGGGGTTGATGACAATTGAAAGAGGTTGTGGAAGTGTGAGCTGGTATTCACAGTAGTGGTGCTGGCGATAGCATTATTAATGGTGGTATTGCTGTGTGGCCACATTTAGAGTAGTGATTGTACGACGGTGGCATTGATGTTGGAGTTGGTGGATACAATGGTGGTGGTTAGTGGTGGGGTGGTGATGACAGGCAGTGATTGTGTGTTCTGATCTAGTGATAAGAGCGAAAATTAAATTGTTTGCTTCGAAAAGCCACGGTGTTTTCCTATTTATGCTGATGGTGGTATTCCTATGCTTTTCTTGCAATTTGGTTTCCGAATGCAGAAGGTGGCATTGATGTTGGAGTTGGTGGATACAATGGTGGTGGTTAGTGGTGGGGTGGTGATGACAGGCAGTGATTGTGTGTTCTGATCTAGTGATAAGAGCGAAAATTAAATTGTTTGCTTCGAAAAGCCACGGTGTTTTCCTATTTATGCTGATGGTGGTATTCCTATGCTTTTCTTGCAATTTGGTTTCGGAATGCAGAAGGTGTCTTCGACCTGCAAGCTGGTGTTCAAATTTAGCGGACTGCCAACATGATTTTCAATATTGCATATATGCTTTATAAATTGGTGAATTACAATTATTTATCTACTTACAACATTTTTTATTTGGTTTTGCAGGATGAACTATGATGGAATCTTCACAATCTTCTCGTCGACGATGGATAAATGGTGAATAATTTACCATGGGATGTCATGTTATCCAAATTGTTGTACCATCTTCAGTTGTAATAGTTCATTTGACATTTTTGTACTGCTCTGTTGCGTTAAACAGTGTTAATTTTGAGTGCAAATGATATCCTTTTAGTTTTAGCTGCTCTCTCTCTCTCTCTCTCACACACACACGGATGACATATCAGTCCAAGAGGTCAATTTTGAGTGAATCTGGGGATGTATGACTGCTGCATAACAGTTCCTTTAAAAGTACATTACAAGCTGAAGAAGTTGAATTGACAAGCTAGACCCTGTTTGGTTTTTGTTTTTGCTTTTGCTTTTAATAATTCTGAATATATATATATATATATTGAAGTCTTGAAGCATAATGGATGTGTCTATTTGTTGGTGTGATATTACTAAAATACCCTCTGATAAGATAACATCGTTTAATAAATGTGTCTTCTCAAATGAAGCAATGCTGGGGCTTCAATATATTTCGTAGTGTATCGATTTTTAGGAAATTTAATGTAATTTTTGGAATTATGGGTGAAGTCCATTTAATTTTGTAAAAACTTGAGGGATGTTAGTGCAATTTATCCATTTTCCTCTATTTTTATTTTATTTATTATTATTATTTTTTAACATGACAGCTTTCTCTGGGAGGACCCTTTTCATCACAATACCACGCATCATTATATTAAGTGGAAGAATTTTAGGCTTCTTTTTTCAAAAAAAAAAAAAAAAAATTGAGTGGATTTGAGTTTAAACAAATCCCTGAACTCGAAATATTAGATTATAGGTAGAAAAGACATGTTTTAAAACTATTACTGTGCTGTTAAAATGATAGTTGCCATGGATTTCAAATAACTTATTCCATTTTGTTAATTATTTAAAATTGTGGTAAAGCTCTAAGCATTGATAAAACTTCAACTTAATTATCTCGTTCTAAATTTATGATACAACCATGCGAGAACATAAATCCATTCATTTCAAATGGAGCCTGAGGGTTTAAAAGGTTATTTTGAATTTTTGAGCTTCTTACAATAATCATAAATAACATTAGGGTCCGTTTGGTTAGAAAGAACTAGCTAGAAAGGAAAAGAAAAGAAAAAAAAATAAAATTTGTATGCGTTTGGTTAGATGGAAACTGAATTTTTTTGGGAAAGTAGATTCTCGCATGTTGTGAATTTTTCATAAAAATTTCCCCGTACAAAACACACGAAAATTTACTTTATTGCAAAATTTAGCCACTTTGTATATTTGTTTCCTCTTGTGCCCCTGTCAGTTGTTGCTCCCCCACTCTTCTTCGCTTTCTCCTTGTTTCTCTCTACTTTTCAGTTTCTCCATAAACTTCACGCAGAGGTATATTTTCTTCTGTAAATTGGTGTAATCCTTATTTAATTATTTATATTGCTATATATGCATATAAAATTAATGTTTTATAAATAATGATTGAGATCGAGTAGTATACATACATGCTTTTTTAGTTTTATTGAAAAATTAGGGTTAGTGTTGTAGGCCATTGGGATTCTTAGTTTGATTGGAAACTTACAACTTCTATATTTGAGTTTTACAATTGTTGTGTTCATTAAGGATACAATTTAGATATTAATAGTAATAATTATATTATTATTTTTAATAATATATATTTTTATTTTTTATTTTTGTTAAAAATATATATAAACAATTAGGTATAAGGTGATTCATCAAACACAATTTTATTTTATTTTGAAATATTTAAATTCTTAGGAGTAGTTTTGATAATAGAATTATTTTCTTTTCATTTTCACCCCATCCAAACTAACAAAATATTATTTTCTGGTACCTTTCTTGAAAAAATTTCCTCCTAACTAAATGCATACTGAAAACTTGATTTTCTTTTATTTTCCTTCACTATCTTTGACTTTCTATCATAAATTTCTATTTAACCAAACCAACCCTCATGCTAGTTGATACACTGAAGGACTGGTTTAAGCTCAATCATTCTATGAGCAGTTGGAGTCAGTCGGTCTAGTATGTATTTTAAATTTTAATTGCACCTCACTCATCAATTTAAATTACAAAAGTAGGTAAATGAAGGATTTGAATTGGTTAAAACTAATTTTGACATTTGCAATCGGTAAGTGACCTAACGGTATCAGATTCCTATCAGCTAAAGGGAGATAAAAGGTTCAAATCTTGGTGGAGCTTTAAAAAACTTAAAATATAGGATTAGTGCAAAAAAATACCTTTGAATTATTGCCCTTATGCAAATAGCCCCTGAACTACAAAGTACCCTCATGAACTATTTACTTGTTACAATTAAAAGACAAATTCATCACAAAAGACTATTTTACCATTTCTCACTACATTTTTTATTTCTTATTAAACTATTTTTACTATCTTTTCTTTTATCAAAATATTAATTATATCATTTATCTTAAATTTATTATTAATATCAATTTATCATAAAAAAAAAAGAATAAAAAAAAGATTTGTAACTACCATTTTCTAATATGATTAACTTATTATTAAAATTTCGTTATTTATAATAAAACTTATTATACTCACTTTAAAAAAATTTACCATAAAAAATACCAACTTTTTCATACAATATATTCACGAAAAATTAATAAATTAATTACTTAAATAAAAAATGCCTTCTTTTTTTTTGCAATATATTCATTAAAAATAAAAAAAATAATTACTTTGTTCTAAATTTTCTAATTAAGATTTATATTTAAAAAATTAATTTCAATTTTTAGAGATAAATTTATACAAATTTAATGAAGAATATGTCATCAAACTAGTATGAAATTATTTTCATAATCTATTTCAATAAGAATTATAGATTAAGTGTAATTCAATAAGAAATGACATTATGATCATTTAATGAAATATAATCAATATATTGGGGTATCTTGCAACTAAATGTGATAATTCGAGGGGTTTTATGCATAAATATACTTTAAATGGGTTATTTGCAAATTTCAACATAGTTAAGAGGGATTTTTTACACTTTACCCTAAAAAAATATTATCCGAAAACTGAGAAATGCTACCAGCACTTTCATTTTAATTATCGTTTATTATTATTATATTATTAGATAAATAATATGCAAATCAAGAGTCTTAAGTGAAAACGTCACACCAGCGACTCTCAGTCTAGTATCGTTTCCTTGTATCATGTGAATGTAAGTTGTCCATAAGAATAAATAAGTGTGTGAATTTCTTGTTAATGAAAAAAAACAAAAAATAAAAAAAAATGACAAAGGGTGCACTTTTATTGAACCAAAATACTGTATATATGGTAATAAAAGACATTAAAGTAAAAGTGAGCCTTAACTAACAAATACATGGTAAAAGTGAGCTTTAATTAAAAATACATCAAACTGCAAGGGCATCCGCAACAAAATTATTTAGATGGTAACAAATTACCCCAGTAAACGTTATTAAGATCTCTTCGCTGCCCTCCTCTAACCCCCAATTCTCCAAACCCTAACTACTGTACCAGAAACCACAGAGAGGGATATGGATGCGATAAGGAAACAGCTTGATGTGCTGATGGGAGCGAACAGGAACGGAGACGTGACGGAAGTCAATCGAAAGCACTATGATCGTGATGTTTGTCGTCTCTTTTTGGTTGGTCTATGCCCTCATGAACTCTTCCAGTTAACTGTAAGTGCCCAATTTTTCTCTCTCTCTCTATATATACATGCATAGATATACATGCATAAAGAAAACCTTAATGTATATTCTTCGGTCTTTTCATTGTGTCATGGACCTATGGTGTGGTTTTTTTGCTTTTTTTTTTCCTTTCATTATCTTATCATAGATATTGGTTTCAAAAATTTTGGACTTTAACTTTGAGATAGTTTTCATTTTGCTTCTTTGGAGCCGAACTATGTAGAATTAGGCTTAAGATTTCTTATTTGAACAATTTTTCGTGGCTTTCCCATTGCTACTGTGTCTAAATTTTTTAATCGTTGGGAAAATAATTTTTCTGGTCAATGTTGTTTGAGCTCTTGGTCGTTCAAGTTGACCAAAGTGGCTAGGTTTTTTTTTTGGGTAAATTGACGGGGTTTAGTTCCAATGAGGCATATGGGAAGTAATAAAAGTGCTATTTTACTGAATAGCGTTGAAGTATTTTGTTAAATGAGCTATCCTGCCCCCTTGGTTTAAAGGGTTTAGGATCTCGTGATTGTCAACAAATGGGTGCTTGTATTTTCACCTCTTTGTTTTAGTGGTACTTCAGTTTTAAGTTGTTATGCAATGATTTTTATGATCTTAATGTTTCTTTTTGTTTATTATTTTTGTCCATTAGAAAATGGATATGGGACCGTGCCCAAAGGTTCACTCGTTGCAGCTGAGGAAAGAGTATCCTTTTTTCATGTGGAGAATGCGATTGATTTCTTTTTCTCTCCCCTCCCCAAACACACGCCCCTCCCCACCCCCCCACACCACACACACAGAGACAGAAAAAGAAAAAACTATAAAAGGAGTAATTACTAAAGAATCAACATTTATATGTTAGAATGATTTTTTGGGTAAAAATTCTTTTTATATGTTTTTAGATGACTTTGGATTTAAATTTATTTATTTATTTAGTGGCAATCAGAAGGTTGTCAAAGCGAGTAGGTGCTGGAATTGGTTTTTGCAACCTCACCATGTTTTGTCGATTATACTCATCCGGTAGAAATTCTAATTTAAGTTTTGCTTTTTTGTTTTTAACTTATTGTATATGTTTACACGGACTCTTCGAAAGTAGTGAAGTACCCGTGTCAGACACATTGCTCAACATGGGTATGAGATATGTGTCCGACACTTTTGGTTGGATTTCTACTTAAAAAGCGTAACCAATCATTCAATTATATTGCATTATTACTTTAGAATGAGTGAAAAGCCATATTTGATAAAAATATTAGAAAATAAAATAAACTAATTAAATAAAATGAATATTTAGCAGTGTTCGCGTGACCTTCTGTTTAGAGATTTGACACGTCCGACACATGAATACATACCCGTACCCTAGTCCATGTAACATAGATTGTCATATAGATTATTTTTCCAAAAACTATTTACGGTATTTGTCCAATTCAATTATCTACAAGTGCATTTAACCCAGCTTCATTTATGCTGCACACAACTCTAGTTGTTCATTGATGAAGTCAGTACATGTCCGTCAATATTGGTTGATATCAGGTAGTCAAGTGATTATTTGAAGTGAGGTGATCAACAGCTGATAACTGGAGTGGTACATACTATCACCACCAAAGTAGGAGTGCTGGGTCAAGTCCTAGTTGGACACTCGGACATGGGTGTGAGTGTAATGGAAGATCTTTTGATAGGGAGGAATCCTCCATTGGGGTGTTGAAGTTTTCTATTATTTGTTCTCTTTTCAGTTGGGGTTTGGGTAGAAATTGTACATCTTTAGATGAAATCGTGGACTTTTTGGGTTCTTTGGGTCCATAGGACTTCCCCTTTCTCTTTTTTGGTTTTTGTACAGCTCTTGGGACGCGTTCCCCTTTTGAACGCTTTCTAATACATTTTTACATATATATAAAAAAAAAGTAACCCCTTCCTGATAAGAAAAGGGAGAAAAATGAAAACAAAGCCAAAGGTCATGTGCATGCCGTGTGAATTGTTACCGTACTTTAGTTACTTGTTCTGGAAGGGAACCTAGTTGCTTGGGTCTGTGAAAGCAAATAGGTCCTTGGCAACTTATCACAATTATGATTGGAAGGCTGATTCCATCATAGATGCTTCATTTCAATACCAAGAAACATTTTTCTTGGCCCACAATAGAAGTATTATTTAATTGAGAAAATCATTTATTATTCATGTGACTAATTGTAATGTGGCAGACATGTTTTGGTTAGTGTGAGGTTATGGAACTATTACACTGCTTTGTTACCACATAATCCGATTCATCATTCTAGATGAGGAACTCTTTGAAAATGTTAAAGAAAGTATTTATGACTTGTTGCCTAATAAGTAACAAAGAAAATATGGAAAAATAATAGCAATATTTGGACTTGAGTAGTTAATGTATAAAACCTCATTGTGGAAGCTTTGGAATATTGGTGAGGTGTAGTCATAATTGATGTGGTTTCGTACTTTTAGTGTTTGTTTTAGACATTTTTCTGATTTCATTTGTTAGAGCCTAATTAACCCTCTTTGTAGGTTTCAACGATGACTGTTATTTAAGGTCATTTCTTTTTGAGCTCCTAGTTATATTCACATCTATTCCTAGTTGATGAATTCTGATCTTATGGATTGGCACATGTTTTGAAATCAGCATTTCTTCCCATGTTACTTTAACTCTTTCCAGATATGAAGAAGCTAAAGCAAAAGGTGTTGATAATTATGATAGGGAATTGGAGGATGTTATAGATAGGCTTATTGTTGAGTGTGATAGGAAAATTGCTAGAGCTCTAAAGCGTCTTGATGAAGAGGATGCTAAAGCGGCTATTGCAATTTCTGTGTCTGAGGTTACCCAGGTGATACTCTGATGCTTGAGTATCCAGGCCACATTCTTTTAGCCTTCGTTTATTGTAATTGTGCTTTCCCCTATCCTCTCTTTTGGTTTTTGTGATGACTTATTGATTCATTTAAATTGCAGACGCCTGAGGTTCTTGAGTTGTCAAAGCAGATCAAGGAGAAATTGAAGGAAGCTGATCAATATGGTAAGTTCTTTATGTAGTAGCAAGCCTTTTTTTTTCTCTGGCCTTGTTCTTTTAAAAGTTTCTTCTAAATTCTTATCTTCCTTCACATCTTTTGGTTCAAATTGCATTCTTCCTACTTGGTGTATTAATAGCAACTGATCATTCTTCAAATGTTCAATTTCTTTTGTTTTGATCTTCAACAATCTGTTTTATGTTGTTGCATCTTGATCATGGTGGTTTCTATTCAAGTGGGGAAATGTGCGTGGAACAACGTACACCTTTAGACGTGGAAGCCATCGGAAGTTTTAATTGATAAGTTGTATTTTTAGTTGAATTTCCTGTTATAATTTATGTATTATTACTTTTTTGGCTTGCCTGATGTATGCTTCCAATAACATCTTTCACGTGAGTGAGCAGTGGTAGCTGATATGAATTTAGTGAAGAGTATTATAAGAAAAACTTAATTTTGCAGATCTAGAAGGCAAGACAGATATGAAGATTCGAGCTTTGGAAGTGGTGGAAGAACTCAGAACAAAAAGAGCTGACAAACAGGTAGCTAGCAGCTTCCTTGAGACTTGACTTTACACTGTTGGACTATCATAAAATTTTTATCTCAACATTATTCATGTTATTATTTTCTCGAACAATGTTTTGGCACTTGTGCATGTGGTAAATGTTTTTTTAATTAAATTTTATTTTTATCTCTATGGCAGTCGACGCTTCTTTTGGATGCTTTCAACAAAGATCGAGCATCTTTACCTCAGCCCCTTCAAAATCCTCCACCGTTGGCGCCTTTACCTGCAGTTACTCCTGATCCTCGCATACAGGAAATGATAAATGAAAAGCTCAAGAAAGCAGAAGATCTTGGTATGACTTTGACAATCCCTTTATATGCCAGATGCTCACCCTTGCCACTTTTCAAATTTGTGACATTTCTTGAACTTGTTTTATTTTTATTTTTGTAAAATAGCACGTGAAGCCTTCTCCATGCTAGATGCACGCCTCTATTACCTTCTTTTCCTATTTGTAAAGTAGAATCTGATTTTGCATTGCTGATGATATTTTTGTTGTTAGATTTCCGTTCCTTGTATACTTGTGCAATTATGAGTATCTTGTCGTCACTAGTACTGTGGAACGATGTGAAAATGGAGATTTGTGCAATATATTTTTATTTTTAGTTGTTGAAATATATCTTGTGTGATGAACCATTTTTTTTATATTGTTGTTGTTGTTGTTATTATTATTATTTGTGTCACTCTGTTTGGTCATCATTTTCATAGCATGGAAAAAGAATGCAAAATATATGCATAATGAGTTTCTATGTTGGCTGTACTCTATTTGTATAATTAAAATAGACAACTATATTTTTATATTTGTTTTAATGTAAATGTGACAATCTATTATGCACATGTATCTTAAATGTGAGTATAATGTACATACGTACATGTTTTACTTTTTTTTTTTTTTTTCCTTTCTTCGTAAGTAATATTTATTGGAAGCTCACAAAAGGGTAGAGCATCCCGTATACAAAAGGGGAGAGCATCCCAAATTCCAAAGCATAGAGCAAAAACCTATATCCTCAAACGATCCACAAAAGACAATAGATTCTCTGTAGATTTACAATTTCTCCCATTAATTCACAAAAATAAAGGACTTTGTACATAGAATTTCAACAATCCACTAGGAGACTTCTCCAATTCGATGACGTCCCTATTCTTTCTTTCAACAAGGGCTACCACAAGAACAAAGGGGTGGCTCCCCAAGCATCTCTAGCTTGAGATCCCACCGAGCAACCTCACTAAACCTCGAGCATGCTTTTTGCAGAAGTCGGCATGAGCCATTAAAATCCCAAAAATGGTACCTAGCATGGACCAACCATCTCTTACCACAGGTCAATGCAAAAGAAGAAGACCCATCAACTCCTCATCCCTTTTGGACATACAACACCAGTTAACGGTGATCTGGCGCCTTTTCCTTAGGTTGTCGATAGTCAAAAAAAAAAAATTCGAAAGTTGTTGTCCACCAAAGAAAGCCACCTTTATGGGGGGGCATTGATGCACCAGATTGCCTTCCATGGAAAAGGAGGCCCCTAAGCATTCCACAATCTGCTGTTGAAAGATTGCACCTCGAACCTCCTGTGACCAGAGCCTAGCCTGGACCACTCATCCATCCCCTCTCCACACACACTCTGCCAATAAATCCATCTCCCAATCTTGCAATGGCCTCCCGAACTACACATCCCAAATCAATCTCCTGCTATCAAGGGAAAACCCCCTCCAGTGACCTGTCTGTCACCCCCCACCCCCCCAAAAGAAAAAAAAAAGATCTTGTCTCCTGTTCCTCACTCTGAAGTGAATGTACTTGGAAACTCTTCCCAACCTCTCTGGATGAATTTAAAAAGACCCATCCTAGACGGTGACATCACCCCTGGGAAGCGCCAACCACCTGTGGATTCCCCAAACTTGCAAAGGATGACTCTCTCCCACAAACTATCCCTCTCTATCCCAAATCTTCATTAGTGAAACTCGTCGTTGAATCTTTACGAACTGAACTCTTGATTTTAGATCTCACAACAACAAAAATCTGAAAAAACCTTTCTAGATTGCTGCTAAACTTGATTACGTAAACAACAATAAATTAAGGTCAACCTTTAGAAGGTTTTAAATTGGAGTGACTGCTGATTTTCTTAAGCTATAATCACGATGGCTCACGAAGTGTCGTATGACTCGTACACGTTGATTTACTGCTTCTTTCTATATGTTAATCTTACTTGTTCTTCATTGTTTTCTTTTCTCTTGTTTGTGGATGGGCACAGGTCAATTGTATATAGGTGACAAGAGTTTGGAACAAATTAACACTCTTTGTTATCGAATCTAAGAAATAACATGTTTTACTAATACCGGTTGAAGCTGTATTGGTCTCGTAGAAGACTTGAATTGGACAACTAAGAAGATGAGCCAAAAAAGAAAGAAAAGAAAAGAACTTTGACTACTATAATATGGATTATTCTTGATCAACTAGGAGTCTAGGACTCCATATTAGCACTCAATATATTATATCTACAGTCTATATCCAACAGATATTTGGAATTATTAGAATATTAACAAGAAGCCTTTTTCCCAACTAGCTGGCTACATGAATCCTATTTTTCCATTCTGCTTTTTTTAAGGCCATATCTTTGGTCATATATATCCTTCCTTACTAGCTCTACTCATGTTAACTTTGGTCTTCCTCTTTCCTAGTATTACCCTCAATGTGGACGATGTCAATCACTCAATCTTCCTAACTGGTGCACTTAAAGTTCTTCTTTGCACATGACCAAATCATCTTAATCGATTTTCTTGCATTTTATCACCAATTTGTGCTACTCCAACCTTCTCTCATTTCTAATTCTATCTTTTTTATTCTTACCACACATCCATCTCAACATTTGCATTTCCGCCAGTCACTTTATGCATGTGTTGTTTCCTAGTTGCCAATGTTTTTACCTATAAAGTATGGTTGGTCTAATAGCTATTTGATAGAACTTCCCTTTCAATCGCAAGGGAATACACCTGTCACACAATATACTAGATGCACTTCTCCATTTATCCCATTCCGCTTTTATTATATGGTTAACATCGTCTCCAGTTTCCTCTTCATTATGAATAAGGGTAAAATGCAAGAAATCCCCCTTAACTATTGGGGTTTTGCAAGTAACCACCCCAGCGAACTACATGATTTTGTTGCAATTTAGCCCAGCAGGTCACCAGAAAAGGCAAAAGACCATTTCACCCTTACTATAAAATGATGTAATTTTAGTCTTTAGCCTCTTAAACTGCTGACGTGGCTAGTGAAATCCGACCAACCAACGGAAGTGTGACACGTGGCATAATTTATTTTATTATTTATTTTTTTGCATCAATCAAAACAAACTATTACACCAACTCCTGCTTCCTCATTGACAACGCCATAATGAAGAAGCAACAATTTTTTTTGTGTGTGAAAAATCTCAGCAATATCTTCCTTGGGCAAAACCCCCCAAATTTGTGATAGTTGATGCAAAAATTGGCGAGGAAAGTGAGATTAAGATAGGATATGCTGGGATATGAGTGACACACACACACACACACACACACACACACACACACACAGAGTGAGGAAAGAGGACGCGCGATTCACGTCGACCATGCACGGAAGCACATCGGCAATCTGATGAACGCTGAGTCTCAATCTGAACATCAATTCGGCGACGAGACCATGCTCTCGATTCGGGTTCGCCGAAACAAGCAATTGGGTCTCAATCTGAACCATCAATTCGGCGACGAATGTGAAGATGAAAAGGGGGGTGTGTTGACGGCTAACTTAGGGTTCCGACGAGGAGTGTGAGGGCGTTGACGGAGAGGAGTAGTGAGGGTCTAGTTTGGGTTTCAAACCCTTTATTTCATTCGAACTTCTTGTTGATTCAATTTTTTCTCCTGCAAATGTTTCCTGTGGAAATCTTCAATTCTCCGGACAAGCATAGATACACACACACAGAGAGATAGAGGGAGGGAGGGAGAGAGGTTTGCTCAACAAGAATTTTTTATTTTTCTTTTAGTCCGAAAAAGAAGATGAACAGTGCTTGTAACTATATGTATATGAAGTGATAAGGTTGTGTTTGGGTAATTGGGTGTAACATAAAACTAAGGGTGTGTTTGGGTGTAATGGTCACAATAAGGGGTAATACTGTCTCATAAGGGCATTATGACCATTAAATATATATTGTGTGATCACGTGACTGCTCCTGACGATTTTAACGGTGACATTCAACCGGCCGGTCGCCGGATGGGCTATCTGCAACAAAAATGTATAGTTCAGGGTTATATTGCGACTTTTGAAGTTTGGGGGGGTTGCTAATTGGTCCATAGTGCAGGGGTTATTTTTGCATTTTACCCTTATGAATAATTGAGCCTAAATAAGGAAAATGTTCATTTTTGGTCGTCTTGATTCTTAATCCTCACTACCTCATTTGTATTTATAGATTTACCAAAGTTACACTCGATGTATTCAGTTTTATTTCTACTTGTCTTAAACTATTTTAATTCTGTTGCAACACGTTGCTCAAGGGGAATGCCCTAGCATTTACTTGTCTATTCATAGGATTCATGTTCATATTGGTCATGACAGTTTTACGATGCCTCCTTTATCTGGGTTTGGGATCGGCAGTGTAAAGAATCACAGGCGGAGTTTTTATGACTTAAAGTACAAGATATCATAAACAAAATTTTGCTAGCAGAATTTTGGTCTCTTAGGATTAAATCCAAAAATTTGTGTTCACAATTAAATTAGCAGCATAGTAACATTATAGGTTCTATATGTTATTCCTTTGCCTTTTTTGCTTGAATGTAATGTTGGGTTTGTGTATGATTCTTAATGTTTTGTTTGTTCTTCAGGTGAGCAAGGACTGATTGATGAAGCTCAGAAAGCTTTGGAAGAGGCTGAAGCACTTAAGAAGGTTTTGAATTTGATTCTTTTTAAGTATATTTTTGTTATATCATTTGCAAATCCGTACATCTTAAGTTCATGAGTTCTTTGTGGCTGCTTATTTCATCATTAGTCGTGCTCCTGAAATTTATTTATTTATTTCTTCCCTCTTTTAATAAGATAAGAAAATTTGCTCCTCTTGATGCACACTTAACTTTGGCATTTCCTCTTTTCCCAGCTACCTCCCAGGCAGGAACCTACTTTGGATTCCTCCAAATACACTGCTGCTGACGTGCGGATTGTGAGTTTTCCCCCATGCTGCTTCTAATCTTCTTGCCATTATCTGTGGAAAGGGAATTTTTTTTTATTTTTCTAACACTTAATAATTATTGTTAGCGAGATGATGAAATTTATATGCTTGTAGTCACTGTCACTATGAGGGTTTTGATTAACAATGTCTAAAGCTCACATATAAATTCTTTTGAAACAATTTGCAAGGTGGTCATTTTAGAGGTTTCTATAAAAACAGTGTTTTTATGAAGTTAAAAACTTTCTACTCAAGCACTGTGTATATGTTTATATATATTTTCAATCTGTTGACGAGTAGTTTTCAATGAGAGTGATTCTCTAGGTAAGAGTTGTTTGAACTTAAAAAATTATGGGCTTGACAGGTGCAACACATATACAGCTTTTCTCATTTCTCATGTTATAATTCCTGTGATTTCAGACTGATCAGAAGCTACGAGTCTGTGACATTTGTGGAGCATTTTTGAGCGTTTATGACAGGTAATTTTTCTTTCTCCTTCCTTATTCTTTGCACATATATATTGTACGCTTTTTTAAGGAAGGACAAGTACTTGTGCTTAGGGTTTCAAGTACTTCAGCTTTTGACCTGGCAATTATACCTCCTTGTCACCAGCAGGCTCTTTGGCCCAGTTTTACGAGGATAAACTTTTGCAGCTAAAGAATGTGCGTCTTTTTCTGTTTTATGCTTATAGATCATGCTATTAGTAGCTGAACGTTACGGGGCAACTGTATTATATTTTTCCGTCTTTTGAAGGTTTTTAATATTTTTAGTGGTGGAGCTATTTTCATTTTTTTTTGCTACTTTAAATGTGGTTTTCAGTGATCGCCGTTTAGCAGATCACTTTGGAGGAAAGCTTCATTTGGGATATATGCAAATCCGTGAAAAGTTAGCTGACCTTCAGGTAAGATTGTCAATTGTCCTACAGTTGACTTATATTTCTTAATTCAGTGAAAGTAATTACATGTTAATACTAGTTAAAAGGGTGTGACTCCATAATTGCAAAATGCTTCTGAAACCTCGTCTGGTTTGCCTTACATCTGGCATCTTTGTCCTTTTTGCCGTTTATGTATATGTTTGAACATTTAATTCCTCCTCTATTTTCGTATAAAGTAGGCATCATAAGTACTTTTTATTTCTTTTAAAGCAATCCTTTAGAAAAAGCAACTTTCTTCTAAGTATTGCTGTTGTTCTAAACTGGGAGTTGCATGTTTGTCTGTGCTATCATGTATTTGTTATGTACTTAAGTTGGTACTCTGATGATTCAGGTGCTGTATAATGTTTCACTTTCTTCTGTAGAGATTTTCAGTTAATATGCCTCTCTGAGTTTTTCTAACCTCTGAGAAGAGTGTTTGCGTATATTAATTCTTTTTATTTTGACATGGACTTATATTGAGGTTCCCCAGAAAAGAGATAAAGTGAAGTAATCTGCTCCTCTTCTTCTTAACTGTGTAAACTATTGGAAATGTGGTTCAAAAGAATCTGTATTTCATATTGGAACTATTAGAGAAGAAACACAATTTGCTTATCATGTGATCACGCTTAAGGAAAATGAAATGGATGGAATTTAACCATTTCCATCTCTTGGTAGACTCCAAGTATGAATTAGAACTGAAATAGAGGTAGAACTTAGGTTGGTTATAACTCCAGGCTTCATGCTTTTTTGGTGGACTTGATTAGCCTTGGCCTTGATTTTATATATCCTTTAGCAAAAAACTGAGCTTGAGCAATCTGCTGCTCAGCTTGTATGGGCTCCATTTGTCTGACCAATTTGAAGTGATTGTACTTGCTGAATGCTGTCACTTGGCGTGAACTAAGCATCCAACTTTATAAGAGAACAATCAAAACCTAATTATTGGTCTCTGTAAAAGCTGCATGATATGGGTACCTTGTCACAACCCAAGCCTCCCTTACTTGGTGTAGCTTGTTACATGGGTTGTGAGTGGGAACGTAGTTTCCGTCTGGGTATGCGCCCTTGGATTGCTGTTGCATATTCAGCTCCTGTTGCAGCTGCTACTGCTGTTTTCTTGATCTACCCAATCGGTCAAGGACCTTTTTCTGATGGTATGCCTCTAGGAATCTCTGGTACTTTCAACTTCATGATTGTATTCCAGGCTGAGCACAACATCCTTATGCACCCATTTCTTTCATGATATTAGCACTCTGCTTTACTCATGTGGGTGCCATGAGCTCAGTCCATGTGGGGTTGACTATCTCTTGCCTTTACTTGGGCATCTTTTAGGCATGCCTGGTTTGTGCCATCTTCATATTTCACTTCTCTTGACCTTTTGAGAACTCTGAAGGTCCTTCAGATTTTATTTTGAGAACTTCTTGTGGCAGGCAGCATAAAGGATCCATCTAATCTTAAATTAAGTGAATTGGTATGTGGGGACAAAACATGGTTGATTGGAGCTATTTTTTGAAATTGCAATGCATGACTTCTGTTTTATGCCACTTTCGCAACCCTCTTGTTTTTGTTCCACTAAAAGGCTATTTTAGCAACTTAATTTAGAGGGACTGAAGAAAGGAAACTACTGGGCAAATAATTAGTGTTTTAGATTGCTCTTTGGAAAAAAAAGAAATGACATTCAGGGAAAAAAAAGAACAAAAAATGTCATGGGCGAAATATGGGTTCTCTTTCACTTGAATATTAATCTAGTCTTGCCATGTTGATCCGGATTATATTTCTTCCTCATGTAATGTTTGTGTCCTTTTCTTTTCCTGCGTTGTTTTGGGAATTATGAAAGAAATAACATTGACCAAGGGCCCTGTAGCCTAGTGGTACTAACTCGTCTTCCAAAGTAGAGTCCCCGTAGGGGCAAAAAGTGGGGGTGTGTGTGTGTTTCTTGCCAACAAAAGAAATAACATTGGTAAATTCTGAGTTTCATCATTTGTTTGTGGGTAAGCATGCGTGCATCATTTACAACAATTTTTTTTTGGGTTGCGGGGTTGGCGGGAAGATGCATGTTCATGTTGTTAACTCTGCTTGTTGCCATAAGGCTGACTAGGTAGATTTCTAACTTGTTTGGCAATTGATGTCAGGAAGAAAAAAACAAGAAAAGGAAGGCGTATGAAGATGATAGAAGGTAATCTGATTTTTAATGTTACTTTCTTTCCTTGTAATTTTGTTTTTTTCCTTTTTCTTTTGTTTATTTTGGGTTTGGGAGGGGGGAGGTAGGTGTTTTGTAAATGTCGAATGGTATTTTTATTTATTCGCTCCATCTCTGGTGTTGCTCTGGTTGCCTTTTTTTTTCTACATAATTCTTTTCACTGTGAAGATCAAAGGAGAGAAGCCGAGACCGTGACAGAGAAGCCAGCAGGGATCGAGATCGAGGAGATAGCCGTGAAAGGGTGAGGGATTATGACCGTAGGAGCAGAGATCGTGACAGGTATTACGACCGTGATCGTGGGTATGATAGGGAACGTGACAGAGAGAGAGAAAGATCCCGCAGCTATGATTCGAGAAGTCACAGGAGATCGCGCTCACGGTCAAGGGAGCGTTCCAGGGATTATGATCACCACAGGTGATGCTTCATGTAATTGTGTTTCTTTTATTTGCTTATATATTTGTTGTTGTATAACTTTGAGGACCGTATTTCTGAAAATGAAAGCCTTCCAATTTTGATTCATTTCCATCTTAAGGACAATTTGTTTATTTTTTTTCAAAAAAAAAATCAAGAAATGACAAATAATCGGAACAATGTTGTAGATCAATCTCAGGCAGTGGGTATATCTGGTATTGGGCAAACCACCTTTTTTTTATTAGTGTAATTGGAGATATGAAGCAGGAGTTTTTAGCACTGGGAACAGCTTCCACCACTTTAAACATCTGAAAATCTCACACCTGGTTTCTCGTTGTTTTCCTGTCCCTATTTATTAGTTTTGTTGTTGAATACTTGATGCTTTATGTTGAAATGTCACCTAATGGAACTTGTTCTGATCCAACTTCTTTTGGCATTCAAGCTACAATTAATATCCATCCTGGAGTGATATATTTGTGTTTCTGATCAGATTTTGATTCTTCTATGATCTGCATTGTTCATCAGGCATCACGACCGATACTAGCTGGCTAGGGAGTGCAGCTGAGTTGCTGCGTCGGCGTCACGACCGATACTAGTTGGCCAGGGAGTGCAGCTGAGTGGCTCTGAACCTGGGAAATGTGTTCTTGACTTGGTCGATGCTAGAATTTTTCTAGGGGAGAAGACGATAAGTGTGCTTTATTTGAAAATTAATATGGCTCCTGTAATGGTGGAAAGAACCGCTATGAAGATGTTCACTGGTATTGTGTTTGAAGAGATTGGTTTTGTGTTGTCTGAAATTTACCTTTATGGGTAAGTGATGCAAGAGCCTTTTTTGGACCTTTTAGTAATGTACACACAAGGCTCTTTGATCATCATCACCTGTTTGAATTGCACTGTAACTGTGATTCTAAGGATTTGTGGGTAATTAATTCCTCTGGACTGTTTGTGAGCAATGGTAGAACTAGAGCAAAGGTAATGTGAACCGAACTTGGAGAGAACTTGAACTTGGCCTCAAATTCTAGTATTGCGTGCTTAGATGGTTTTGATCAAGGGAAATGATGTTCGTCTTTTACTTTTCTACATTTGCATTGGCCTTGCTCATTCCATATAGTAACAAAAAATTAGGCGGAGTGAAGTGTGCAAAAGAGGAGTTCAATCCATGTAAATGTTGCGGGAATGAAAGTGACAAAATTTAAGTTCAAACTAGGGATGTTGGATTGGTGGTCATCTCTAAAGCTTGTTTATCTCCGACAATTTTAAAGTGAAATCCAAGTGTCACGTCATTACTCGTGTATGGTTTGATAACCCTTCATTTAAACAGAATTTTTAATATGGGCTTCATCTAAGCCTAAGAAATAGGACTCGGAGTAAAATGATGGACCGACCCCAAAGAAAGGATCAATTTTAAAGATTTTGAATTCTTTCCATTTTCAAGGTTGTAGAGAAAATGATTTATTTATTTTTTAATAATGGCGGTGTCACGTCTCTTAGAACACTCCACATAGATTACACCCCATAATTCACTTAGAACACTCCACATAGACTACACCCCATAATTCACCGCTGGGCTCGAAAATGTGAGGAGAGTTTTTATCATTATACTATCCCTACGGAATTTGGCACAATACATTTGGAATACCGAATTTAATATAAATTAATTGAGATGTATTGAGGGTGGAATTTTTTTTATATCATTGATAAGAAATTCACACACCCACTTTGCTTCTTTGGAGACTCAAATCATCACCATCCATCTTGGGAGGTAGAGGAGATATCACTATGCCAAAAGGTCCAACTTTTTTTTTGATAAGTGCCAAAAAGACATTTGGTTCAATTGCATTTACATCCTAGCTCCCTTGAGTGGTCTCCAAGTCAGAAATTGGGTGACATTTTTGTATTCGAATAGATAGTTTTCTCTAACTAGATTAGGGTTTTTGGAGCAAAGCAAAGAGGAAGAAGAGAATGTCTACATTGAAGAAAGCCCTTGAGGGTTGGATGACAACAACTATGAGTGGCTAGATCTTCTCTTGGGGCTAGAGATAGCCCTTAGGCTTACTTCCTAAACTCAGTATTTTGTAATTTTTGGGGATTTACGTTGTAAATATTGTTTTGACCTATGATTATATATAGATTTTGTGTTTTTACATGATTTGTATAGATTAATGCTTCCAATTAATCTTTTAATTCTATTTATATGTCTATGTATGTTAGAATGAATGGTCATGCGCTTATCACTGGATTTTATGAGTTTAATGCATGTCTATGTGAGTTGGAATTGTAAATTTAGTGATGGTCAAAGCATGGATAGTGCTTAATTGGGTACTCTTGTGGTTTATTTGATGTATTATGCTTATTTCTTTATGAATTGTGCTATCTCCTTAGTTTTAATTGATTACTCTTGTGGTTTATTTGATGGATTATGCTTATTTCTTTATGGATTGTGCTATCTCCTTAGTTTAATTTTCTTATCATTAGTATAATTGCGGTGTAATTGCTTTAAATTCCTAAATAGGCAAACTTGAACAACCCTTTAATCGAGATGTAATTATTATAGTAAATTCATAATATACAACTTTTGCTACAAACCTTTTCAACTAAATTTCATATAGATAACAATTCTAATTCCTAATCCATACCACCCCTTTTGCATGATGATGCAAAAATTTTTAAAATTGTCTTTCAAAATGAAAAGATAGAAAATGATTATTTACTAAAATAACAAAGGGTATAATGGTAACTTTGAACAAAACAAAAGACTGTTTCCATTAGATTTTGTAAAGCTATTGAGAGTATTTGGCATGAAATTTGTTTTAATATTAGTTGTTTTTTTTTTTTTTTTTTTTTTTTTAATAAAAATGAATAAAACCAAAATACAAAATAATAGTAAATAAATAAATAAGAAAATCTCTTATAATCGTCTTTCACCGGTCACCACAAACGGGAAGCAAAAAAGAGTGACAACAAACACCACGGACCTTTGCACAAAAGACTCGTACCTACTCTCTCTCTCTCTCTAAAATGCTCTATCTCTAGGATTGGCACCCTTCTGCAGTTGCTGTTTCTCGAATCCTTGTACAGGCTTGGGTTGGTTCAGACTAAGAAGAAGATGACACTGAGAGCACCCATTACTGGATTAGGCATGGCTTCAACACCATCTGCTTCATTACAGGTCCCATCTTCTAACAGGCTCGTTATCGTCAGGACACCACCTCTCAAAGCCTCTTTCTTTGGTGATGGAGGTAGTAATTTGTGGGTTTATATACACACACACACATACATACCCTTTTAATTCTTACAATATTTCTTTATGGGTCTTTTGTGATCACCTTATGTTGATATTTAATCAATGACAATGTGTTTCTGATACAATTAGTTGAATTTTTAATTCTTCAATCAGCTGTAAATTCGGTTAATTATAGAGGACAATTTTCTCTTTAATTTATGTTGAATGTGAACAATAATTTAAGTAGCTATTATGAATTAAGAATATGGGTTTTTGTAATATGTTGTTCGAAATTCTGAATTGATGAACTTTTTATAATGTATACGATTTGTTATATATTGTTCATAGTTGATATTGTGTTTATGGGCTGCTGGTTAGAATATTAGTGTAGCAAGTGTGAATTTATATTGTCTTTTGGTGCACGAAACTTAATTTCTATACCACAAACACACATTTACATTAAAACAAAGTTTTAAATTCTATAGAACGAAAATATAAATCAAACCCAATTCTGTGCGGCCAATTCAGCCTTGGGGGATTTTATCGGTTAATACAAGTATGCTGACACTGATCAGAAAAAATTAGGTGTATTAATTCTCGATCGAGTTTAAAAGTATATGATTGGTCATTTGATGTGTGCTTTTGGCAAAGACTGAATTTCAGGGACATGTAGGTTTCAGTAAATCCCTTTAGACTCTGGCACAGTTGAGCTGATGTAGAACCTACTTTCTGTCACTCAGCCAAAAAAGTGGATCATGCACTAGCCTCCATCATATAGAGAATGGTTAATTATTGTCTTGACTTATAAGAACTGTTTTGAGGTTATTAAGCTCATTTGTGGAATGTAAGTTTTATTTTGCATTTGTAGAATTGCATATGCAAAATGAAAAATTACATTAATCAAATCATTTTAAATGCAAGATGAATTTTTTTTAGTATAATAATAACTCGAGTTGCCAAGCGGTTTTGCATTGTTTAAAGTTTTAGAGCACTAACTTTGTGGATAATACAGTTAAAAGTTAGGTCCTTGTAAAAATTACCTCTTCTATTACTACATGCTTAGATAAATCATCTTATTTAATCGTTGATTTAGCTATATAGTATTTGACAACACTTAATAAGCCAAATTACTTTGCAAAGCCTTGTCCACAGGAGTCTTAGGGAGATGATATTTGGAAATATTCTAGTGAAGAGTTGAACAACACAATAAAGTTTGAAAAAAAAACTAAAGAAATTAATTGTTAAATGAGTGTATTAAAAAATTATTGATTTAATGACAAGTTCATAATAAATTTGTAATCAAATGAGTGTATCAAAAATTATTGATTTGACGAATGACAAGTTCATAATTATCAATTACTTATAGTTTATTTTGGTCCTTTGGCTAATTCACTTCTAGTTCATGAGTGGATGGGGTTTGCTGTAAGCATTTACTTAGTCAAAACCTACTTGAACCTGCTAAACTATTGGATGAAGTGGTCTTATAAGTAAATAAATAAAGTTGATCATGCTTTGATTGATCTGTAATGCCATCTGAAGATGATATTTTCTTTTTAAGACAGTAAACCTTTGTTGCAAAACTGGTGGTTTACCCTTAACGTGCATATTAGTTATTCAGTTGATAGAAGCATAATCTTGTATAATTGGAACAACCTGAAATCCTGTCATTCCTCTTTTTTGCAATTCCTGTTCACATTTTTGTTTGATTGACATCTTATTCCACACTCAAAAATTTTCTTTTCTTAACTTACTGTTTAATGCCTTCTCTTAGAATCCATACATCTTTTCTTGCAGTGGCTGGTCTTAAAGTTGCACGACAACGATTAGCTCATTCCAATAGATCCAGATGTAATAGTCATGGTGGGGGTGCTCTTGGTGTTCGGATGAACCTTTTTGATCGTTTTGCTAGAGTTGTCAAGGTTACTTAGAAATTTTCATGCTTTAGTTTAAGTGTGGCACTTTTGGCTTCAATCTTCTTGAGTTACACACAACTAAAATATGTTTTTTTGGTTCCATCTCTAATAAGTGTAGTCATATGCAAATGCACTTATAAGTACATTTGAAGACCCAGAGAAGATCTTAGAACAAACTGTGCTCGAAATGAATGATGATTTAATAAAGATGCGTCAGGCTACTGCACAAGTATGTGTCTTTTCCATTTGCTTTCTTTCTTATTCATCCTTTTCAGATACAACTAAGTCTCTCTTTGTTTGTGCTTCCATTTTTTAATATATTACTTCTGTCCATGGTAAATTAGAAAACTAAAATGTTGGAACTTTACGGCATAAAGAGATGGAGGAGAGGGAAGTGAATTATTACTATTTACACATTTCCTCTTTTCTGAAGGTTCTGGCATCACAGAAACAATTGGAAAACAAATGTAAAGCCGCACAACAAGCTTCTGAAGATTGGTAATATTCTAAGGTACCCTTACATTAATTGCTTTAGAGTTATTGCTCTTGGGAACTATTTGGCTCATCATTTAATTTGATGATAGGTATCGAAGAGCACAACTTGCTCTTGGGAAAGGAGACGAGGATCTTGCTCGTGAAGCACTTAAACGCCGTAAATCTTATGCAGTAAGTACTCTTTTTCTTCAGGAAATTGCTCGAGTAGCTGTTACTAAATTTTCTCAAGCTTGCAAATATAATATCTGATAAAATGTTTGACAAATTCTCGTGATAATTATTTTGCTTACTTATTTCCTACTTTCCTAATTCTTCTTCAGATGACTTTTAAGTCTATGAAACTGATAAATAGCTAAAACAGCATGTCTTTAAATTTGTTTGTAGCCCATATGAACACCATCATCATTTAGTTGTTGTTGAATTATATTTATAATTTGGAAATTTTCCCCCTCGTGAACAAGTCTTCCAAGTCGAAATATAACATCTCTTTTAGAGAACGAACGAAATTACAGAACCTTATGCTCCATTTGGTTGGAGGGATGGAAAAATAGATGGAAGGGAGAGGAGAATGGATGGATGAGGCATCTCTAAGGAAGGGAACATGTCTTCCTCAAATTTTGGTTGGTTGGATGGAATGGATTGTAGAAAGGATGGATGGGGTGGTGCATTATTTTTGTTTGGTTGGAAGGAAGGAAAAGAGGGTTTTTATATTCTTTTTACCAATATACCCTCATTATTTAAAATTATAAAAATTATATATCCATTCCAAGTTTATAGGAAGGTTAGAAATGAAAAATACATGTTTTTGTTAATTTTATTTCTTTCTCTCTCCTCCTCCTCCCCCCAATTTTGGGCAGATAGAAAAATACAAAGAAAGGAGGGATGCTTCATCCCTCCTTACTTCCTCCCTCTTTTCCCTTCCCTCCAACCAAACACAAAAAAGTTGTTTTATCCACTCTCTCATCCATCCCTCCTCAATCCCTCCCTCTGACCAAACATAGCATTAAATTTGCACAAGGAGTCATTTACAATTTCAATCTTGTTCAGCACAAGATGTATTAAGAAAAATTGATATGTGTGTGTGTATGTATAGTTTGACTACTTGAAATTTATGAATCAGGGATATACATATATTTATATAAGTACGTTAACCAAAACACAGAGCGGGGGTGAGAGTTGCAAAGGGAGCTACTGCATGAGAATCCTAAATTATAAATTACCCTTCACCTGAGTATCGTGAGAGCGTCTGTGAAATAAAGGTGTAAAAATTTTCAAAAACATATATATAAGAAACGGATATTACCCAGTGTAAGTCGCGCCTACGCAGCGTGCTGGAGAGAGACTAGGGAGTTATGTAACCTTTGGTATTATTTGACTGCTCTCAAACTCGAACTCGCATCCTCATGCCTGTCACTTGAAGTTCTTACAATTGCACCAAGAAATAACCCCTTCCAGTATCTTGTATATATGCATTTGTAATTATTAATTTAACGTTTATTCACATATTGTACTATTATACATAAACTACGTACACTAATAATATATGTATTGGTTAAGTGTGTAGATATGTTAACTATTTATATGTACTATTGATTGTATGAAAATTCCACTTACCTCTTTTAAGGTTTGCCATGTTCCACGTGGCCAGCACAAATTTGAAAAATAGGCAGGACTTCCCTCTCTGTTATGGGAGACAAAGGGAATCTCCGTTGTGTTTCTGTTTGATCAGTTGTACCTGGTTAAACTTTCAAATTGCTGTATCTTGATTGATATCATACTAAATTGTTCTTTGATGGGAACGAAATGAAATGAAAGATTGCAGAGATTTTGGCGTCAGTCTCTTTCTCTAACCAATTATACTTCATTGATGCTATTTTACAGGATAATGCAAATGCTTTGAAGACTCAACTTGATCAGCAAAAGAGTGTTGTTGATAACCTAGTCTCTAATACTCGGGTTGGTTGCAATTTTCTGTTAACATATGGCGCACCATGATTTGTTAACACATGGCACACCTATCATGATGTTTCTTTCTCGCCCATTGTTATTTAAGATTTTTATGAATTCATAGTGTTGATTTTGGTCAACTGGAGTCTCCATTAGTAGAAGTATTGGATGAAATTGTATGTATTTCTTTGGTTAATCAAATTTCTTCTTGTAGTTGTGAGGAACGTAGATGCCCTTATTCACTAGAAGTTTAAATTGCACGAAACCATGTAACTGTGAGGAATTTGTATGCTCTTTTTCAATAAAATTTTAAATTGCTCCAAGCATCCTTTTATCATTTGATGACTCATTTACATTTATGAATTATGACAGGAGTGTTGATATACGAGTGACAGACTAGTACAGTTGGTGTTTGACTGTATTTGATTTCTCTTTTGACAGCTTTTGGAAAGCAAGATACAAGAGGCAAAGTCAAAGAAAGATACTCTAAGAGCACGTGCTCAGTCTGCAAAGTTTGTGACCACTTCCATCAATTATATCCTCTTAGGCCAGTTTGGCATGCGTTTTGTTTCTGCTATTTTTGTTTTTGGGCTGCTACAGTGTCGATTTTGGCAACAAAAGTATGTTTGGTGTGGCCTTGTTTTATTTTACACAATGCTAAAACACTTCATGAATAGTGGCCCAAAACCAAAACACCAAAAAGTTGTTTTTTCTTGTTTTGACAACTGTTCATGGCCCAAAACCATATTTTGCATGTTTCTGTTTCCGACATTTCCACAACAAAACATCGTTCCCAAACTTGCTTCCAATTTTTTTCCAAAACACTCCTAAAACAAAAATGCTGTTTTTGTTTTAGCCAAACGGTACAAGACTCCTACTTCCCAAAGGGAGGTCAGGGGTTCAAACCTCAATGGAGGCAGTGTGTGTGAGTCCCAACGAGGAAAAAAAAAAAAAAAGCGCATGCCAAACGGGCCCTTAGTTTTCCTGCTTGCATAATAGTTTATTCCATAATAGTAGTTGATTAATGCTTATTTTTTCTGTAGGACTGCAACCAAAGTGAATGAGATGTTGGGAAATGTAAATACAAGCAGTGCTCTTTCTGCTTTTGAAAAGATGGAGGAAAAAGGTTAGGTTTTTTCTTCTTTTCCTAAGCATTCTGTTCGGATACATGCTTGCTTTTTATCAAATTAGCTGAGCGCACTTGAGTTGCACATGTTGGAAGTATATTTAAGAGAACGTTGAAAAGTTAAAGGTTTCTGCATATGAAATCAAAACTCCCAACTGTTGGGGTAATAGATTTAATAATGACTTGCAAAAAAAAATAAAGAATCTAACAATGATTGTCGGTGCTATTTATATACTAATGTTATAGCTTATCTGAATCACATATGTACTTTTACAGCTATGGTTAATCAATACATTTACCTTTACCACTGTTATAGGTAATGAAAATCACTTATATATTATTAAACTCTAAGTTTTTTTAATAAATTAATAGTGGGAGTCATAAACTTCACTGGAAGGGCTCAAGGGCAGTATGTGCTCAATTGCTCAGTAGAATGTATGCTGACAACATAATCACATAAATCTAGAAATTTTCTGAATATTATATGTAGTGTATTGCACTATTTTTACTTCATATAGCTCTTTTGCTAGTCCTATAAAAACCAGAGTCTTAACTGCTCATACATTCAAAATGTGATTTCCCTCCCTGAGTAACCACAGGACAGCAGGAGAATATCTATAGAGAGTTTATTTTCAGAAAAGATTAAGTCTGCCCGGCACACCATGCTCCAAGGCTCCAACCATTGAAATCCTAAACGTCGATGGATTTATTGGTGATTGTCAACGCTATGTATTTACTGATGTTATATAGCTTATCAATGTGCTATTAGGACTATGATCTATACGTTTACCACTTCTATAGATAATCAAAATCACCTGTATAGTGTTGAAGCCAAAAACATTTAAATAAATTAGTATTGAAAATCATAAACTTCAGTAGAAGTATTTTCTTCAATATCATGGTCTAGTGCACTCATCTTCTCAATAGGAATATAGCTACAACATAATCAAATAAACTCAGGAGAGAATTTGAAGGGGACCACACTTGGAATATTTGAGGTAGTGAAGTTGACTGTATGTTTCATCATACAGATTTTGAGAGTTTCCTGTATACACAAATTAGAACAGCTCATATATTCAATATGTTGTTTCTCTGCCTCGGTAATAAACCCATGGGAAAGAGGGAGAATATAATGGCAGATTTATTTTTGGTAAAAAATCAGGTTCCAAGCACATGTTCCCCCATACCTTCAATCCTGAATTCACAAAAACATAGCATGACCGGGGTAGCCTGAAAGATGTAGTTTCTACTGTATGCTGAGATTTCAATGGCAAACTTATTGTACAGGCAACTTAGGCTCACCTATGCTACAATTTCCTGTGAACACTATGCTGAATGAACCAATAAAATTACATTATGTGTACCAAGTAATACAGGTCCCTTTTGGTTTGAGGTTTAGCATGTCATTAATGCTATAGAGGAGAATACTTAATTACTACTACTATTCTTTTGTAATGAAGGTTGGAGAGAGCATCTAGGTCTAGCACAAGTTATGCTAACTACTTATGATGAAATGTCTCCATCACTTAAAGTTTCTTGCAATGCATGGAGTTAATTTATTTGTAGCAGTAAGAGAAGAGATTGTTGGTGTGTGTGTGGGTTTTTTTTTTTTTTTGGGGGGGCGGGGGGGGGGGGGGAGGGGGAAAGGGGGGTGTTGGTTATAGTTTAGTTAGGTGCAACTTACTTTTTGATTGCCGAAAGTAAGAACCAAAGAATTGTAATACTCATAAAAGCTCTCCAAACTAGAGTAAGAGAAGTAAGGAATCAAAACTCCAACCCAAGAATTGCGTTCCGAATTCCAATCATTGAAGTGGTAGAAAAGTATGGATTAGAATGTTCCTTAAGATTTGAGAATCCTAATTTGAAATTTTATAACAAAATATGAATTAGAATGTAAAAAATTTAAGAATTTTGACAATGGAATTCCTTCAAACTTAACTAAGATACGCAAGTAGATTAAATCTCATTTGGGAGAGAGACTAAAAAAGACAGATGTACAGGGAACTCACATAAAATAACTTTCGATTTGCAATTGTTTCATAGTAAAGCTAGCCTTAGAGATGCTCTGCTTTCAAGCACAATTGCCCTTTCTCCTCTGGGGTTTAAGCAATGCTCTATGCACAAAAATGAGAAGTCTGGAGAGATAATTAGAAAAGAAGGATTGTGATGCAGAGCATGATAGTTAGAAAAGGATTCAAAATAAAGAGTTTTACATGGAATGCATGTTGGGCCTTACGTGATAAAATTTTGAGTTGAGTCAAATCTCATGTTAAGCTTCAATTAGTCTGCTGTTGGTTTATATTTTAATATTCAAGGGTGTTTTGGTATTTTGATATGCTGGACATTGGCAGTAGGAGCGGTTTATTAATCTTCCTTTGAGTCAAAAATAATGTTATTGGGTCTTTGTATGTTGTTTTAGTAGGTTAAAGTTATATCTCAGTCATCAAAAAAAATTTCTTTAATATTTTAGAGTCCTAATCCTAGAACAAGCAAGGAAAGTTCAGTGTTCTTTATATATCTTTGTATTCTTTAAATTCAATAGAGTTGATTTTTAGTACAAAAGAGAAGCTTTGAATTGTCATGTGATGTCATATGTGTGATGAAACATAATTAGTAAAACATAAGGAAAAATAGGTGAGATTCCTAAAATTCTCCTCTCTTCTTCTTCCTCCCCATCCTCCTCTTATACCCTCCAATCATATTTTGTTTATGAAATCACGCTCCATCCTTAATTTCTCTAAGCCTTCTTATATCAAAACCTTAAAATTCCATAACCCTAACATTTTTCTCTACCCATTAGCCTTCAGTTTAACACTCTAAACTCTATATGTAGCTGCCATCCAGAATTCTTAGCAACTGATTCTCGGTAACTGTAGAAACTACTCACTTTGAGAACGAAGCCAATTTCAACCCCATTTCGTCTTGAAATCCTACACATTTAGTCTTACTCTAAGAACTTTAAATGTACAATCTCCATAACTTCTGTGCACCATAAACCTAATCATAGCAGCATTAATTTGAGTTCTCTAGTGTTATCCTGCATAATTTAGAGTTGAATTTATGCAGATAAATTTAAGGAATTTTTGGGGACTAATTTACCTTCTTGTTATAGGTGAGAATTGTTCGCTGTGGATGGTTGAGATCTTTGGGCCAAACATATTTGAGTTGCCTCGTTGATTTAAGTATAGTATTTCATTGAGTCCTCTGAACTCTTTGTAGTAATGAGTGTCAAATTTAAGATATTAAAAAATATCTCATTTTGTCTAATTATCAACCTTTGGATCACATGTCCATGTTGTGGTCATTGACTAGCTTTGTGTGCGGAAGTTTTGTAATTACAATGGATAAGCTTCTTTGTGAATTCTCCTGTATGGTTTTTTGGTAGTCTAGAAGGAGTTTATGTTTAATTATGTAAAAATAATTTAGGTCCACCTATTGAAGTTTTGGCATTGAACGAAACCAAGTGAAATTACATTCAAGTTGTCTCAGAAAATATCTGCAACTACTGTAGTAATGGATGACAATAATTTTTGTTCCTTTCCCTTATAGTTATGGCCATGGAATCTCAAGCAGAGGCGCTTAATCAGCTAAGTACTGACGATCTCGAAGGAAAGGTAGCATTTATATTTTACTTCAGTGTATTGCTGATATGGAGTTTCCTCACTTTTATTTCCAAATTTCCTTTTGGTTAATATTTTAGAATCAGCACAAAGGGCCGAGGTTTCTTTTGCAAATAGAACAAGTGGAACTAAGTTTCTAAAGGGCTTTTTTGTTGTTGTGTGCACTATCTTCATTTGGTGTCAGTATCTAGCTTGCAATAGAATGACTGCTTTTTATTGGTTCACTATCTCATTGTATGTCCAATCGTAGAATTTTTTATTATCAAAGAATATAAAGAAAGGTTAGAAAAATATTTTCTGGTCCTTTTATTTATTGATTTTTGATAGGGTTGTTCTAGACACCAGTTCAACATGAAGAGAAGAAGCTCATCAAAGACCATATTTGTTTCTATTTCTTTTTCTCTGTTGCTCTCAGTACTGTCATAATCAAAATATTCCTGCCCAGAACTTTGGGTATTAGTGTCAGAATTTGATGGGCTTTGTTAAGAAAAATTTCTAAGGGCCTATTTGGTTGGTGTTTTACTTTGGTATTTTTGTTGCAGGGCTTCATTTCAGGCCCAAAAACATGTTTGGTAGCACTTGTTTTGTTTTAAACAGTAAAAAACAATGTTTTAAACAGTACCAAATTTTGGCCCAAAAGTGAAACACCAAATTGGTGTTTTTTGTTGTTTCAACACTGTAGCCCAATAAAAAGCACTGTAGCAGATGAAACAGTCAGCCCAATTTGTTTCAGCTATATAAACATTTTAGGTCATTTTTGCACAAATTTTCTCTCTCCTCTCCCGATACTCTCTCTACGATTCAAGGGCGATTTCCAATCGCCTCCATCTCTATTCTCGTTCTCTACTCTGAACTTGCCCAAATCTACAAGAATCAGAAGTTCAAAACCCATTTATTTCAGTTTATCCATCTGTCTGCAAGAATCAAAACCTATTATCACCAGAGTTTATCTGTATCTTCGTGCCGCGACCTCATTCTTTGCTATCACCGGAGTTTCCTTGCTGTCGTCGCCCTGTGTTGTGTCCCTAGCTTCATCGCCGGTCGTCTTCTTGCTTCATACATGTTTGGAAGACTCCCAGAAAAGGAATTCTCACTGAAATCAATCGACCTCAAAAGCAATTTCCAATGGAATGCTTCCAGTCAGCTGATTTTCGCTCAAATCAAGAACATCCAAGGCCTTTAATTCTCTAATATTTGCTGGAATACCACCTACAAGCGAGTTTCTAGACAAATTTAAGAACTTCAAGCCACCAAAATCCCCAATAGCAGAGGAAATTTCACCAGTTAAACCATTGTGGGATAAGTCCAAGACCTGAAGCCCTCCATTCAAGCTGTTCTTCGAGGAAGAAAATAAACTGTCCATATCTCCACTCAATCTGTTCCCCGAAAGCAACACACTCTGTAAACCCATTTTAAACACCCAAGATGGAAGACTACCAGTCAATGAATTCCAACTAATAGAGAGAAAAGAGAGAGTTGCAGAGTGATTTTTGAGAGAGGGAGGGGTCTGCTACCCTTGCAAAAATTAATTTATATATATATATATAAATATATATATTTGTGTGTCCAAACATGTTTTACATGTTTTTGTTTTTGACATATCTACAGCAAAGTATAGTTCCCAAACGTATTTTCGAATTTGTTCCAAAACACCCTACAACAAAAACATTGTTTCTGTTTTAGCCAAAAACAAAACACCAAAAACAAAACGCATACTAAACGGGCCCTAAAGTTTTACTTCATCTCTACAATTTTTACAATTCCAACTGCTTTATACCTTTTACAGTTTGCATTGCTAGAGAGCTCTTCAGTTGATGATGATCTTGCCAACTTAAAGAAAGAACTATCTGGCAGCACAAAGGTACTTCTTACTCGTCTTTCATTGTTTATGAATGATATGGTCTAGGAATCAGGATCCTCTCAATGTACTTTTTTCTCTCCTATGACACTATTTTTCAGAAGATAACACATCAGCTGATCCTTTTGTTAAACAATGGTATCTTGCTTCGAGGAAATTTAGGTAAACATTTATCACATGTAGAGTGTTCTGAAACATCTGATCGAGTATCAAAGAACACAGGAGAGGATCATGATTCTATGATCAAGAACACTAGTATAGAGTAAATAGTATGAATTTTAGCTTCACTAGTCTCTGTGTTCTGTTATATTTATATTATCCTGTTGAACGTTTATGCCACTTCTTCGGAGTGAAAGGGTCCTTTTGAACGCCATTACCTTTTGGTGAGCAGTAGAACATTTATCCTTGTCTCTTATTTTTTATTTATTTATTTTCCCTGGGAACACATTATAGTGTTACTTGTTTTCTTATTTATGTATTTAGAAGGAATATATTCAGAATTCCATATGCTATTAGCTTATACCAATAGCTTCCTAACCAAAAACCTTTAAACTTCATAAAGCTTCTATCGACAGGCTTTGTGACGTGTTTTCTTCGAGCTATGGTGAACATATTTTAGGGGGTTTATAAAATTGTTCTTTTCCTTTTTTAGTGTAAATTTGGTAGTGTTCTAACTTCTAACTATATAAGCAACTATGCTGGGATCTTACAACTTCTGCACTTTTTATATCTTTTTAACAAAGTGGAAAGGTATCGTTTAGGTTTCATTATGAGCAGTAGCTAAAGAAGAGAACAGAGAAATATACCTGTTTTTACAGTGGCGCGACATAAGCTGGGGTTTTGTGCAATGTTAAATTCGAGAACAGACATGGATTCGAGCAGACACTTTTTGTAAATAGAATGTGGAAGTTTAGTTTGTACTTAGATTACCCTACTAACACGAGAAATCCAATGGGACAAATACTGAGCAATGGTGTAATATCATATGTTGGCGAACTGCATGATGATGATCTCTCACAACTGAACTTAAGAAGAAAGGGGAGGGGAATCACTAGCTTGAATGGTATTTCCTGTTGCTCAACAGGTGCAAGGTTCAAGTGTAGTTGGAATATGGGTGTGCAGATATTGCCTAACAGGGAAAAAAATGAGGACAAAAACAAATAATGAAGTTATAGAAGTATTAATAAAGAAAGAAAAGCAGCATCATAACTCTTAACAAATTATATATGTGTGTGTGTGTGTATATATATATATATTGAAAATTCAAGCATATTTAACTACTTATAAATTCTATGATTACAATCATTTTTGTTTTTACTAGAACCTCCAATTTTGTTAGTTTATGGTTATGATGTCTGTGGCAATGAATATGTATGATGTACTTCCTTCTATTTTATTTTTTAATTTTTGGGCTAAACAGAAAGGAGATCTTCCTCCTGGGAGGACTGCTGTTGCGTCGTCATTTCCATTTCAAGACACCGAGATTGAGAAAGAGCTGAATGAATTAAGGAGAAAAGCAAAAGAATTCTAGAGTTCATGTTCTTCCAATTGTGTTCTTGAATCCTTATTTTGACCATTTTGACTCCAAGAAATTGATTTTCTTGTGCCAGAGAAGTCCATGCATAAAGAGGCATTGAAAATGGAATCCAAAGATGAAATAGACGTCGTTTAAGTCCAGAAACCAGCTGTTAATTATGTGTATGTGTTGATTGATTATGAATGATACGAGTAATCTCGTTATTTGATTATTGTACATTATAGATATATTCTCCGCCACTAGATGAGATTTCATGTTGATACAAGTTTAACCATGTTCTATAACAGCTTATGATCATATATTTTGTTGACATTCTCTTTAATGTCTCTCTTTTTGTCTGGGAGCTTCATTTACGTTCGGTCAAGCTATATATTATTTATAACAGGACATGCATAACTTTGTTAAATTCCTGATCATGCATGCTTACAGCAAGTCCCATACTGTTCTTGATCTTTTCATGGTTTTTCCTGGCACTTTTGATCTTTTCTCGTAGACATTGGAGATATGGAACCATTCACGATGAGAGCATTCTTGAAGAACTGTTTTTCTCTACTTTTTGTTAATGTTAATGTTATTTTAAATACCAAAAAGTACAAAAATAAAAAGGGAAATGAAGGACATTTGCAGGATACCGGAGGGATCTTTGCTTTAGGGATCATTGCTTGGTACAATGGTAGAAGTTCAAACTGACAAGCGTGAGGTCACAAGTTAAAGTCTATAGAGCACCCGCTTTCTGCAAATTAGTTTGGTATTGCCAGAAACCGGACACTTGTGGTGGTATTGCCAGAAACCGGACGCTCATGGTGTTTTTGGTCTGCGCAGGTCTCCATATGATTCAATTGGTCTAGAATCAATCAGTCAACCCCTTGTGGCAATGCACAAAATGGAATTATATCTAGGATGGAAGATGAAAACCAGAAAATTCTGCACCAGTTCACAGTAGGTATTTGACCTCTCTGCGCGCGCGCGCGCGCGCACACACACACACACAAAGTCCCAGAGGGAGTACCAGGTGATCTTGTCTAAAATATGTTAATGTTGTGTTTGAAGCCAGTTTCCAAACCAAATGAAAGTCTTACTCCCTTTCCTAATTCATTGTATGGCCAGAATGTATCCATTTAACAAGAGGAATATATCCATTTAGCTTATATGCATATATTCTAAGAGTCCATATATGTATAGTTTCACGTAAGGTTGGGTGCTTCGCGGTTACAACGCCCTCTTTGCAATCGGGCCACCTTACTTATACTCGGAGTGGGCAGACTAGGATGCCTCCGGACTGAGTTCTTTGTGTGACATTGGATTAAGAATTAAGTTTAGTTGATACCAACTATAACGAGTCGAGTGTTTCACGATTTGATCCAAAAACTTAGACTATTACAACTAGTCTAACTAACATTTAAAATGTATAAAATTTATTTTAAAACTAGTGGAGAAGTTTATTCTTAAATTAGTACTTTAGTATATCTTGTTAGTATTGGTTGGTCATTTTTTCCCTACCTTATTAATAGATTATTGAATCCATTTGACATTTCATTATTTTTTTTAAGAGAAAAGCCATAATAAGGTGCACCTCATTATAACACTTATGAACTCTTCATTTTTAAACTTTAATTAAATACAAATTTTGATAAAAGGATCGAAATGTTTGAACAAAAACAACATGAGAATTATAAAATCATAAGTTTCAATCAAACTTTAGGCTGCGTTTGTTTAAGCGTAAAATATTTTTTTTAGAAAAGATTTTCTTTTTCAAGTAAAATATTCTTTTATTTTTATTTATTTGTTACTTGGCAGAGATCTTGGTCGAGTCCATCGGACTGGATATGTAAAATAACTTGCTGAAGATTGATTGGTAAATTATATTTGTTAGATTTTAATATTTTTTTTTTCTTAAATATTTTACGACAACCAAACACCAGAAAATATAATAACATTTAAAAAAAAATATTTTACACACAAACAAACGGAACCTTAATGTTATTTCTTTTAACCATTTTTTTTTTATCAAAAAAAAGATTCTTTGAAAAGTCATTTTTATCAAATTCAACTGTCAACTTTAAGTAATACATGTAATTTTATTTTAACATAAACTAGGGGAAGTCGAATCTTGGGGACTTCATACGAGAGAACTGCTTAATTTTTTTTTTTTTTTTTTGTATTATTAAGAAACACAGACACCCACATTACGAAGACAATTGTCCATAAATAATTTCATACTCAAAATTTATTCATTTAAAAAAGATAAATGCTAAACATCACAAACAATATATCATGAAATTAAGTTGAATGAGGTGGCTAATGACCTGGCTGCCAACTTAATTAAAATTAAAGTTAAAAGTATTTTTGTCAATATATTTTTTTTCTTTTTCAATATATAATTTAATTTAATTTTAATTTTAATTTTTTATTTTTTGGTAAAGAATGAGTCTAAGGAACTCGAAAATGGATCGAAAAAGCAGCCCCGCAATAGGAAAACACCTAAACCGGTCGAAAAAAAGCCTTAACAATGGCATCTCAGGTAAATCATTGTGATCTTTGAATTTATAGTATTTATATATTTCGTATGTGTATAAATCTAGGATTATATTTACGTATTCAATTACATCATAAAAACTTGTATAACCATATATAATCCGAGTCATATGAGATTGTGAAAAACAACTGTAATCGTGGAAGCTGTGGCCGCAATTAAGAAATTGATTTAGTAAACAAAGACGATCAAAAAAGGATCAATAACGTGAAATAATTAGAGTTTTTGAGTTTCAAACGTTAATGTGTATTTTTTATTAATTAAGCACCATGTCAGCGCGCCTCATAGATTCAAGACATATTCTCCTAAATTTTTTGGACACATGTAGTAGTGCTCTTTTTATATTTATTTTCGTAATTTTCATTCTCTCACGCGCATATATATACTATTGAGTGGGCCCTCATTGACAGTGAAGTGAGAACCGTCACTCCTCTCCCAAATGGCTTCCACTCCTTTGCTCCGCCTCTCTCTCCACCACCCTCAAACCCTACCCCCAAAACCCTACCACCACCACCAGCATTCATCTAAAATCACCGCCCTGTTAGCTCACCCACTCACATCAACGGTCAAGATCCCTCAACCACCTCCACCCCGCCGCTGCCTTCCCCTACCTTCCCTCACCATTTCCGCCTCCTACACCTCCACTCCGGTCACCGACCGCCTGATCTCCGCCGCCGCCTACCTCCTCCCATTCTTCGAAGGCCTCCAGTACGGCAGCTTCCTCTTCGCTCGGTACCCAACCCTAGCCCTAGCCGTGAAGCCCTTCTTCCCTCTCCTCGGCCTCTACTGCTCCGTGCCCCACGCCAGGTACGTCGCCTTCTTCGGCCTCTTCCTCGGTGTGGTCAGGAACGCCGCGCTCAGCCGCTACGTCAGGTTCAATGCGATGCAGGCGCTGATTCTCGAGGTGCTCTTGACGCTGCTGTCGTTCCTCCTCCAGATCCTCGATCCGATTCCGGCTGGAATCGGGTCCAAGCTCATGGTGATGGGCTACAATGCGCTCTTTGTGTTCATGATTTTCTGTTTTGTCTACAGCTTGGTGTGTTCGGTTCTGGGTCGGACCCCCACTTGCCCTTTGTGGCCGATGCTGCTGCTGCACAGTTGTAGTCTCATGAAAGTGTTTGGGACTGACTGTAATTTTGCTTCCTTCCTTTGAGCTTGATGAAGTTAGGGTTGATCAATTACCTCAAATGGAAAGGGTTAATATATATTCGGATATATGAAGCTAGGGTATATATATATATATATATATATATATATATATAGATAGATAGATATATGGGGTTTATGAAGTTATGGTTTATATATATTTCGGGTTTATGAAGTTTGTGTTTATATATATTTTGGGGTTTATGGAGTTAGGTTTTATCAACTAAGGGTGTGAATTGTGAAACGAGCTTGGAGCAGTTGAGTATTAAAAATGGGAAGACCTTTACCTTTGTTAATTGGATTTCCGTTAAATTGAAAGGTTTCATTTCGCATTCAATTTTTATTTTATTTTATCGAGCTATTGTGAGGCAGTTTAATTATTATTATTATTACTTTATGGATCATATTTTAAGTCCTCACAAACATATACATCGCTGATAGATCAATAATAAATTAACATGTGATCTTTAATTATTAAATCAAATATGGTGAATAGATCACCATATTTGATTTGGTAATTAAAATAAGACGTGTCAATTTATTATTGGTCCACGTCAACAGTGAATAATAATAGATTGACATGTGATTTTTAATTACCAAATCAAATATGGTTAATAGATATTGACGATAATAAATTGGCATGATTTTTAATTATCAAATCAAATATATTTACTTATCCAATCAGAGATAGTGATATGGTGAGGAGATATTCACTTCTCTGATTTGGTAATTAAAATGAGACGTGTCAATTTATTATTAGTCCACGTCAATCTTAAATATATGGTAAATCTTTACTCGTGAAGACTTAAATATTATCCTAATTTTATAATTAAAAAAGTGAAAGTTTACGAGAAACACACATCTCACTAGCATTTTTTTTTTTTAAAAAAAGTTGACCTATTTATAAAATTGTTGATAAATGTGATTGGGTGGGTTAATTTATTGACTACTATTTTTTTAAAAAATACATGAATATTTGTGTAAATCAGGTGAATTGGGTGATTTATGGAGGCGGTAATTGACAAATCCGGGGTGGGTTTGAGCCCGTCCAAATATATATATATATATATATATATATATATATATATATATATATATTATTAGCCACCCAAAAAAAATATTAACACATTTCATTGACAATTTTTAGATTCGTCATTAATAACAGTACGAAACCATTAAAAATGAATTACTATCAATCTATAATACGTTGCAGTTTTTATTGAGATTTGAACCCCTGACCCCCTTAATATATATTATATATGATATAATGTAAACTACCCATTATTGATATGATGTAGTGTAGACTACCCTTTATTGGTAGAGTTATTGAATACAGAGTATCAAAAATGGAGAAACTATAGTAATAGGGTTATATCATTTTAATTTATTTTTAATTTTTATACTAAGAGTTATAATAACTTTTTAAATTTTATCTTATTACTTTGTCATAATAGTCTAAGTATTTAAAATAATAAAAATTTATTTTTATTTATAAGCACGTATATCAAGTGTCTAATACATGTTCAAAAAGTGATTGATACAGATAAAGACTTTTTGTTAGAACTATTTTAGAATTAATGGTTTTGTTGTGTTAAATTTTAGAAATGACTTAATAAAAAACAATTCATGATGTGTTTCATTAGCTCAATATCAAAATAAAAATAAAAATAAAAATACTTCATTGCCTATTTTCAAGATTCCCTTCAGTGCACGAGACATTTACATTGAAAATGCAATGTGTATGCACTTATTTAACAAACCTCCTCTGTCATATATTAATTGTCCAAGTTCAGCTCACAATTTTTTACGGCGATAATATATTATTAATACTATGTTAGATTATTAAATTTATAAATAAAAAATAAAATAAATATTTACATCCTTATAAACAAGTACTTAATCCGATACTATCCAGATCTCAATATTATTCATCACCTCCCCAAATGGCATCTACTCCTCTGCTCCACCTCTCTCTCCACCGCCCACAAATCCTAACCACAAAATCCTACCACCGCCCTTCATCTAAAATCACCGCCCTGTTACGTCACCCTCTCAGATCAACGGTCAAGATCCCTCAACCACCTCCACCCCACTGCCGTCCCCGACCTTCCCTCACCATATCCGCCTCCTACACCCCCACTCCGGTCACCGACCGCCTGATTTCCGCCGCCGCCTACTTCCTCCCCTTCTTGAACGGCCTCCAGTACGGCCGCTTCCTCTTCGCCCAGTACCCAACCCTAGCCCTAGCCTTGGAGCCCATCCTCCCTCTCCTCCGCCTCTACAGCTCCATGCCCTACGCCAGCTTCGTCGCCTTCTTTGGCCTCTACCTCGGCGTAGTCAGGAACGCCGCGCTCAGCCGCTACGTGAGGTTCAATGCGATGCAGGCGGTGGTGCTCGACGTGCTCTTGGTGCTGCCGATGTTGCTTCTCAAGATCTTCAGCCCGGGTCGGACCGGAATCGGGTTCAAGCTGATGGTGATGGGTCATAATGCGGTTTTTGTGTTTATAGTGTTCTGTTTTGTTTATAGTTTGGTGTGTTCAGTTCTGGGTCGGACCCCCCACCTGCCCTTTGTGGCTGATGCAGCTGGTAGACAATTGTGATGCGATCAATTTTGCCTTTAATTGAAAGAGTTTTTATGTTTGGCACTGTAATATTGGCTTTTCCTTTTTCTTTGTTTGAGCTTTATGAAGTTAGGGTTTGTGTATATATATTTAGACGTTGAAGGATTTATTTATTTATTTTTTTAATTTTTTAGGCAAACATATTTACTATGTTTTTGAGAAAATTATACCGGTATTATTAGGATCTCAATATTATTCAGCAACAATATTTCATTTATGTTGTTTGACTTGACTTTCATGGAATAAATAAATAAAAACTTATATATATAAATAAAATGACATTTTGCTATTAGATGCATTTTAGGATATTAATATACTACCAAAAACCCTTCCTATTTATATAGTCCGGCAAATATATTTATATAAAAAGTCTAAAATCTTTCAAGTCTATGTACAAGTCTTCATATTCTTTAAACATTCTAGAGCTCAATTATAAGATTCTTTTAACATTCCAGAGCGCAATTATAAATTTATACTGTCACAATTTAAAAGTTCCTTTCAACATTTGCATGTTGTCTACGTGACTCAACCTTTTAAGCGGGCCATCTTAGGGAATGATATATGTCTCTCTCAAATTTTGTTTGGTTAGTCATAATGGATAGTAGAAAAGATGGATGGGGCCATCTTAGGGAATGATATATGTCTCCCTCAAATTTTGTTTGGTTAGTCAGAATGGATGGTAGAAAAGATGGATGGGGTGATACATTATTTTTGTTTGATTGGAAGGAAGAAAAAGATGGGTTTTATATTCTTTTTACCAATATACCTTCATTATTTAAAATTTTAAAAATTCTATATTTATTCCAAGAAGTTTATAAGAAGGTTAGAAATGGAACATACATATTTTTATTAATGGTTACTTCTTTCTTTCCCCTCTTCCTCCCAATTTTGTGCAGATAGAAAAATATAAAGAATTGAGGGTCCCTCTTTTCCCTTCCCTCCAACCAAACACGAAAAAGTTATTTCATCCACTCTCTTATCCTTCCCTCCTCAATCCCTCCAAACAAACATAGCATTAGGCTAGGCCTATAGTCGAGGCAACATCTAGCTTCTCATCCACCAAGCCAAAGGTCCAAAACCCTACCACCACCACCAGCATCCATCTAAAATCACCGCCCTGTTAGCTCACCCACTCACATCAACGGTCAAGATCCCTCAACCACCTCCACCCCGCCGCTGCCTTCCCCTACCTTCCCTCACCATTTCCGCCTCCTACACCTCCACTTCGGTCACCGACCGCCTGATCTCCGCCGCCGCCTACCTCCTCCCATTCTTCGAAGGCCTCCAGTACGACAGCATTGTTTGGTTGGAAGGAAGGAAAAGATGGTTTTTATATTCTTTTTACCAATATACCTTCATTATTTAAAATTTTAAAAATTCTATATTTATTCCAAGTTTATAAGAAGGTTAGAAATGGAACATACATATTTTTATTAATGGTTACTTCTTTCTCTTTCCTCTTCCTCCCAATTTTGTGCAGATAGAAAAATATAAAGAATTGAGGGATGAAACATCCTTTCTCCCTCTTTTCCCTTCCCTCCAACCAAACACGAAAAAGTTATTTCATCCACTCTCTCATCCTTCCCTCCTCAATCCCTCCAAACAAACATAGCATTAGGCTAGGCCTATAGTTGAGGCAACATCTAGCTTCTCATCCACCAATCCAAAGGTCCTTTGAGGGCCCAGCGTAGAGGCACTAAGCCCCCGAGGCTATCCTACCATGGTCTCGGGGTGGTGCTACACTCATTTTCCTTGGGCCTGTTGCTTGCGTGCTCATGCCCTGTCCAAGAGCTCGATCCCCTGCTCGAGGGCAGTTTTGCTGTAGCACAATTGAGCTCGCGACTTTTCTTTAACTTTTAACCCTAACGTGGTAGTGCTTCACGTTTGTGGCACGTGAGTCATTTGGTTTATTCAAAGCCTTTCTGTTGCTTATTTTGAGTTACAATATGTTATCATTAATCAAATAAGATTTAGATAAGGTTTGGTTTCAAGCTACAAGCTACTATTTTTTATCAAATCTAACCATTAATTTTTTTTTTTTTTTTTATGTTCTTTAATTTATTTAAAATCAAAATTCTTGACTTTTCATCAAGAACCTTTAGATTATACAATTTCTTGCTAGTTATCGAATTTTTGTACACCCCTAATTTGAAGATAGGGAAGTTATATCATTGGACTAACAGGTTTAATAATGAATGTTGTTTTTTAAAATGGTAGTGCGAGGTGCTATTCTTTTCAATTGAAACTACCATTTTCAAAACAACATTCATTTTTAAACCTGTTAGTCCAATGGTATAACTTTCCTATCTTCAAATTAGGCGTATACAAAAATTCGGTCAAACCGAAAATCCAAACCGAATCAGACCGGACTGAACAATTTGGTTTGGTTTGTGAATGGTTTGGTTCGGTCACGGTTCTAAATTTGTGAAACCGTAAAGATATGGTTGGGTCACTATTTGAAATCCTTTAGGACCGAACTAGACCGAACCGAACCATTAAGTTATATATATATATATATATATATATATATATATATATATATATATATATAGTATAATACAATCTTACAATCCAAATCATTTAAAAATTTGTAGCAACTATCAATCCTACAGTCTACTCTTAATTCTCTTAAGTTTTATAATTTTTTTTCCCAAAAATTTAAGTTTTATAAATTTATTAGATGATTCTTATTATTATTATTTTTTATGGCTGAATTTTGAATTGTGATTGAATGTTTGTTATTGAATTAGTAATTCTAAATATATCAGGTTATTATCAATTTTGAACCTACTTCAAATAGAAGGGGAAGGGTACGAGTGTCGTTGTGGGTAAAAAAAAAAAACAACAAAGCGTGGGGGGAGTGGTAGAGTGTGTGTTACTTGCCATGAAAAAGAGGAAAAAGAATAAACCGGTTAGTTTAGTACTTTGGTTTATTCATCCATGGTAATGTTAAAATAATATGCACGACAGTAGTGGTAGTGAAAAGTAATAGTGGTGCATACATGTTGTTGGCAACGGTGGTTATGGTAGTGGTTGCAGTATAGCAGAGGTGGAGTGGTGGTTGCAGTTAATTAGATTAACTAAAATTGATTTTTTTTTTTCTTTTCAAAAACTATCCATTATAGTCATTTTATATCAATTATAATTAATAGGTAATTAAAATAAATGATAATTTCTTAAAAACAACATTATTTGATCGATTCCTAATGCTACAACTAAAAGTGTCCTACTGTAACAAGGGTCATTTTGTCCCATATCGGAATCGGATGGAAAAGAGATTGGATATGAATGGCTGGGTATGCAGCCTTACCTAACAGTTCGAGCTTTTGGTTAAATGGGCAAGCGCCCACCCGTTACAGTTGGTATCAGAGTCAAACCCAATCCTTGATTCGGTGCCACGCCAAGCGCCCGGCCCGGAAGGCGTCCGGGTGAGTCCACCAGGGTAGGCAGGGTGGCCCAACCGCAACGACGAGGGCGTCGCGAGTTTGGGTGGGGGAGAATGTAACAAGGGTCATTTTGTCCCACATCGGAATCGGATGGGAAAGAGATTGGGTATAAATGGCAACAGTTCGAACTTTTGGGTAAATGAACAAGCGCCCACCCGTTACACCTACTCATGGAGCAATGGTTTTGAATGTATAATTTTTTGGATGTTGTCTTGCATCCTTGAAAGAAAGTGTTGAAACTTGAATTGAGTCTCTAGGAAGTTTTATTTTTTCCATCTAATGCTTTTGAATGCATAGTTTTATGGATGTTGTATCCCATGGATGACACTCTAGGTTGGATTTAATTTTTCTTGTATGAATTTCGTTCATGGTGGCATTTGTAAAGGACACTCGATTTGAAAATTCCCGCGAATGAGCAAATCATTTGGTTTTCCTGTTGGCATTTTTTTAATGTAAAATTATTTGTAAGCTTTGGAGGCCTAAGAGACGAATTGGAGAGTAGCAACAACAACGACGACACATTGAAAGCAACGAAGGGAATTCATATCTTTGTAGTTTGACTTAGAGATCAGGCTAGAGGGCGTTACTTGGAGGAAAAAACAACCATTATTTAGATGTTTTTAGTTTGGATGGGTGGGATTACTATTTCATGTTTAATGAATTTTTATTTTTAATTGTTCATGTCATTTTGATACATATAGATCTGGTATTCCCATCTTGATCCATTCAAAAATAATATTTACAAATTTTTTTATTGAATTATAGTTTGATTCTTTTTAAAAAAGTACTTATAAGTATTAAAAAAAATACTTTTGGTAATAAAAAAATACTTTAGGTAATTAATTCAAGAGAAAAATAAAAGGGAAAATTACATATAAATGGAGTTAAAGTTCCATATTTACTTAGAGGCTGAGTCAAAATTCCATATTTCTTTAAAATGGATTGCTGAGGTGGCACATGGTTTTTTACTGTTTAGAAATTGTGATGCCTAAAATACCCTTTCGCGAAGGTACTACTTTTTCTTCGAAGGTACTACTTTTTTGAACTGAAGATACTACTTTTTGGCGTCCAGGTACCATATTTTTTAAACACTCGCGAATGTACTACTTTTTCTCCGAAGGTACTACTTTTTTGAACTGAATGTACTACTTTTTTGAACTGAAGGTACTACTTTTTTATTAGAGAAGGGCATTTTAGGCACCACAATTTTTTAAACAGTAAAAAATCATGTGCCACCTCAGCAATCCATTTTAGAGAAATATGGAACTTTGACTCAGTCTCTAAGTAAATATGAAATTTTGACTCCATTTATATGTAATTTTCCCAAAATAAAAAGTAACAACGCTAATATAACCACTAAATTGGTTTAAGCAAGTGTAAAAATTTGGTTATATGCAGCCCAAAAAAGGGTTCAATCACATATGGAATTACAAGACTATGCTGCCCTAGTTTATAGTTTATGCATCTGTAGCAGATAAATTTATAAATATAAATAACTGTCTTGGCTTGTTTTTTCTGGGTTTTGTTGGTGTGATGAGTAATTGACGATGGACCGGTATGACAACTTTTTGGCATTAGATGCATTTTAGGAGATTAATATACTACCATCAACCCCACCTATTTATATACTCCATAGTGATTTTTTAAGGCAAATATATTTATATAAAAAGTCCCTGATGATCTAAAAGTCTCTTCAGCTTGTAAAATTATAATCTTCTAAAATCTTTCAAGTCTCTGTACAAGACTCCATATTCTTTCAAACATTCTAGAGCTCAATTATAAATTTATACTGTTAAAATATAAAAGTTTCCATTAGCATTTGCATGTCGCTTACGGGACTCAACTTTTAGGGCATTTTGGAAGTTGAGATTTTGACTATTTAGATTCTAAAATGAATTTTTTGTTACCTACCTTAAAAATTTATTTTTTATTATTTGAAATGAATATAATTATAACAAAATTGTATAAAAATAAACTCTAAAAAAAAAAAAATATTGAATAATCGGAGATACCTAATATTTAGTACTCCCAATTATTATATATTCATTATTTTTGTTGATAATTGGAAATAATTTATTATTATTATTATTAAAAAACGAATGTATTGAACCAACTCCTCCACATTTGTTTTAGAATAATATGATACCCCACTATGTCATATGCTCTTTAAATGTAATGTTCTTAGATCATAAAAATATTTTGATTTTATGGATTTGGCGCGTTTACCTATAAGAAAAAGTTACCAATAGTAGTTGTTTTTTTCTTTTTTTTTTTAAACTTAGGGTACCATCTAATTTGGTACAATCTAATTACGAGTTAAGCTATAAGTAAATTGATCACAGCGGTGTCTAAGAAACTTAAACCAAAATTAGATCGTTAAAACTGTATAATCATAACTAAATAATTGAAAGAATCAAACTGAATCCAACCATAAAAACTAGGTCGGTCTGATTCTATTTACGGTTCTATACATTAGTAATGAACATGTGCCACCATCATAAATATGTGAGTGCTACTTGCTCAATTATATGATTTCAGTCTATTTCACTTCTTGTACATGTATTTTTTTCTTGAAGCATGATTTTCCAACTACTACAAAAAGCATTGGTGTTGAAAAAAGCAGCGACTCTGGCTCTGACATTCATCAAGTGGTTTTTTGCGGAAATTGAATTATACTTGTGGCTTTCAATTGTGGGATTAGTTGCGATAATGATTGTTATTGCGGTATCAATCTCTTAAAAAATAATTACGAATCGGACAATAAGTATGTATCGGCGATACAACTAACTATAATTATAACTTTGATTCTAACATATTCATTTCTCATTTTAAAAAAATTATATTTATATTTATATATTTGGTAAAAGGTTTTACCCGATTCAATTGAAAAAATATATTTATATTTAGTTAATAATTCAGATCTATCATATTCGATTTAATGTACTCCAAATTAGTATCAAAATAGACCTTAACAATATCACGTGATTTCCGTTCGGTCTAGTCAATCAATTTTAAAGATGTTGTATATCCTAAATTGCTCCTAAATTAAACTCCAATTTATTCCGAACACATTTCATTTAAAATAATATTATTATTTTGTTGGCAAGGAAATGGGGAAAAAATAAATTGAAGGGTTTACTCACAGATTTATTTGTGAGAAATTGGCGGGATCTCTCTCTTCTGCTTTTGCCACTTCCAAATTCTAAATATGTGATCTCATAATACTATCATTTTCGTTTTTCAGAGTTCAGGCACACGCACACATACACACACAGATATATATACACACACATATCTCTATATATTTGTTAGGGTTTTCTGTTCAATGGATTCGACTTCTTCGTGCCCTTCAACTCCTCGATGGAACGTTGAAAGACCCTTCCTAACTGGTCGATTTCTCCAGGTTCTAATCTTGCCTCAGTTTCTCATTTCTCTCTCTCTCACTCACTCACTTTCTCTCTCTCTACACCCACCCATACATTTATCTGGATATAATTGAGTTCTGCTTAATTTTACATGGAAATAAAGAATAAATAAAAATTAGATCTTGAATCAGTGGTGCTTAGTTCTTTGGTTGATTATGTGTAGTATTGGAAAGAGGTTTTCATTGTTTTCTGGTTTGTTGCTCCGCAATTTTGAATAATTGGAAAATGCTAAGTTTTTCTGATAAGAGTAATGTGGTAAAATTCATTCAGGAAACGAAGTCTACTTCTCGAACAGCTGAATCAAAGGGTTTTTCTATGGATTCGTTTGGGTGCGTACCAATTCGACTTGTTTTGTTTTGTATTAGTGTTAATTACATGAATTCGGATAATGTTATAGCTGTTTTTTATTTTTTCCCTTTCCTTTTCAATTGATTGAGATTATCATGCTTTTAATTTTAATAATAAGAACAATAAATTACATTGTGATCATAGTTATTGATTTTGTATATGCTTGCTTCAATTACGTGTTAAACAGTCCTGGATTGGAGAAGGCCATAGGTTGCTACCATGCTTCAGTTCAGGTATGATTTACAGGTATCCATGAATAAACAAAATTATGCAAACTTTTATTTTTTATTTTTTATTTGGGGAAAATGTAAAACATTCCTTTGAACTTTTCACATTTTCAAATAACCCCATGGACAATCAATTTGCCAAATAACCTCTATGCTTTTGTAAGACCCTGCAAATCGTCCCATAATGTTTTCTGTCCGTTAGAAAATGGACAGGTAAAGGTCACGTGCACCTCACATTTCATACTATTGTTATATTATGACCGGTATGTCCTTTTTTCTTTCTTTTTTTTTTTTTCCTCTCTAACCGAAGTACCTTTGGTCAAAAATATATGGGGGGATATATTTTTAGGACTTGAATAGGAAAAACAGGTCGTTTATGTAAATTTACAACCGTTAGTAAACTGATAAATTTATTTGTCAGGGGCAAGATGCATGGTTCAAGTTTTATTTGAGATGGGTGTGTGTGTTTTATTTGTTGAGAGAAAGAGAAGAAGAAGAGAGAAACAGAAACAATCCTTCTTTAAGCATTATTGGATATAAAAGTTAGAGTTAACATTAGCTTTAAATCCTTAATGCATTGTGTTTTTTGAACCGTGGTTGAACTTTAAAGTAATTACCTGTTTTGTAATCTGGTTCTAACTAAGAGCCTATGACGTTACTGTGTTCATTTGATATGTAGGAACTGATTGTTATCGATGATCTGTTGTCTGCTTTGGTTGGAATTGAAGGACGGTACATTTCAATCAAGAGAGTACGAGGGAAGGAGGACAACATTACCTTCCAGATTGATGCATCTATGGACTTAGCAATTCAGGTAAATCTTTAAAATGTTTGTATAAAGAGTAGCTATTTGATGTATGTATATATATATATATATATATTGGTTGTTATTGTTGTACTTTAGTATGTTTCTAGATGATTGGCTTGAGGCTTTCATAAGGCCTCATTAAGTGTTAGTTTTAAGTTTTTTGGATCATGACATATCATTGCAGGAATCAGCGAAACGGATATTCCCTTTATGTGAGAGCTATGTGTTGATTAATCAGTTTGTGGAGTCAAGGTCCCAATTCAAGACTGGCCTGGTTAATCATTCCTTTTCTGCTGCACTAAGAGCACTCCTTCTAGTAGGTTTTTTTTGGTCTTGTAAGTCGGTTGTTAAACTTTTGCTGCATTCTAGTCAACACTTTCTTTTACCTGTAATTAGAATGTCATTTCCAATTATCTGTTTGCGTATTGTTCATCACCTAGGTCATTTATTTTGTGGAAATTGAAATTTTAGCTGACTTTAATGCTACTTGCTTTACTGTTTCTACAAAAGCTTAATGAAAAGAAGACGGATGATAAAACAATGATTTATTTTTTATAATTCAAATGTAATATCATCATTGACTTATTTTGTCAGGAACTCAATCCAATACCTGTACTATGAGTTTCAATATTATTCATTGTTTTTAGACGATTGAGATCCAATATTGCAATCATCCAGCATGGTTTCATTATGTGCTGCCAAGACCAATCTTTCTCTCTCTCTCTCTCTCTCTCTATATATATATATATATATATATATATATATATATATATCGGTGATTTAATTCTAATTTTTAAAAGACATGGGTTCATTTGAGGTACTGATTGACAAGGAATGTTTGTGGTACTTTTTCTCCTTTTCTGTTTTCAAATTCAAATTTACATGGACAAGCAAAGTTGGAAGAAGTGGTAGTAGAAGCTAAAGTAGGAAGGTATTAAGTTGGCTTGTTAAATACATAAGATTTTGCACCTCCTCCGTGGCAAGATTAACTGCATCAGCACTGCTAGGGTGAGATAAAGCCTCTATTCTCTCAAACATATGAGCATGTGAATCCCCAGAAAAGGTTGATCAGATGGAGACAGATTGTGGTTAATTGGTGCTATATGTGCAAGAATGATGTGGAAACGGTTGATCACCTTCTTTTGCATTGCCCAGTGGCGTAGGATTGCTGGATTTTGATGCTGGGTTTGTTTGGGTATCAGTAGGTTATGCCCAGGTCCTCCAGATGTTTGATTGAGGCTTGGAAAGGTTGTACAGTGGGGTTTCAAGTCCGTGATTTCTGGAGGGTTTGACCTTCATGCGTTTGGTGGTGTATATGACTAGAGAGAAATAGGAGATCTTTCGAAGGAAAGGAAAATCCTATTGGGGCTTTGAAGTTGTTCATTATTAGCACCCTATTTTATTGGGTTCTAGGGGGAAATTGTAAATCCATAGAGGTGTGTTGATCTTTTGGGTTATTTGAGGGTTTAGAGGCACTTTTTGGTCTTTTGTAGCTTTTGAGGGATGCATTCCCCTTTTGAACACTCTTTAATACATTTTTTACTTATTAAAAAAAAAAGAAGTGAATCTGCAGAACTAGATGGTCCACAACCTTCAGTGGAACAACCATGAAGCTTACAACAATGCTCTTTGGTGTGTCTTGTCTTCTCATAGAATATTGACTTTTGTTTGTCCTCTTTAGAACTATCACTTTCTTCTCATAGAATATTGACTTTTGTTTGTCCTCCTTAGAACTATCACCTTTATTGTTGCGGTGATTTCTTCCCAGTCTAGTTTATTTTTGAAGTGTATTGACTAATGCGAATCAATTATGGTTTAATGTATGAAGCATACCGCCATTACTTATAATCTAGTATGCTTTTGAAGTTTATTGACCAACGTGAATCAATTGTGGGTTAATGTATGCAGCATACCACTTCTACTTGTAACATATGTATAAGCCTGTTTCAAGGAAGAAAGGAATCTTTGTCAAATACCTGAACACGAATTTGCTCATACAACATTCTAAGCCAGTTAAAAAAATCATACAATTGTTCCTTTTATATCAACTTCTGAAATTTGACACTGTTACTTGCACAATCTGCCTGAAATCTTGATCATATTCTAACTCCTGTAAGATTGTTAAGCTTGGCACAATTCTTATGAATAGTACACCCCTTTGGCTAGTCTCATGAACTTTATTTATTGTTGGAAATCTTATTTATAAGTTGACTCAACGATTATGGCAGATTTATTAGGTCTTCAATATAGGCTAATTTTTAGGGATTTTATTTTTATTCTGATTTGATTTGATTTGATTTTATTCTCTTTATTTTGATTTGATTTTATTCTCTTTTCCATATTTGTAATTTTCCGCTTGTATATAATGATAGTCAGGCTCTCAAATTGAGTACGCCAATTTTACCAAGTTACTTTTTGGTATCAGAGCCTCAAACCTACGCCTCCCCCATCTCTCTCTTTTTCACCGCCTCTTTTAATATCTCTCTCTATCTCGTTACAGCCCCTTCCCTATTTTTTTTTTTTCACAGACCTTCTCTCTTTTTCAGGTCGTTGTTGCGACAGTCCTAGGGGGAGTCAATCTCCTCTAGGTTCGACCTTTGTAGGGGTATTCCCTTAGTCTTTTTCATGCACTAAGGGTCAGAAGACGTGTTTGTAATTTTTTGGCGCTGCCGGGATATTCGGCAGCATTTTTGGATCAGACCGCCGTGTCTCCGGCTTCTTGGTTTGATCAAAATTAGGTCTATTCCTCATTTATTTGAAATTATTGGTAATCTGTTGAATTGATGTATTTAATATTATGGCTGAATCAAGTAATAATAAAGAAACTCTCTTTTCGGCGCAACACACACCGGCTCAACGAGTTACTAGTGTGCTGTTGAATGGCCGTAATTTTGCATCCTGGGCTCGTTCCCTTCGCCTCTATGCTGGTGGAAAAGGCAAATCAAGGTGGATTTTGGGTACTGAAAATAGGCCAGATGTTAAAGATCCTAAATATGCTCAGTGGGACATGGACAATTGCACCATTTTAGGATGGATGGTTAATTCTATGGAGGAACGGATTTATAATATATTCATGTTTTATGACTTTGTTAATGACTTGTGGACTGCTTTGAATCAAATGTATGCTCATTCTAGGAACGATGCTCGTATTTTTGAATTATATCAAGATATTGCTAAGGCCTCGCAGGAAGGCCTGAATTTGTCTGTAACTGATTATTTTGGATATTTGAGATCTCGTTGGGAGGAACTAGCTCAATATGAGCCTTTCAGTGAATTTCCTTCTGAGGCAGCCTCTCTTCTTGTCAAACGTCTTGATCGTCAGCATACCTATCAGTTTTTGATGGGATTACGCCCAGAATTTGAACCACTAAAGTCTTAGATCTTGAATGCATCACCAATGCCATCCCTGTTGGAAGCCTTTGCTACTGTTGATGGTGAAGCACGCAGACACCGTTTAATTCAGCCCTCAATTGTTCCTGTACCAGTGTCTGAGCCTGCTGGGGATAGTATGGCTTTTGCAGCCAAATTTGGATCACGAGCTTCTGGAGGTCAGATTATTTGTCACCATTGTGGAGGGGTTGGACATGTTAAGGCTCGTTGCTTCAAATTTCATCCTGAACTGAAGCAAAAATTTTCTAAGAACTGTTTATCTGGAACTGGTTCTTCTCGTACTGCGGCTGTTGCAGAAACTCCTGTTTCTACTGGTGGATCTACTGTATTTCCTGGACTGAGCCAGCTTCAGTCTCAGATTGGGCATATCCAAGACCAGCTTGGCTCCCTTGCTTCTAGAGTTAGTGCTCCTTCAACTACTCCCACTGCAACTATTGCTACAGGTACTCCTACTGCATTTCATGTTAAGGCCAAGCAGCCTACTTGGGTTCGGATTCTGGGGCCAATGATCACATGACTGGTGAGTTATCAGTTTTTCTTCTAATGTCATACCTGTTACCCAATCTGTGTATCTTGCGGATGGCTCTACATCTTACATTCACAGTAAGGGTGATGTTTGTCTGTCTCCTGATATTACTCTTTCATCTGTCCTTCATGTACCTAAATTTGCCTTTAACCTTTTATCTGTTAGCCGGCTTGCAAAAAACCTCCAATGTGCAGTTATATTCTTACCAGATCACTGTTTGTTGCAGGACCTTTGTTCGAAGAGGATTTTTGGCAGGGGTTATGAGTGTGATGGGCTTTACTACTTTGGGGAACCACCAGGAATGAGTCTTCAAGCTTCTGTCCTACCTATTTCTAGTGTTTATGATGTTTCTTTTCGCACTTTTAGTCTGTGGCATGCACGTTTGGGGCATGTAAACTTTCAATATCTATGTCTATTGTTTCCTTCGTTAAATAAAGCATGTAAGGACCATAAGTTTCAATGTGAAGTTTGTGAGCTTTCTAAACATACTAGAACTAGCTATATTTCTCATATTAGTCGTGCTCCTAGTATGTTTGATCTTATTCATTCTGATGTCTGGGGCCCTTCCCCAGTTACTGCTTTCTCTGGACATCGATATTATGTGACATTTATTGATGATTATTCTCGTTGTACTTGGGTTTATTTATTGAAAAAGAAATCTGATGTGTTTCTTTTATTTACCCAGTTTCTTCAAATGATCAAAACCCAGTATAACACTGTTGTCCGTAATATTCGTTCTGATAATGGACGAGAATATGTTTCGAATGAGTTCCGGTCTGAACTTAATAAAAAGGGGATTTTACATCAACTCACTTGCCCCTATACTCCTGAGCAAAATGGCATGGCTGAACGCAAAAACCGTCATCTTATGTCTGTGGTCCGATGTCTTCTGAGTGGTATGCATGTGCCTAAATTCTATTGGCACATGGCTGTTCTTACAGCTGCTTTTCTGATTAATCGTACTCCCAGTCGAGTTTTGGGTGGTAAGGCACCACTTCAGATTCTCCAGCCTGATTATACATTGTTTCACCTTCTGCCTCGTGTTTTTGGCTGTACTTGTTTTGTTCATAACCGTAGTCCTTCTCATCATAAACTTGATGATAAATCTATTAGGTGTATTTTCTTGGGGTATTCTGCTATGTCAAAGGGCTATCGTTGTTATGATCCTGTGACCAAACATATGTATCATTCTCTTGATGTGACATTTCATGAAACTGTTCTTTTTTATAGTACTAATTCTGTGGTACAGTATTCTCTCTCTTGTGATCTGGAGAAGGAGATTTCTCCTATTACCCGTCCTGTTCCTCTCTTTGAAAATCACACTATCCTGGAATCTCCTTCTCCATCCATGCAGGGTTCCCCTCCACCTTTGCAGGTCTACTCTCGTCGCCATCGCACTCAACCTCCCCTGCCAGAATCATCTTCCGAACCAGGTCCAAGTAACTCTCCTTCTACTATTGCTCCTACAATTCCTGAGCGTACCTCCCGTTATCCTACCCGTGATCGTCATCCTCCTAATTGGTATGGTTTTTCTAGTAGCACTAACCACCCTATTTCTATGATGGTCTTTCAGGTGCATATAAATCCTTCCTGGGCAAGATTGGGACCGTTTCTATTCCTCGATCTGTGTCAGAAGCCCTCCAGGATCCCAATTGGGTGTCTGCCATGACAACAGAAATGGATGCTTTACACCATAATAATACATGGGAACTTGTTGCTTTACCTTCTGGGGAGAAAACGGTTGGCTGCAAGTGGGTCTTTAATGTGAAGTACTTAGCCGATGGTTCTATTGATCGGTATAAGGCTCGGTTGGTGGCAAAAGGCTTTACTCAGATTCCGAGCAAAGACTTTAGTGCTACCTTTGCTCCAGTGGCTAAGTTGACGTCTGTGCGACTGCTTGTCTCCTTGTCTGCTGCCCATTCTTGGCCTCTGCATCAGTTAGATGTCAAGAATGCATTTCTTAATGGAGACTTACTTGAGACTATATATATGGATCCACCCCCTGGATTTCGGGCTGAGGGGGAGTATGCTGGGAAAGTCTGTAGGCTACGGAAGTCTCTTTATGGTCTGAAGCAATCTCCTAGAGCTTGGTTTAGTCGTTTCAGAAATGTTGTTTTATCCTTGGGCTTTGTGTGCTGCCACTCAGACCATACTTGTTTTATTCGACGTTGCTCTGATGGTCGTTGCATTATGTTATTGGTATATGTGGATGATATCATTATCACAGGTGATGATGTTTCAGGGATTGCTCAGGCGAAACTTCATCTTCAAAAGTCCTTTGATGTGAAGGACTTAGGTCCTCTTCGATATTTTCTTAGAATTGAGGTTTTGCTAGATCCCGTCGTGGAATTTCTTTATCTCAAAGAAAATATGTTTTGGATCTTCTTCAAGATACTGGCATGCTTGGGTGTCGACCCGCTTCCACTCCTATGGACCCCAATCTTAAACTCTCTGTTGAGTCGGGGGAATTACTTCCAGATCCATCCGTGTATCAACGTTTAGTAGGTCGTCTTATCTACTTGACTAACACAAGGCCCGATTTGACATTTGCTATCAGTGTGATTAGTCAATTCATGCATGCCCCTCGCTCAGCTCATATGGATGCAGTCTACCATATTTTGAGGTACCTTAAGTCGTGCCCTGGTCTTGGTCTGTTCTATGCCTCAGGAAATCAGTCTGGACTCTCATGCTTTACTGATGCATACTATGCTGGATGTAAGACAGATAGACGTTCTACCTTTGGCTTCTGTACTTTCTATGGTAATCATCTCATATCATGGAAGAGTAAGAAGCAGGCTGTTGTTTCTAGATCCTCTGCTGAAGCTGAATACCGAGCTATAGCTCAAGGTACTTGTGAGCTCCTTTGGCTTCAATCAATTTTGGGAGAGTTGGGTCTTGTACAGAAAGGTTCTTTAAGGCTGTTTTGTGACAATAAATCAGCCATTATGCTTGCTTCTGATTCTGTTTTACATGAAAGGTCGAAACATATTGAGGTAGACATTCACTTTATTCGAGAGAAGGTTCGATCGGGTATCATTAATCCTATTTTTATTCCTTCTTCAGAACAGACTGCAGATGTGTTCACAAAGTCTGTTGGGCCTTCTCTTCTCTAGTCTTCCATCGTCAAGCTGGGCTTAGTCAACATATTTGCTCCAGCTTGAGGGGGAGTGTTGGAAATCTTATCTATAAGTTGACTCAACGATTATGGCAGATTTATTGGGTCTTCAATATAGGCTAATTTTTAGGGATTTTATTTTTATTTTTATTTTGATTTGATTTGATTTGATTTTATTCTCTTTATTTTGATTTGATTTTATTCTCTTTTCCATATATGTAATTTTCCGCTTGTATATAATGATAGTCAGGCTCTCAAATTGAGTACGCCAATTTTACCAAGTTACTTTATTTATTTATTTATTTCATTTCATAATCCTAGTCATCATCTCCCAATGTGGATAGGTCTAAAATGTTGCAGTCCAAATGGGATGGGTTGCATTAAGAAGATAACCCTGACTTATGTGTGGTTGCATATATAGTAGTAACCAAGAAATCACCAATGAATTTTTCTTGACTCACTGATTGTAAGAAGGGTTTGATGATTCGGCTTCTTATTTGGCCTGCCAGGTTTCCACCCATGATACTATTTTCATTTGATAATAGAGAAGACTGTGAGAAAGCCAAATGATTATTCCCATCCAACTTTATAACTAATCTGAGGAGAGGGGTTATCTCCAAGAGTCCCTACACGACTCAGCCCACCTCCCTCACTGGCTGCACTAGTGTATAACGTATCCACACAACAACTGGAGTACTACCCAGAGAGTATTATGGTTAGAAGCCAAGAAAAAAGTGGTCATAGAACAGCTCAATTGTGTTAACAAAATCCACAACTTAGTAAGATGAAGGATTTGAAGAATTCTAGCAAGATTTAATAAAAATATTGAGCAGTACCCTTTTCATGTACTAGCCTCTCCACATGATTGCCCCTAAAACCTGTGAAATGCAATCGATATGCAGCGAAATTCAACGAGGGGACTAATATATTCCAGGAACACCCCGTTGGACTGTTTATTCGAGAGTAGATTTTATACAGTGTCATTTGTTTGTCAAGGTAAATAAGGGGATTGTAAAGTGAATAAGTTATGGATATGATTTACTTATCATTGATGAATCGCATATCTTGCTGCACCTGCATCTTGTTTATCGGTACGGTGCTGCTGAATGTTGTTGCCTGTTTTCTGGAATTTTCTCTTTGGATAAACATGGCTTTTATACTTGATATGTGCATCCTATATATCCTATTTGTTATAGTTAAATGCTATTTTCTAATTATGAAAGAGGGTAGGTGTTTCTTTTTTGGCAACTTGCTCTTCTGATTTGCATTGGATCTTGATGATGCGTTAAAATTTGTTTGCACATGTGCTGCCACATTATTGATATGTTTCCCCACTGCAGATTAAATATCACTATCTTTAATATATTTTTCAGGATTACCAGGCCATGGTGGCACAGCTTGAACATCAATTTCGACTGGGAAGACTTTCCATACAAGGATTATGGTTCTATTGTCAGGTTTAACTGTGTCTAAAATCATTGCTACCCTTTCATTGCAGGATCTCCCCCCAATGATTTATTAACTATGTAATGCAGCCAATGATGGGGTCAATGCGAGCTTTGTCCATAGCAATAGAGAAAGCTTCAGCCAATAATTTTGCTGGTTCGGCGATTCTTAACCTCTTGCAGAGCCAGGTACAAGATGACATGTTATTGTAATTTTTGTGTACTTCTAGACTCCTACTGTAACGGGTCGGGCGCTTGCCCTCTAACCCAAAGACTTAAGCTATTGGGTAGTGCTGTATACCCACCCATTTACACCCATTTCACTTCCCATCCGGATCCGATGTGGAACACCTCTAACACCTGTTCTCTATGGAATTCAAAATTTATCAGCTGTATTTCTCAACTGATTGACATTTGTTTCTCTTGGTACTTGTATATCTGTTTCCAGGCCAAGGCCATGGCTGGCGACCATGCAGTGAGGTCATTGCTGGAAAAGTTGACACAATCCGCAAGCTCTGCATATCTTGGCATATTAGAAAGGTACTTAATACAAAATAATGGTAATACCTAAGTGCACAAGAGAGGGTCGAGTGTTTTGAGTTACAAATTTAATTCTTTCATGGCAGCTGTAAGATGGTGTGGGGTGCAGCGGGAGGTTTCTATCTACTTAGATGTGTTCAAGAGTCATATTCTGGTTGTATAGTTGCTTTGCTTTGAGTTTTTCATCTTTTGAGTTATTTTCGAGTTTTCTCTGGGGTTTACACTGTAGAATGGTTGGGACTAGTTTGATTCTACAGTGTTCACTATTTCTAGGGTTCACAAGTTACTAAGAAGAGCAGTAGTAATTTCCTTTTCAAATTTATATAGAGGGTTTACATTCCTCAGAATCTATCTAGAAGTTGCCACTTCAAATTTCGTGCTTATAGGGCGTGATTGCTCAGAAAGAACCAAGTGTGAATGTGATTGCAAGAGGCAAGTTTATAAAGAGGGGTTTTCTTTCTCTTACTCATAATTTGTGTCATTGAAACACCAAATTTTCTACTTTGAATAAAACACTTAACACTTCTCAAATGGTCCTTCTAAATGGTAATTCTAATCCTAAATTCTTTTCTATCTAATTCCTGAACTCCTTTAAGCTATATCATAGCAAGCTCTAACTCTCGAGTCTAAATCTCTTTATATAACACTGAATTGTAAAGATCCTGCATCTTCTATGTTAAGCATGTGGGCCATCATCAATTTTATTGTCCTCTTAACGTTACAAGGTTTTATCAGATCTTCTAATGAGAGCATCTATGTTGATGTAATATTGAAAATCAAATAAATTTTAGCTGTGTAAAGAGCAAGTCTATTTTGCTCAATGCTTTGGCTACTTGTGTGCAAGCGTCAAGGGTTCGCCATTTAGCTGTTCATTGACCTATTTTAGTTGTATTTCGCTATGCATGTAGGATCTAGGAGTATATCTAGATACGGGATTCAGGGAAATATTAAATCTGCGATGCATTATTATAAAGATCTTGCCTATACATCCTAGCAAATGCGCCATTTTTTAATCTAATTTGTCTATTGAACATTCCCAGGACATTTCAGGTCATGTTACCGCGTCCATCTAATTGGATGCGGTCTTTGAATTCAAAGGATAGTTTCAATTACCCAGCACATCTAGTGCCAGTTTAACAACATGGTGTGTCAAAGGCATATGCTTACTTTTGTCTGTTCAGTGGGGTTTACCATTAATGGGGTTGACATGTTTTGGTATGCATATCAGATGGAAGAGTTGTTTTAGATCTTGAACTAATCAAATCACCAAATATTTGTACTTAAAAACCTACATCAATTACCAGAAGTCTAATTCTTCCTACCTCCACTTTAGAGTAGGATGAAGCTTCCAAATGTTTTTAGTATTTTACTTGTTGAACCCAGGTACTTCACTTATTATGAATTTATGTTGAATTAGGAACATATCTCCATAATCCTTTCTCCTTGTTGGGTATGTGACCCACAGTTTCTATGTTGGATGTTTAGATATCGGACACGTTTGACGAAGCAATCTTCTACAAGTTTTGTGTCCAAACCTATGTAGGCATCACATTTAAATTCCTTTAGGCATCGTGCACGTTGGTATAGTTGCATCACAAGATTCTAATAAAGCTTCAAAAAATTTCAGAAATTTTCTGAACTGGTTCTATTGAATTGATAGAGTAATGGTTAGAATCTTACATATACAGTCCATCGGATGTCTCGTTATGATATATAGGCTCAAGTATGTGTGGCCGGTGTTGTTATGTGCTTAAGTGTAGTATTTATCAATTTTATTTTCTAGGATAAAATGGTGCTTTTTTGTAACACAAACTTTGTTGTGGATACTCCCTCCTTTTGAAGCAAAAAATGTAAGAAAAGAAGTGTAATGAGAGAGTTTCATGCATAACTATATCCAACCAAGATGTGTCAGACACTTCTCATACCTACATCCAGGTGTTGTGTGACCAGCACTTGATATCTCATACTCTAATAAGGACTGACTCCAAATTTTGAAACTTGACTTCCAAATCCATTGAAAGCATATAATAAAACATATATAGAAGTTCAATAACGTAACTGACACATGGACCATCACTGCAGTCCATGTGCATTAAGATGAAATTACAAAAACACCCTTGAAACGCAAGACTAATAAGAACATAGATAAGACCTGACAAGCAGCTTATGGGGAACACTAAATAAGACTTATAGCCCGTTTGGTATTGCTTTTCAACAAATTTAAAAGTACTTTATTTGTGAAAAGTACTTTATATGATGGGTCACCAAACACCTAACATGCTTTTTGTGATTTTACTAACAATAATTTTTTGGCAGCTCTACCGATAAAAGCTTTTTTTTTTCATTGTAACAACACCACCAAATGGCACTTAATGAGAGTCACAATTTGCTGTACCAATATCGAATCAATTGACCATATTCTTTGAATTTGCTCTTTCTCAAACCTCTTATGGTTTGTATCGCATTTAGCATTCAATACGTTGCCATGTTGTATCTAACAAAGGTTCTTCCCAGATTTGTATATGTCAATGTAGTGTAGCCTTCATCAAGTCTTGGAAATCACTTGATAACATTCCATTAATTGCAGTTAATATGAAGATGTTCCTTTAATTGTTTGAATGCATGGAATTATTGGGGTGTGTGTCAGTTTGGAAAATATACATTGTAAGGCCATTTAAAACATACCTTTTGGTAATTTATAGCTTTGGCTGGTAGGCTGGTAGCCAACGATTTTATTTAAAAGGCAACTCTCTGGATGAGGTGTATAGAAGAGGTTGAGAAATTATTCACGAGGCATCCAAAATTTATACAATATTCATTAGGCAACATAAACTTATCTAAAAAAGATCATTAGGCAACATAATCTAGCATTTGAGAAATTGTTTCATTCGTTCTATGATCATAAACCTTGTAACACAATCAGAAGGTCATATTTGATTTATTTTTTATTTTTTCAACTTATCATTTATCCAATATTTAGATATGACTAAATATCATATTTGAAAATTGCCAGGATATACAATATAAGTAAAAGTAAAATGATTTTCACCCTTTACTAATTGAAGTTCTTTTTATTCTTAGTATGGGAGTTAAAAGAGCTCCGGAGGGTTTAGTTGTTATAATGTATGAGAATACTAAGTTTTGTTCCAATTACTTAAAAGAATCTTCATTTTCCCCAAGTAATTACACCAAATGGATTCACACGAAATTCTCATTAGTTGAGCAGTGCATATATCTGATGATGTCATCATCTTACTGATTTTGGAATGTGAAAAGGAAGTATATTGAATGAAACTATGTTTACCTATATACACTAGACGTAAGGAACATATTGGGGTCTTTTGTATAAAGGAAAATTTTGTAGCCTCATTTCCTTAAAGGCTTAAACCAAAAGAAATGGCTTGCTCAGTGACACATGAAAGACATTCTTGTTTGAATTACACCACACTATTAAACTTTCAAATTATAATTAATTATTCTAGCATTTCTAATTGAAGTATTAAATCGACCATATTTTCAAACCTGTTAAATTAAGTTTTTGTTCCGTTCAATAAATTCATTATATAAGCTATTTGTAGTGTACTTGGAAAGAAAACGTATTTGCATTTTAAATCCTTACTTGCGCATTCTCTTCTTACTGATTCATTTTTTTCTTCTCCTCCTTGTTAATACCAATGCTAACTTTCTTAGAATGCATGTAAAGAAAACTGGTATAAGTGAAAATTAGTTTGAGTTTCATAAGTCATTCAAATCCTTAATTCTTATCAAAATGACCTATCAAATGAATAAGATGTACAAGTAACTAGAACAATAGCTTTCTATCCCTATTATTATTGAAACCTTAACAGAAAGTGAAATAATTTAAGTTTGTCCTGGTATTCTCTTCCATACTTTGACCATCATCTTAAGAAGATAATATTTCTTGTTTTTCAAAATAGTGACGAGTTTTCTGTGCATTCATTGTTGGAGTAAGAGTATTTCAATATGATCATACCATAAATCATAAATATCGGAGAAGAAACTTTCAGCTTCTTCTCAAACCAGAAATGTAGTATTTTAAATTTTAGGGCCTGTTTGGCTTGTGCTTTTGCTTCGTGTTTTTTGCTTTTGCTAGCGTATTGTAGCGAAGCAAAAGCACGAAGCATGTTTGGTAATATTTGTTGTGCTTTTGAATAGTACCGAAGCGCTTCCAAAATTAAGGCCAACATCGGAAGCATCAAAATGATGCTTTTGTTTGCTTCTGCACTGTAGCGAAGCACTGTTCATAAAAAAAAATTTCTTTTCTAAAATAACATTTTTAACTAACCATTCAAATTTTTGAACTTCCAACACTTTTTACCAAACATGCTTTCATGTTTTTGCTTCTAAAAATCTTGTAACAAATTTATGTTACCAAACAAGTTTCTAAATAGTGTTGAACACACTCTAAAAGCAGAAACATTGCTTTCGCTTTGGATGAAAGCAAAAGCACAAAGCAACTGTGGTTGCCAAACTGGCCTTAGTATTTCATTTATTGTCAGTTGTCATGCAGCATGGCAAAATTGTCTTAAAATTTTATATTTGGGTTCCTGTGGACTTATGTGTTCTCTACTGTTGTCTTTTGTTCCACTCTAACCAATTTATATTAGGTGGGTGTATGAAGGAGTGATTGATGATCCTTATGGTGAATTTTTCATTGCTGAAAACAAATCTCTCCAAAAGGTAGTGTTTTTTTCCATATGTATTAGTGCAATATAATCCTGTTTTAGATGCTTACATTTCCTTATTTCAATAGGAGAGTCTCACCCAAGATTACGATGCTAAGTATTGGCAACAACGTTACAGCCTCAAGGACGATATTCCTAGCTTCCTTGCAAATGCCGCTGGAACAATTTTGACCACAGGAAAATATTTAAATGTCATGAGAGAATGTGGGCACAATGTTCAGGTTCTGCTGTGACCATGTTTTTGATACATTGTTCGGTATCATCATTTTTTTTAATCTTTTATCCCTTTCTGTTGTCAGCGCATGCTGTTGACCAGTCTGTTGTTGATAGGTTCCAGTGTCAGAAAATTCAAAATTGATGAGCTTCGGTTCAAATCATCATTACCTTGAATGTATAAAGACTGCTTATGATTTTGCCAGTGGTGAGCTCTTGAATCTCATTAAAGAAAAGGTGAGCTTCCCATTGTGCCTCTGAAGATTTTCTAGGCTTTTTTCTTAGTGTTCTTTTTAGCTCCTATTTGTGGCAAGTGCATGTCCATTTAGTATCAGATTCTTCTGTTGATAAAATTTGTTTTTTTCATTGATGCAGTATGACCTAATAGGAAAGCTGCGGTCTATAAAGCACTATCTTCTTCTTGATCAGGTATATGTTAGTCAGTGAAGCCATAAAAGGAAGTTAGTCACTGACTATGTATTATCAGGTTAAATTTGGAATAGGGGGCTCGTTCTGCTTATGAATAATAGGCTAGCAGAACCATTTATTTTCGATGGGTTGACGGATCTGGCTCAGAATTTGAGCTCATTTTTCTTCATCACATTCTAAACTGATATATAGTAAGACAGAAAGCTAATACTACTGGCTTTTTTGTATGGAACTTTAGGTCCAAAAGTTGATGTGCTATGCTGATTGGATATATGGTTTCAGTCTAAAATATCGAAGGCATTTGCCTATTGTTTCTTTTCTTTTTTATAAGTAGGCATCTTTGTCTTATTTCTTATGATCAAACATGTAACCAAACCTGAATCCAAAGCTATTAAGCAAACAGGCCCAGCCTTTTTTTCTTTTTCTTTTTTTCCCTTTGGTTTGGAGGGGGGGTTCGTGTGGCTTCTTTTAATTTGAAGTGTTTGTTATACTATTGGACTACATGTACTTTTTTACCATGTATCAATTTGACAGGGCGATTTCTTGGTTCATTTCATGGATATAGCTCGAGATGAGCTTGCAAAAAGGCCTGATGAGATTTCTGGGGAGAAGCTGCAGGTATGGTCTTTGTGGTCTCGCTTAGTGGCTAATTATGTAAATTTCTTTTATCTCTGGTTTGGATAAAACAAGGGTAGCCACTTGAAGCAGTGGATAACTCAGAAATTTGAGTCTATGCTTTTGACTTTATAGTCTCTACTGGACCTTGCGTTGCGCACCACGGCCGCCGCAGCAGATCCTTGTCATGAGGACTTAACATGTTGTGTGGTTAGTGACTGATTCTCTCCATACTTGTACCGAGATGATGTGGACTTATTCTTGCAATCCTTATGTTACGAATTTACCATCTTGCTTTCAGGAAAGATCTACTTTGCTCCAAAGGTTGAGCACACTCAAAGATCTTGAAAGCAGCCGGACTGCTTCTGATAGTAATGATTTAGAGGAACCAGTAAACATTACCGGCCTGGAAACATTTTCTTTGAGCTACAAGGTCTGTTCTTATAGGCGTTGTGTCTTTATGTCTTTTATCCTTTATTTTCAACCTCGTCTTATTTTTTGAATCTTCCCTTAAAAGATAAAATTATACTGTCATGAAGGTATGGTTAACAGTCATAGTAAATTTTCAATTGGTGGGTTCTGAAATGTGATTTGCTTTGAAATAATATCGTGCTCTATTATTTTCATAACCAATGTGATAGGCCCTCTTGTCCAATATATGTGATGGATAGATGATGTGAATTGCTTAATTTGATGTGTTTTCCTAAGTTATTGTCTTTGGTGAGACCCTTTCAAACAGGGCCTTATTTCCTGTTAGTATGTACATAATTCCTCTTTTATCCCTCCTCATGACATGACTTCAAGGATTGCATTTCTTGTCTGGTAGTGGTAGTTGTAAACGAGGTTGTCAATCTTTTTTTTTTTACTTCAAGGATTGCATTTCAGAATGGCACCTTCTCTGTATCTGGAAGAATTCTGGATGGTTTCAGCTTATGCTTGTTGTTTCATCCACAAGAAATATAGTCCTGTCGCAAATAACTACTTTGTCACAACTGGTTGTCGTTATTTTGTTGTAAATGGTTTATTTGTTTCAGGTTCAATGGCCATTGTCCCTTGTTATATCAAGAAAAGCTTTAACAAAATACCAGTTGATTTTCCGCTTCCTGTTTCACTGTAAGCATGTGAACCGCCAGCTTTGTGGAGCATGGCAAGTGCATCAAGTATAGACCTGAAATCTTGTTCATTAATTGTTGTCATATAACTCCTGCTTCCTTTGCTCTTATTCAATTATGTTCTATTTTTGTAGGCCGTCCGTCCACTCGACATAAAAGGAACTGCAATTTCTGTATCATCTTTGTTGTGTCGTAGCATGCTTAAATTTATTAATAGTCTGCTACACTATCTGACATTTGAGGCAAGTTTTATCTCTCTCTCTCTGTATAAATAATGAATGTTTGCAAACAGGAGTTATAGCACAAGTAACATAGTTTACCAATTTGATGTTTTGGTTTTGTTAACCTCCCTTCTTCTTTTTTTTTTTTTTTTTTTTATCTCTACATAAACTTTTACTTTCGTTTGGCTTTTTTTTTTTGGAGAAGGGGGGGGGGGGGGGGGGGTGTTGTTGGTTGTTAATTGCGCTATTTTGTTCATTGAACTGCTAGTTTTATATCCACTTGTAATTTTTATTTGCTGGTAAAAGAACGGAAATCTGCAAAATCATTTTAAATTCCCAAAACATTGGTCTTGGTTTCACTATATTCTTATCTCCAATTCCAAATCTTTTAGCAGAGTTTTGAGGTCCGCAGTGGTAATATGATTTTCACATCATTACCTCATGTTTGCAGGTTCTTGAACCGAATTGGCATGTGATGCATACTAGACTTCAAACTGCAAAGAGCATAGATGAGGTACAGATGCAGTCTTATCTTGGACATAACATACTATTGAATGCTCAGTTTGTGTGCTTGCACTCATTTTCACAAATTTTTAACCTAGATTTTTTTGATGAATCAGGTTATCCAGATTCATGATTTTTTCCTTGATAAGTGTTTGAGAGAATGTTTGCTTCTTCTGCCCGTCCTTCTCAAGGTTAGTCATGACTCATGGGTTTTTAGTATTACTTGGTGTATCTAATAAGTTTCCTTCAGGTAAACGACAAAGATAGTCTTAAAATGCCATTATTCAGCATTCTGTCAGATGTAGTGCTATTTGGATGTCAAATCTTTGAACTGATTTAGTACGTCAAAAGGTTATAATATATTGAATTTTTTTTTTTTATATATATTTCACTTGGCCTCTTACTAAACCCAAAAGAAGGCTGCATATGAGAGTTGGAACTTCATTCTGAAGGTAGAGAATATTCAAGGATCTCTCAGAACCATTTTTTATACACAGCCCAGGAACCAGAGCTGATTTGTAACCAAATTATACATTCTATAGAACTAATGTTTATTTCATTTCTTCTTATTATTATTATAAATATCTTAGTGCTGCAAAATTTTTGCATAGCCATTAGCCCTTGTCATAATCTGGGATTCCGTACACCAGATGTATCTTGTAGTTGCTAGGGCGAGGTAGTAGAATCTCTGCTCCAGAAACTGCTTCAGTCAATCAGTAGAGTTCTTTTCTTCTCGGCCGACCTTTAATATGATCATTCCAAAGATAATTTTCCTGTCCTTGATTTTAGTTTATTGTCGGTAAGACGGTATTGATGTGACTATATCTTAATGAGGTAGCATGGTTTTCTATTCTGTGTTGGTATTTGTTCTGTGGTTCTCATAAGTGAGTTTCCAAAATGCAGAAGGTGGAGAGGCTAAAATTGATATGCCTTCAATATGCATCAGCAACACAGTGGTTTATTTCATCTTCCATTGAGATTCCCAAAACAGATGCACTTTCGGATGGTTCACTTAGGATGGAAAAACTTAAGCAATTGAAACTGCGGAAGCCATCTCAGTCACTAATACTGACCCCTGAAAATGCAACGGTCACTAATTCTATTCGGTATGTTAGAATAAATCAATAGAACTCTCTCTCTCTCTCTCTGGGATGGCAAAATACCCCGCTCCGTCAGGTACCCACCCCATTTAGAATGGGTTAGGGGGCTGATTAAATGGTTTTGGGGCGGGGATGGGGAAAGTACTCCAAAACCCGCATGGTTAAATAGAATTATTATTGCTGTTAAAAATTTGTTTCATTATTTACTTTCGTTAGATTCATAATACAATTACGAAAGTACTCTACAAAACCAGCCCCGCCATGTTTAATAAACGGTTTTGGACGGGGATGGGGATGGCGTTCCACAATTGACATCCCTACTCCCTCTCTCTCTCTAATTTAGACAACTTTTTGCAGGAAATTTGAGTGGGAATTTAGTTCCGAGCTTCATAGTTTGGGACCAATTTTGAGCAGTAGCTCCCACGCAGAACCATATTTGACTCATCTTGCGCAGTTGATTCTGGGTGGTGGAGGTGACTAATAAGTTATGATTTCCTTCCTCTGCAGGATGTAGATATGTTCCCCATGAGGATATATTTTCCGTTTATTCTCATCTTGTATGGTTGTTTGCCTCTAGTTTGTGTTGTTTTTGAATCTTTAATGTGTCATTTGTGGAGTATACTGAAAGAGAAAAGGAAAAATCTTTACAGATTATTGTGATGACCAGATAATGCTTTGCGGTTTGACTTCAAAAATGTAATGTGTCGTTTTATACAATTCTGTTCTTGCTTGTTAAGCTGTTCCAAATTGAACATAAACCTTTTCCTCTGAAGCTTGCTAAGCTGTGCCAAATTCAAGTCTGTTTGGATCTACTTTTTGGGGCTGTGTTCCAAATTGAACATAAACCTTTTCCTCTGAAGCTTGCTAAGCTGTGCCAAATTCAAGTCTGTTTGGATCTACTTTTTGGGGGCTGTTTGGGAAGTCGATGGAACTAGCCATGTCCGAAATTTGGCTTCTCAACTTACCACATTATCTTGGTATTCCATTTATAGAACATGCACTATTTACATTAGGATTTGGGGAACGACTCCAAATGTATATTAATTATATCATATAGTAAAATAAAAACTTAATGGTAATTTAGGCACAACCCATGTGAAGGAGAACGTATTGGGTGTGTTTTCACGCGTATCGTGCACTGGGTTCATTCGAATTGGAAGTGTTGTGCGTTGTGCATGTGCGGATGCATGTTATGTAACTAATAATTTATAATTCCTATTCTGGGAGGGAGATTGATTATGGATTGATCAATAAGCATGTTATGTAACTAATAATTTATAATTCCTATTCTGGGAGGGAGATTGATTATGGATTGATCAATAAATCAATCTCTAATGGTTACAGAATGACTCGTACCACTCCCAACCCCTATTAGAGACTGTATCAGCAACACTCAGCACCAAGATATTGAGGAAGGCATCTTCACAACCCAAAAATTCTCCCTCTCAAGAAAAGTAGATATCGAATTGTACCAAATGGAATCAGAAAGAGAAGAAATACCATAGAGAAGTTTCATGTGGTCCCAAGATACCCGACAGGGGGAGAGTATCTTTGGTGAATTGCATAATGTTAAGAATACTAAGCTTTACGTTTACATTTACATTTATGTTGTGTTTGAGAGCACCGAATCGGTGCCTTAGAATTAGAATTGAAACAAATGTATTTCAAAATTTTAACTAAATTTATTCCAATTTCAAATCAAAACTGCCAATTCAGTGCTCCCAAACATAACATTATCAGTCACATTGGGAGATTGCCCTGTAAACTTGGCAAAAACAGTAACAATTCTATGAACTGCTGTAACTGATTGCCCTGTAACGCTAAGAATTAATGGTATCATAGGCTAAGACATAGGTAGGCCTGTGATAATCTTTATGTAACTATTGGACAAGCAATTTATTATCACAGATCCTTAAATTGAATTTTATTTTTTCAATCTTTTTTATCACAAGGCATTTCTCTTAATAAATTATTATTTTTTATTATATTAGTTATAATTGATATAGCTATTTGTGAATGTGATTCTTGTTAAGATAAAAAATAATGACTCTTTGTTCAAATAAAAAATAATCACTGATCTAGGAGCAAAAATGGATACCGTGTGCGCATATCGCAACATCATCGACGCAAACACTCGTGCATCGAAGATGTAATTGACCCTCATATAAGTACGGAAAAGACATCATGTAGTTTTGTATGTGTAGTGCAGGCTCCACAACCTGTCTTCATATGTTACAGAAAACTCAGAGAGATGTGATATGAAGTCCGAGAATCAAAGGCGTACTAAATTTATGCTAAGTATGAGATTAATCATGACAACGTCATCATAGTTAAGGACATCATCGTCATTTTCCACTCACATAAAACAATAGGATGCATCCGACTTTTGGACTACTTATCATTATTCTGAAATAAATTTCATTTCCATAAATCCAATACACATTTCATTGCTCAAAAGTCCATCTGCTGTTGATTATATGGACCTGTAATAGATATTGAATATAGAAGACTAAACCCTCATTTCAAATATGAGAAACTTTGTAACAAAATTATCAGACTAGTTGAAGTATCAAATAATTAATACAAATACCCTCAGCTAAAGTATAACTTAAAATAAAGAAAATGATTTATCAAATGCTCACTAATTTCCATCTCTAACTATCATCTCACTCCAAGCAAAACATCCTACTTACAACAAAACAAAGCCGCATCTTAAAAACATTACCAAGAGAGACACCCACCTCCTAAAATTCACGCGTAACATTTATTTGCTTACCATTCCGTCGTCATCTTCTAGGGTTCAATCAGGAACAGAGGCTGTACAAAAGAAATAAATAAACGAGAGAGAGAGAGATCAAGATAATCCATAATTTTTATTTTTAAAAAAATGTTTTAAAAATAAGGGAAATGCATAAAATGTCGTCATCTGACAGTTGGGTCATCAAGAAAACTTACCAAGTCAACACTGACAGGCTTACCATCTTCTACAAGGATCTCAACTATTGTTCCCGATTGATCAGCCTATACAATTAAGTTCATATTTCAGGCACAAGTTTATAATTGAACGTCATACTTTTATATGTTCGCTGAGTGTTACAGGAAGGATATGACAAGATCAGCAATCAAATTTCAATTTAGCAGACTGTTAGAATATTATACTAGTATTAAGAAATAGTATAATGTTGCAATAGCTGAGATACTATGTACTTCAAAGCATGAGAAGGTAAGGAGGCACTAATACCATAATCAGAAGATGCATACAAGTCTAGGTATCAAAGTACTGCACAAGTATACGGAAGTTTCTCATGCTTTCAATAAATCCAAGGATGTCTTTCAATGACCATCTATCTCAATCATTAAATTTCCCATCCTTTCAGATAGGCTAAATAGAACAGTTGGAAGGATGGACTAACCATGTTGTTTTTAACCCTCTGAACAAGACATTAAAATTACATCATCTTCAAATTTCAGATTTTCAATACCTGTTCTAAGGATGCTAGTCCAGGAATTGTGGTTTGTTGTACTTCAACATCACACACAACTTAAGGTCCACGTAGGAGATGAGGAAATAGAAGTCGTAACTAAGGTAGTTAACTTTAGTTCTAACATCTGCAAGATGTTGAAGCTAGTTGTTAAGGAAATAGGGGTTGTGATTACTACTGCTAGGGTACCTAAGGGAAGCACTAAGGAACACCATAATCATAGTATATAACTCAATAAACTCCAGTTAATAGACAAGTATACGGATGTTCCTCAAGATCCCAACAGATCCCAGGAAGTTCTTTAGCAGCAGTTTATTTTAAGCATTGGATTTCCTATCATATATATATACATATATATTTGATAAGTGAATTCCTATCATTTTAAATAGTTTCAAAAGAAGAATTGGAAGGATGATTAGCTTACATTGTTGTTATTGTCTCCAAACAAGACAATTAACTGACATCATTTCCAGATTTCAATAAACAATTTAAGGTCAAATGTTCTCCAATCTTGAAAAGAATGATGCTACCTATGTATGTTAAAAAAAAAAAAGGGAAACTAGGAAATTTCCGTTATAGGGAAAGTTAAGGATCATCTCTTTCTTCTTTCCTCATCTCTCTCTAAATTCTTATCTCTTTCTTTTCCTCTCCTTCTTGCTTCTTCCCAAATACCAGAATCGCACTCGACTTTCTTTACAATTTTCGTGGTTTAAGAAAGCACCTTTATTCTTCTACAAATTGACATTCATCTTTATGTAAATGAGCAATTCTAAAAAGTTAGATGGACTGTTCCAAACCTCATGCTTGTGTGTGATACAAGCAATACCACTTTATTGATGAGATTCCATAATTTTTGTGTGAAAGAAATTGAGACTCCTCTAACTGCCCTTTCTTATCCATCCACATGCATCTCTGTCGTATATTTTCTACCCTACTAGCCAAACACACCTACATATCTTACTCTAACCTAATTTATGAACTGTTGATTGTATTATCAACAACTATACAATATGGACTCAGGTACCTCGTTGGTTTGCATTTATATTATCCGAAAGTTGGACTAATCTAAATTTCAGAAGCCTAGGACATAACCTAGGACATAACTAGACGATTGAACTATCAGAAATATCCTCTCATCCTCTTCTTCTATACCTCAGGTAAAATGTAGCCTCCATCGAACAAAACATGGCACAAATGGATCTCCACACGATAAGAATGTCTTGTGCACTAAAAATAAATTAAAACAATACCTTCTAGTGCGCTAGGATGTGTTCCCACTTCCCATCTCTCTGTTGAACACTCATGTTAGATAGTCCAAATTAGGCACATTCATGTAGTATCATTTCCAACAGACTGACTTCACACATTATGAATTGTCGATGTAAAATAAACAATAGAAAAGAAGAACATTCTCAGTTGGTGGCTTTGGAACTACAAAACATCCAAGACCACTTAAGATAAACTCCATGATGGGAACTCCTTTTCAAAACTGACTCTTGAAAAATCTAAAATAATTTTACTACAACACCAAACCTGTCAAATCAGTTTATAAAGCCCCCAATATAAATCCATTTATATTCAGTCCTCGGTGGGATATCAACTTGTTTCTTCATTGACAACTAATTCTCTATGCCTCTGGACCTGCACAACATATTAATCCCGTGTTGCACTCCGATTCTCCAAGGCAGTAACTTAATATCAAAATTTACTTTCTTATTAGTGACTTAAGGGGCAACCATATTATCCATCTTCAACAATTCAATTTCCACTACACGGAGGGAGATTACACATATTTCAAGCCAAGACTGTACATCTTCTAGTAAGTGAAATAAACACTTAAAAAAAGTAACATGACTAATTCTGCAAATTTTAATTACCACTAATAAAAGATTGATTCCTACTGGAATAAAGAATGAGTCTCTTTTGGAGTAGTTTTAGTGGCAGTATCTCCAAAAAATTTTGGAGAGAAAAGGAAAATACAACTTACTTCTATTTCGTTCATCAACTTCATAGCCTCAATGATGCACAGAACCTGTCCCTTCTGTACTTTGTCTCCAACCTAAAGAAAAAGCCCGTAATGTAAGCCCAAATAAAGTAAAAAAAATAATGCACTGCAGCATCAAATGTGACGTAACCATCATATAAGTATATAATCAAACGTGTATAATTTACAGATTAGAGAATAATCACCTTTACAAATGGAGGTTCACCGGGTCCTGGGCATCGATAGAATGTCCCTGCCATGGGGCACTTAAGAGATGGATGCGATGACTTAGCTGACGTTGCAGCAGGTGGAGAAGGGGCAGGGCCTGGAGCTGAAGACAGTTGGGGAGCAGCTGCAGACGGAGCCGCTTGGAAAGCATGTGGTACAACAGTTGGTGGAGGGGGTGAATGTGTCATAAAAACTGGAGCAGAAGATGGTGGTTGAGACAAGGCCTCCTTTTTACGGATTAAAAGTTCACAGTCGAGCTGTTTCAACTGCAACTCCATGATATCCTTAGAATCAACTAGCCTGAAAGACAGGAAAAAAAGAAAAAGAAATTACAGATTGACCCTTCTTTGTCTGTGAAAAATAGAAAAGAAGCAAGATAAAGAGCTAAAAGATTGAACTATCATACTTAATGAGACTTGAAACTTGAGCAATAAACTCAGATATTGGTTCCTCCGAGGCCAAAGCTTCAAGAGAAGGCTCAGTTGAGGGCTTAGCATCCTTGGATTCCGCTGCTGGTACATCTGATTTGGCTGGTACATCTGATTTGGCTGGAGTAGCTGCAGCATTTGGGAATCCACCGACGCCAACCTTGAATGCAACAGATGGCTCCAAAAATGTGTCCATGAAGGAACGAAGATTTGAAAACAGATTCTCTAACGGAAGCCATTGAAAGAATCTTACCTCGTTTAATTGTGCTTTCACGGCAGTGGAATGCTTCCAACTGGAATGCAGACCCTGTAATTTGGATGTCAAATCCACAAATTCTAATCACCTCAATTAAAATTTTTAAAAAATGATGCAACATATTTCATGAAACCTCACCAAGGAATATGCCAAATCCATCCACATCAAGGGCCAAGGCAATTGTGGAGCTAATAACCTACTCGAACAATAATAAATGAAAAAGCTCTGGACCTAAAGAATAAGTACAAAAACTTAACCTTTGATTGATAATATTTTCATTCAATATATTCATAATTGTCCTCGACGAGTTTCTGTGCCTTGACGGAGTTGTATGATAACCTCAATATCAGTGCTTTGAAATGCCATTCTCAATTACCAAGTTATTTGTTGAAGTTAACAAAATTGTGCTCCTTTTTTATATTATTCTTTATTTTTCTAAAATGAAATTTATATTGTTGCAAAGCAGAGAGAGATTTGGTGAAAAAATGGACTGGGATTTCTTACGTACTGGCTAAGGATCGATTGAGAAATCGAATTAAAGAAGACTTCTACAGTTTTTCCTTTTCACGCTTTTGCCTTGTAGAGAGATTGATGGTAGAAGTGGAGGAGATGAACTTGTTGTGGGTTATTACAGAAAGAGGCATAGAGACTTCTATGAGAGGAAAGAGAAAAACTGAGAACAGAAAGGACTGGGCTGTGAACAGTTAAAACTCAGGCGTTTCTTTATTTAAGTATTAATAGGAGCACGTTTACAATTGCAATATTATATACATACGAAATCAATATTTAGAAAGACAAAAAAAAATGAAGAAACTGAGAACAGAAAGGACTGGGCTGGGAACAGTTAAGATTCAGGAAATTCTTTTTTTAAGTATTAATAGGAGCAAGTTTGCAATTGCAATATTATATACATATGAAATCAATATTTAGAAAGACAAAAAAAATCAAGAAGCTGAGCGGAGGCCATTGCCCCGACTGTGCCTCCACCATTGGCCAAGGGGGAAAATGACAAACCTGACATGAAAGACCATCTTCTACATTGAATTGTATTGCAAAAGTTTCACTCTTGAAAGTACAAGGCAGGGCTTCAAACAACAGCAATTACAGATTGTAAAGGTTGTAACATAACAATATTGCTAGGTGGCAATACTATTATTGTCCATTATATCAGCCCTGATGTAATTTAATGCCATAACCATTATTTTGAGACCCTGATTTTTTTTAAACCCATTTTCTTTTTTCGTTTTTCTCACTTTCTTTCCAAAATTTTAGCTTCCAAACTCTAGAAAAAACAGTACTACCATAAAACTACTCTCACAAAACCATTGCTCAGTGTTAATTGATGATGTTTTAAGTACTCTCTATGTTCACACAAAAGAATTGCTCAATGTCTTTTTAATTATTAATTGATGATCTTTTAATTATTTTCTATGTTTGATTTAGTTTGAAATATTTTTTCCAATTTTACTTTTCTCTTTTTAATTTTTAATTTTCGATTTTTTAATATTTATTTTGTGTCATGTAGCTAGCCTCAATAACATTCCCCCTTCTGTTATGCCCTTGCAAAAGATTGGAATGTTGTTTGCACAGGCTTTATTGAATAAATTGTATATATTTTCATGTTTAAGTGTAATTTGTATTAAAATGAAAAGCAGTAGAAATTATAAATTAGTAAGCTTTCCTTCCATAGAACTGAGTTATTGATTCAATATAAAATCCATTGCCCATATTAAATCATTTTTATGAACTCAACATAGTTAATTAAAAGTCCTTCAAAAGAATCAAAACACAGCTTTATGATTTTTATTTTTGATAAGTAAAACAAAGCTTTATGATTAAAAAATGTTTATTAGTACATTTTGTGAGAGTTACATGACTAAAACAATTAACAGCTGAGGAGCTGCAGAACCACGTCCAACATATGACAATCCATTACATTTTATGAGAGTTGTGTGACTAAGACAATTAACAGTTGAGAAGTTGCAAAAACCCCGTCTGACAAATTAAATCCATTACACTTGTCTCATGCACAAGGAAACCGATAGGCAAACTGTAAATAATTTGTGTGGCAATGGTCACGGACTCACAGTGATAAACCACCCCAACTCATAATTTGGTGCTCCAAAAAAAGGTGACTGGAAATAAGCACAACTCTTATAGAAACTATTCGTTGAAATGTTCTGCAATTGAAGATAATTCTACAAACTATAACTAAAAATACAGAAAAAAACAAGATTGTAACATTAGGCTTTGATATGTCAAAGTATGCCATGCCCAATTAGACCCGGAAAGAGGAATACATTGTCTGATTTTAAATAACAAAAACTAATATTTTAAATTCTAGCAATTTAGTTCGAAAGGCAGCGAGATAGATTATCTAAATTATAGAGAGCAAAATTAAATATCAACTAATCACACAAACAAACCAAATTTACGTGGATAACCCCAACTAAATTCATGGGACCTAGTCTAGGCATATCGAATCCACCATCAAAAGAGAGGTAATATACAACTATAAGTTACCAGATTCTAAACCCAAAATCTCCAAGTTACCTCTGACCAAAACTCACACAAGACAATCCATTCCAATCTCTTGCTGCCAGCTAAGAAGCATGAATACTGATAATAGACACAGATATGACATGATATAGATACGGTAACACAGCAAATCGTGAAAAATTAAGATATGGACACGGCAGGGATGTGACAGACTAATAAATATATCTTTTTATATATATGATCCTGTATTTTAAGAGTAATAATATTCTTCATCAGCCTAACTATGAAAAATTCACAAATTATAATAATTAATGAGCTATTAAAATAATCAGTTTATCGTTTAAAAACTACACAATTGAATCTACTCCACAACAACAATAATGATTGTTTTTTAAACCCAAAAATTTAAATATTTTACCTTGACCGCCATATTATTAAAAATGTTCACAGAAATCATCATGTAACACTTTAACCCATCTTTATTTTTAAAACTCCCTAAAAATGTGTCTCGGTTGTCTTTGGTGTATGCGGATCTGAGGTAAAATCTAACCCTAATTCACTAAAGCAACTTGTGAATATATACTACAAAAAGAAAATTATAGGACATTTGCCAACACCATGTTCTACCCAATTTTGAGTAGGGTGGGCCAACTTCTTGCAAGAGATTTACCTTTTCACCATTTCGATCTTCAAATGCTTTGTCTCCACTGTGTGGATCCGAGGTAAATTCTAACCCTAACTCACTAAATCAACTAGTGAATATATACTACAAAACGAAAATTATAGGAAATTTGTCAAAACTATGTTCTACCCAATTTGAGTGTGGTAGGCCAATTTCATGCAAAAAAATCAATTTGCACATAATCAAATTATGTCACACTGCGCACAAAATCCAAACAGAGTAAGAAGTTCCAAATCATTCCCTGTTTAGTTGCTGAGAAATTTTAGGACTACTTGAAGGGAAGAAAAAAAATGAAAACTTTAACTGAGGCACAAGTTTTCCTATATTTTATTTCTCTTCTTGATTCCATGCTTCCAAATGCATCGCAGCAACGATTATGTACTTTCTTCTCTTTTCCTCACTTTTCTCAGCAACCAATCGAAAATAAATAAATAAAAATAAGAAAAATCTGATCTTGCATGAGAAACCAATATATATATACACACACACACACTGTATTGACAGAGAAAAACAGAAATTGATCTAACCAATTCAAACTGATATTAACTAACAATTTATGAGTTCAAAGAGAGTGATAGAGTAATTCATTCGTATAGAGAAATTGCATATACATACCTTGGTGAACAATCGAAGCTTGGGCTTGGGAGAGAGACGAAATGAGAGCTTGGAGGGTGAATGATAGCAATGGAGATGACAATCGGGGGTAGTTTTGGCAACAGAAGTAGCTGATGCTGCTGCTGTTGTTGCAAGGGAAGACGCCATTGCTCAGATGTTAGAGAGAGAGAAGGCGACTGCTTCGATTTGAGTAAATAGTGTGTGCGTCCGTGTTTTTAGAGACAGAAAGTGGAGTTTTTAGAGAGAGAAGAGGGAAGAGTCCTGGACTGTCCGCCTCAGAGATGAGAGCAGTCGACGGAGACGAGAAAACGCCTTTCTGCTCGATAAAACCGAAGTTGAAGAAAGAGAGAGAAAGCAGAGAGAGAGTACGAACAGCCTGATCTTGCCAGATGATATAGGGGCCCACAACTGGTGGGCCTCGCTTGACGTGGCTTCACTGTGACTTTGATTCTAGAGAAAAGACTCGTGTGTAGCTAGGCTTTTTCATTTGATCAAACAAAAAGTTAGGCCTTTTTATAATTCAATTTTCAGAAAATTGATAACCATTTGTTGTACTGTTTGGATTGACAAGAAAGGGAAAAAAAGAGAGAGAGAAAAAGAAAGAAATAAAAGTCTAATTAGTGTTTTTTTTTTTTAAATAAAAAAATAGAGGGAAAAGAAAGAGACATTGAGAGAGAGAGAGAGAAAGAGAATGAGAATTGAGAACTGTTGACTATATTTCAATAAAATTAAATAAATATATTAAATTGTATTATATAATATTAAATACTATTAAATAATATTTAATATAATGATCTATTGTATTTATATTCATGATATAATTATATAAAATTTCTCTATTTATGTTATCATAAACATTACTCTTTACATTATAAAAGGATTAGATATTATCATTTTATATATCTATATATATATATATATATATATATATATATATTAAAAGTGTAAAAAGTTTCAGTATTTCAGTATTTATTTATTAATATAAAAAATATTTATTAATTGAATTAAAATAAAAGAGTTTCTATAAATAAATGAATTAAAATAAAAGAGTTACTATAAATAAAAGGAATTGTTAAAATTAAATAGGTAATTGTTTATGTTTCAAATCAATTATAGATAGAATAATAAAATAATTTACCAAATAATAAAATAAGTTACCAATTAAAATAAATCCTATAAGTTACTAATTAAAATAAATCCTATTATGCTAGTAATTCTTCAAGATTAAAACAACATAAATAATTCAATCAAGATATTTCAAATCATTAAATAAATTATCAATTAAAATTAAATAAGTAATTGTTTAATTGAAATTCAATCAATATGTTTAAAATTATTTATAGATAAAATAATAAAATAATTTACCAAATAATAAAATAAGTTATCAATTAAAATAAATCCTATAAGTTACTAATTAAAATAAATCATATTATGTTAATTGAAATTCAATCAAGATGTTTCAAATCATTTATAGATAAAATAATAAAATAATTTACCAAATAATAAAATAAGTTACCAATTGTTTAATTAAAATTTAATCAAGATGTTTCAAATCATTTATAGATAAAATAATATGTTTAATTTAAATTCAATGAAGATGTTTCAAATCATTAAATAAATTACCAATTAAAATTCAATCGAGATATAACGTAGTGTCCAAAAGTGGAACATGTGATATAATACATAATGGTTCAAAATTCTTTGTTTTTAATTTATTTTCTTTGTTAATCCTATAAGTTACCAATTAAAATAAATCCTATTATGCTCCGAATTCTTCGAGGTTAAAACAACATAAGTAGGTAATTGATTAATTGAAATATTTCAAATCACTAAATAAATTACCAATTAAAATTAAATAGTTAATTGTTTAATTAAAATTCAATCAAGATGTTTCAAATCATTTATAGATAAAAAAATAAAATAAAATTTCAAATAATAAAATAATTTTCCAATTAAACAAATCATTTACAGATTAAATAATAATCTAATTTACCAAATAATAAAATAAGTTACCATTTGTTTAATTGATATAAAATAAATTAAAATAAAAGAGTTTCTATAAATAAATGAATTAAAATAGAATAGTTACTATAAATAAAATTAATTGAAATAAAACGAATAAAAATAAAAATAATATGTTTAATTGAAATTCAAGTATTTCAGTATTTATTTATTAATATAAAAAATATTTATTAATTGATATAAAATGAATTAAAATAAAAGAGTTTCTATAAATAAATGAATTGAAATAAAAGAGTTATTATAAATAAAATGAATTAAAATAAAACGGTTTTATAAATATTTTAAATTTTAATTACTCAAACAAGTTACTAATCAATTATTTAAAAAAGTAAATTAATTTTGATAATTTTATATATATTTTTAATTAAGATTATAAAATAACTTTTCATCACGTGCATCACACGTGGGTAAATTGCATTGACATTCCTGAGGTTTTGATTAATGTCACTCAATGGACGGTCAAAGAACTTTTTAGCAATGACACCTTCTAAGGTTTCAAATGTCTTCATTAACACCTCCTCCAGAGACTCATTGAAATGACCTTTTAACCCTTTGACTTATCAACAAATACATACAAAGCATGAATAACAATGACACCTCCTAAGGTTTCAAATGTCTTGATTAACACCTCCTCTATAGACCCAGTGAAATGACCTTTTAACCTTTTGACTTGTCAACAAATACATAAAAAGCATAAATAGACCAATTAACCCTTCCCTAACAAAATTTAAAGGACCAATTAACCCTCCCTAATATAACACTTTCACCTCAAGCACCTAGCCACAATGTTGTCGCCACCATCACCACATCCTCTTCAGTTTCTTTGACTGCATTTATATTTGTTTCACTCCATACTCTCTTTCCCCTCTTATTTTTTCTTTACCGTTTTCATTTCCCTCCAATCTTCCATTGAAATCTCTAAACCCAAATAATTAGTTGAGATTGAGACCAAGAACAAAACTTTCCCAAACCCCAAATAAATTAAGGAAACAATCCTAGAACAAGATAAATAACAGAGGAAGCACTAATAGAAAATTAACAGATGACCACCTGGAAGGAGGATTTGAAGCCACGGGCCAAGCCTAACCTTAACAATATCTCTGAATCCCACTTAATTCACCACAAAAATCACTCAAATCCTTCGCGCAACCACCACTGTCATTATCGCGACAATTATTGGTCCACCACTGATCAGAGGTTAGAGGGAGAGGGGTCACAGTTTGCAATCCCTCGACTACATTCTCAAGCTTGAAGGGCCTACAGTCCTTTATTGCGGCATCACCACCATGAGTCATCGGAATTAGGGTTTGCAGAAAGGGCAATATTGCGTCGGCGATGGTGGTGTTGGTGGCCTTTATTTCTACCGCCGATTATTCCTCTATTTCTTTGAATTTGGTCCGGCAAAGCTTCCCCGACGACGGGAATCCCAACACCTACATCGAAGCTAAGCCAACAACCGTCACCACCACCAAAATAGTCTTGATGTTGTCAGAACATCACGGTCCTCACAAAGCCTGTTTGTCGTCACCGGAGTCACGTCTCATCGTCGCGAAACGTGATCAAGAACCACCTTTATCACTGTCTATTCGTTATGGTGGTGTTTGGGATGTTTCTATTTTTTTTTTTCCTATTTTTGTGATGGTGGTGCTGTTTTGGGTTGATTTTTTTTTTTTTTAGAGGTGTCTGGTGTGGTGGTGGTTGTATGGTTGTAGTGGTATTTGGGAATGACACAGAGGGAGGAGGTTATAGAGAGACACATTGAGAGAAGACTAGGAGGGTGTTTTTGGGCATTTGATATTTTTATTTTTATTTTTTTATATAAATGAATTAAATAATCAGGGGTAAATATGACATTTGAAACTTAAAGGGCTGCCATTGTTAAAAAGTGTATTGACCGTACGCGAAGTGACATGGACCGAAACATCAGAGAGTGTCAATGCAATTTACCCTATATTGTATATGTGTAATGTGTATTTGAGAGTAATTTAAATATTGAGTTTATGAGCAACGGGACACATATAGACTTGAACCTAGTTTTCTTGTAGTTATACACATGAAGGAGACGCCGCTATGAGCTGATTGTGTTGTGTTTTGAAGCTAACTAGTTTCTTCAATCAGGTTAGCTCTTTCTAACATATTTTACTGTTATCGTTTTACTTCTTAATTTTATTATTATATTAATTTTCTATCACAGAGTTGTTTATGTTGTTATTGTTCAGTTGCCATATTATTCAGTTTAATGAAAGTATTGTTATTTGATTATTCATTCCTTTGAATAATTGAGTATGAATGAAATGTAATATATTATGCTAATATGCTTTGTATTTTTCTATTATTTATTAAATTTTAATAACAAGAACCAACGCCGTACTCTTCATTTGTTGTTGGGGAAAGTCAGAAAAGCACCCTTATAGTTTTGATTTTGTGCGAATTACACCCCTATAGTTTAATTTGTTTATATAAATCCATACTAGATATGAAAATGTACAACTAACCACCTCCGATCAGAATTTGGGTAGAAAATGGATGTTAGTTGGTTATGTGCATGGCACATGACCATTTTAAACAAATTATTTTCAAAATTGCCCTTATTATATTCACTACCCCTCACTATATTATATATATATATATATATATATATATATATATATACACATATATTTGTATATAACCCTAATCTCTCTCTCCCTCATCTCAGTCTTTTGTCTCTCATCCTCCTTCCTCTTACATAATTCTTTCTTCCTCCTTCCTTCTTTCTCCTTTCTCCTACAGAGTTGTGTGGCGTCCCATATATCAGTGTAAGTATCACCCTATTTTATCTCTATCTTATTTATTTATTTATTTCTCTCTCTCCTTATTCTCATCCGAATTACACCATATCTTTTTCTTTTCCACTCTTTGTTGCAGGTTCTTAATGCCATCCTCTTTAAGTTTTGCAAATCGAAGCTCAATTGAACATAATGAGAAAATGATGTGTTGTTATTGTGGTTTAAAAACACCCATAAAGACCTCTTATACTAATAGGAACCTTGGCAGAAGGTTCTATGGCTGCCCAAATTATCCATCACCAACATGTGATTTTCATATGTGGGAGGATGAAGAAGTTTTTGATTTTCATTTATGATCTTATATCAGAAGTTAGGTAACATAGAAAAGTTCGATCTGCAAGTAAAAATCCAAGTTTGGGTGTTGACGATAGAGTTGATGACAGAGGTGGGGAGCTGCACAACATGGTACTAGCAATGCAGAGGCAATTGGACCAAAAAATGGAGGAAATCGATTCAATGCAAAAGGAAATGGAGATGAAAACAAACAAATGCAATTACAGCCAGAAAACAAACAAATGCAA